GGGGTATCTTCAGACAGTGGTAGGAAGTGGGCGCGGAAAGGATGAGTGAGGTGTGTTGGGGTGGGTTGGTGGGTACATGGCCTCTAGAACCAGGCTGGAGACTTTGAACATCAATTCAGCACAACTGGGCTTGCATATCCATGACGGCGTCGACTTCGCCATCACGAATTCGACGGCTATATCGGGGGCGCTGGAGACTGTTGCGTTTGCCTCGCGTGGGATTTGGGCGGGATCTGTGTCTAGGTCACTGCTCAATATGTTGTCTATGAAGACAAATGGTGGTTCGGTGAGTGTGCATGTCGAACCCAAACCCGCCGTGGATGGCGGCTCGCTTCAAGTAAATTTCAAAGCAGAGTCGCGTATGGGCAGCATCCGCGTAGACGTTGAGCACGAACATAGCCCCGAGCGCGACTACCAGACAGATGTCAACAGGACCGATGGCTCAATAAACGGCACGTTTATCCACAGCTCTAAAACCGTGATAAAATCCGTCGCTGGCTTGGTGACTGCAGACCTGTTGCCATACAAATCTGGTGACTACCCTTCGATAATCGATACTAATACGCAGTCGGGGCAGACTAGTGTTACCGTGCGGACGCCGTATAAGACGAAAGGCCTCCCCATGACCGGACTAGTTAGCTCGCACACAATGATGTCCGGTGCGTTAGGGTTGGCGCACCCGCGAGAATGGGAGGTGCATGTAACGGGGACGTCGACGAGCGGGATTCTGCATCTGCAGGGCAAGAGTCTCGAGTTGGTTGGCGAGAATGACGAGTTGAGGGGAATCATGTTGGAGCGAGGAAAGGAGGTGGGGGGAAGTAGTATGCCGATTTCCACGGTGGATGAAGGGTATGAGGTTGAGAGTGGGACGATGTCAGGCTATTGTTGCTCGAGGTTACCTGCTCTGATGGAACAAACATTGTGACAGTCTTGGCGTGGGAAATGTGAGGATAATTTTTCTGTAATATCCCAGTACGGAGACGTGTTAGTTGTGTGGTTATTTTGGTGACGGTTGCTTTTAGGTAAATGTTATTCCCGGCCACATCTGTAAGTAAAGCGATGATCTTCTTACAAACTGTATCAGTCGTGATCAACATGTCCACACGTCCCGGTCCGCCAGCAGGTGCCCTGTAAGTTAGGGTCCAAGATTCTGGAACGCTAATAGCCCGGCCCAATACGTGCCACGGTCCGACCGAGGGGTGAGACGTAGGGCTGTGCTAGACAGCGGGGAGATTGGAAAGTGTCACTTTTGTCAAAACTTGTGCTTGGCCATAGACGTCATTCATGTTCGTTGTTTCGGCTAATACTAGTTGCCGGATGACGGCCGTGTTCGGCAGATGAGGTAGTGGATGTCAGTGTATTCGGAGATTATGGCGGATGATTGTTTTCGTAAGGGTTCTTCGTACACGCAGAACATGGCATTCAGGGGCGAAGTCATGAACTTGCTCTCAAGATGTCAGCAAACCTTTCCCAAGTAGCTTGCTGGGGATTTCTGGGGGGTTTCTGGATCAATGGAACTAGCAGCTTAGAAAATCCGAAGGTGTCGACTTCTTTCCTCCAGCGACATCAGATGACGATGAGGTTTCACACATGAGCGCACTCGGATGGATTTACGAGCGTAGAATGCGTCTGGAAGACCTGACATGACTCGATTTTGCTGCCCGCAATGATCGTCTTGCTGTCGGTATTCCATGACGATGATCTGCCAGCGATGATCCACAATCAAACTTTTGTAGAATTCCTCTCGACTTCAATGTCAGCGTTGAATTCAACACGACAGAGCGCGCGGGGTGAGGTAGTTGCGCAAAAGCCTTGTGAACACGCAATACTGTGTTCCGAGTCGTCATCGGGTGCGGCCTACGGCTCAGCGAGGCGAGGGAGAGAACAAGCTGAGCTGATCCTGGCAATCTCAGAAAGGAATGCCCTCAATGAGGTTAGAGAAACTTGATTAGGATGTGCTGAGGATCCTGCCAACATAGCCAGGTAGGTCCTAGGCAGTATCGATGCCTGATATATGTGTGGCACAACTAGAAAGGACAAGGCGATGTAGAAAACTGGGTTTGTATCGCCACACGTACTGTGCCTCTCTGTTCTTGGTATATCGTATGCAGCCCCATATGGTGAGGAGAGCTGAGGCTTTGCAGTGCTGCCTGCTATCAAAGAGGATGTCTTTTGGGACAAGGTTTCGATGCTCAGCTTGTGGTAATGTGGCGTTCAACACAAACGAGTCCAATAATGTAAGTTGCCGCTTTCGCATGCCCTCCAAGGGTGGTTAAGTGAGTGAAGTCCTTGTGTGTGCTCACACGTCATCGATGTTCACACAGCATGGCTCGGTGATGCCGAATTCGAGGCTGTGATGTGGCTGCGCAGTTGGTGATGGCATGGGTGTAGAAATTCCCATCGCTTCACGCGCCTCACACGAGAGGTATCCATGCCTCATAATCAACAGAGGCGTTTTGTTCTGGTTGAGAGCAAACGCTATTTGAGCGTCTCGGCTCTTGCTCCTCTGAGCGACTGAGTGAAATGTAGTTCTGGTCGAATCATCCTCGCAATTTCCTGAAACAGTAACAATGGTGCGGTAAGTATTGCGAGGATGGAGAACTCCTGCGTTTGAGGTGTGTTTTGGGTTGATGTGGGGCGAGCTAGCGATCATGATCAGTCAGCTAGTTCATCCCAATGGAGCCGAGCTTAGCCTGTGTTTTATTTCAATGCTCCAATGAACCGCGGCGGACAGCAACGAACTGCTCGATTTAGATACGTCTGTATTTCGCACGGAACCCGCCGATACTAAACCGCGGTAGCGATTCGATGTGGAGCCGAAGCGCGTATCCCAAGTACCGTGTCTCTCACCACTCGACCCTTCTCTGAACAACATCCGTCTTCGCGAATGAGCTCTGGATCTCGATACCTGGTCGTAAAGGGGCCCATCTTCCCTGTTCATCAGCCCTCTGTGCGCTGGCAGTTCCCTGTCTGGTGGCACATCTTTGTTGTTGAAAAGATGCCTTCTACGGCAACAACGGTGCCTCAGCTGCAAGGGAAGCTTGCTGCCGTCTTCGAAATATCTTTTCCAGGCAGTTGATAAGAGGCACACCACGTCAAGTGGCGTACGTGGCCCAGTCGTGTCTATTCGCCCTCATGGATCGCGCCTTGTCCACCCTTCGGTACATGTCCCCCACCATATACCCTTTTGGGTGAACGCCTCCGCTGTCGCCGTTGCAGATCGACTGTAGCCAAGGCGCCTCGCGACACGACTCTCAAACTTGTATCCAAGTGGTTCTTGTGTATCAATCTCACAGGAATTACTCACACATTGATTGTTTTCGATATTCTGGTACTAGTGTTTCCATCATATAGTCTACCGATTCCTCTCAGGCGTTTTCGCTTCTATTTCGGCTTTCTTTAGGATTCCGGCTCAGCCACTGTTGTTCGTTCATCTTCCTTGGAGCGGGCTCCTACCAACATCGGCTGCCTAGAGGACTTTTGTTTCTCGTACATTCATTTCTTGGCCTCGCGATCTCTCTTATCATACAAAAACTCGACTGTCGTTTGAGTATCTAGTCGCTTAGTTTCACTCGTTTGCCGATATTCGATTACCAACTGTCAGTCTCTCCTACGTCTGTACCCTCCCTTGCATCACATGGAAGAATGCCCCATAGTTGTTAGCTTGACTATCTAGAACAACTTAATCGAACATACACAGACAGAAATCAGTATCTCTGTAAACAAGACGGATTAAAAGACTGCATCTGATTTGTCTTTCTGATAGCCATCTGCCGGTCAATTGAAGCTGATGTGGTAGCTGTCTACTTATACTGACTGGCATCATAGAATTTTACTCCCGTCCAGCCATACCCTCATCGTGGATCTATCATCGTTGATACAGACAACACACACGATGTATTCGTACGATGATTTTGTCATCCAAAGCCAGCAGCAGTTGCAAGGTTCACAGCAGACATCAAGACCGTCACCACCTCAATCTACGTGTGTTGGGCCACAGAGTCACACGTCGTACTACTCCATGCCGCCGTCGCCCATGGTAGGAAGTATAGAAGATTACGGCCACTCGACGACGAGAACAAACACCTATTCGTCTCAGTCGCCAGCTGTAAGCTCTTCTACTTTCAGTAATCTTATGCTTGCGCCTGGTTCGCTTATAGGCCCTGACTACCTACATGGCGGTTTGAGCAGAAGTAGGTCGTCTCCGATCAAAATTCGAAAAGCATATCGTTAACATGTCAAGATTCGTGGGGACAGAAGCCGTGTGAAGAATCGGAGCTATTTCCCTTGTTAGATCCAGATGTACCCGACTTCTACTACGGCATTATCGATTCTGACGAAAACACGCCTACCTTCGACCCGCGACAATGCTACGATGTGAATCAACGCGACACTGACAATATGACCTTTTTCAACATGCAATCTAGTCGTCGAATGTCTGGATCTTCGTACTCCATGTCAAGTACTGGCGGTATTCCCGAAATGTCAAGCTATGGAGACGTAGATTCCCCCGAAACAGTCTCATACGCGTCGGACCGTAATGTGTGGCGTAATCTGGAACCAACCACAAACCATTTGATGTCGCCAATTTCGTCGTCACACATATCTCACCACGACAACGTCATCCGAGGCGGAAGTCGTTCCCGCGGATCTCCAGCGTCACATACTAATGTGCGATCCTCTCCGTACTCCCTAGAAAGTCCTCGCTTAAAAAGATGGTCCACGGGACAAGCGCCTACATCGACACCTACAAGCTCAAGTTCAACAGCGCAAACTCCAAACCGCTTCGCACTTTTTGGTCCACGTCTGACCTCGCATCATTCAATGCCAGCATACGGATCAACCGCGCCTGGCGTATTTGGGCCACCCACTCAGAAAATACTCTACTCACACGACCACACTATTCAATCCAACACCTCGCCGCTTGTTACACCCCCAGAACAACCGTTTAGTCTTGAATTCCCTCCACTGTTACCCTCCCAAGGACTCTTCCGGTTGCCATCAAACGATGTGGATCGTCAAAGAGGTTCTTCGTCGCACTATTCAGATTTGTCCGGTCCACCTGATCTTTTCGCATCATTATATGAACAACCCTCGAATCCGCCAGAATCAGACATGAACCCTTCAGACCCGGATCTTGTACCGCACGAGCAAGACACTCGCTTCACTGGCGACCTGTACACTCCAAGATGGGTCCGTGGCCATGGCAACAAGCGTGAAGGATGGTGTGGACTTTGTAAGCCCGGACGCTGGCTCGTTCTCAAAAACAGTGCGTTTTGGTACGACAAATCGTTCACCCATGGCGTCAGTGCAGCTACAGGTGCTGCCTTTAAAGGCCCACATGACACTCGACGAACGGAAGGGAATCTCGATGTCTGGGAGGGTCTTTGTGGGAGCTGTGGCGATTGGATTGCACTGGTCAGCAGCAAGAAGAAGGGGACAACATGGTTCAGACATGCATACAAGGTTCGTACGCATTTCATATTCCATAGTAGAGTAATGGCTCGTCTTCGCCTGCAACGCTCATGCGTGGGATTCGTTACTCCCCCACCTCAAGATTGTACAATTTGAGATCGCTAACGATGCCAACAGTGCCACACACATCCCAAGCTCAAAGACGGACCTAAAAGGCGTCGTGAAACACAGGCAGGACGCGTACGTGCAACGTCGTCCGCATCGGCAACGTCGTCTTCGGACCCTGTCAAGCGTGAGACCTCACAAACAAGTACTCCGCCAATAGCGATACCCGGGTCAACCACGTTGCAGTCCTCTGGCGTGCCAATCACGTCAGCGCCTCCCGTTCCCGTGTCGACACCTCAGTTGACTATTTCACCACCTTCGAAAATAACCTCGTACCCAAGCAGCCTCTCTTGCCCAACGCCAACTTCAGGCACACCAACAATGCAATCATACCACACTCCAGCGTCGAATACCATGTATCAGCCATACACTTCAACAGCCACATATACGATGCATGATGTCCGTCAACCAACGTTTACATCCTCGTACCATCCACCCTACACACCGACAGCAACATCTTCCATGCAACGTTTGCACACACCAACGGTAACATCATTCCAAAAGAGTCCTATCGTAGGCTTCTTCAACACTCCAATGCACGTCGTCAACACTGAATCCGCTTGCTCGACATCCCTGGGTTTTTCGCATCAGATAAGTGAACCCGAGACACTGGGCATCAGAACGTCAACAGCGGGACTAAATTCGATTGCGAGCATGATCTGAGAGTTTGAACTTCTCACGGACATTATAGGAAGCAAAGCTTCTACCATGTAAGGCCAGTTTGGCAATGGCAAGAAGACGGCGATCTACCACGCGACAAACTGAACAGCATCTTCATAGTTTACTCATCTTTTCCTATTGCATTTCCTTACTTTTCAATTATGTCTAGCGAACGGCGCCCACATAAATATGCTAGAGGGCACACATAACACCACAGCGATTGTTTTATTTGGCATATTTGGCATTTTGGTCTGCATTCATATACCATACTGGTTGATTCCCACACTTCCACCACTTCAAGTGGTTAGATTTCTTAGATAAACACGATCCTGAACATACAATTTGAGCGGTCTTTTACGTCTGCAAATTATCCCGCCCAACTGCCATTCTGAGCACATCACAAGCGAGAACCTCTCTTATCGTTGATTCTATACTCACACCCAGCTGTTAGTTCATACATTCAAACCCTGCCCGTTTCATCCTCCCTCACAACTCATACACATAGTCACACCGCCAAACATCGGTGTCAACCCTTGGATTTGAGGTCTTGAGAGACACTGGTTAAATGCTCAACCAGTGGAAAGGAGTGGATGACAACCCAAAAGATGTCGGCGTCGCAAAGCAAAGCAGCGATAGGTGATAGCATTCCGCGTCATGTAACTGAAAAAGATCAGTTCGAGAAGTGAACCATCTGTTAGGCTGTGTGCACTAAGCCACACAGCGTTTTAACTTCTGTTGGGTGTGCTCAATGTTCCTGGATGGCTGCGACAGATGATCGTCAGGTTGAGGATTGGTTCGGAGTGGTGTTCAGTGGCCGTGTTTGATGAATTTTAGTACTCTGTAGATGAAGTTTTTATCTATTGTCGATGCGTCCGAACACTACAGGGCTTGACTTCTTGCCATTGTAGCGTTATATAGGCAATGCTTGGAATATGATGTCTTGCCTAGGTCTTACTATCGTCAACGGTAGCGATCAAGATAGACATCGAAAAGTTGATCTACTTGTTCTTGACTTATATGTAGGCACAATTATGGATCGTGACTCTTCAGACGATTGCACATAACGACTTATTTTATCAAATAGTGACAACCAGATCAGGAAAGTACACGACTACGAGAACAAAAAGAGATCGTGAACACACATTCGCTAGCCGCCGCAGCCACCACACCCTCCATCACCACCGCCATCGCCACCACCATCTCCGTTTCCACCATTCCCCGCTGCAAGAATTCCACACCCCCCAGGAGCGTGCCCCTGCCCACCACAGCTCGCACTACAGCGCGGTGTCCCGTCCCCCCCAGCACAGCCGCCCAAGCTCGTGCTCGCGGAACATGTGCTCGCCGCGCAGGCCCCCCCAGATTGAGCTTGATTATAGTCGCAGCTAGGATCCGCGTAGTATGGCACGTAAACCGGGTAGACGATAGGGTAACCGTATGCGCCGTATATGTATGCATCGTTATCACGAGAAGGCGCTTTGGAATTTTTCTGCTTCTCGTAGCGTTTGCAAACCTTTGCATATAGGAGATCCAACTCTTCAAGTTCGCGCCTCTTCTCTTGAGCACTTCGTTTGTCTGAAATACTCAGTGCGTTATGGGAGCTGATGTGGGGTCCGATATGCGGGTCCTTCGTGAAGTTCTTCTCGTCCAATCGGTCGACACTCAATGATGCCCGTCGCGAACTGATTTTGCTGAGGAAGTTCGAGCGTAAAGGCTCACGGTTACATTCACAGTACCAGCACGAACACTCTGAATACGGTTGCCCATACTTCTTCTCGTAGGCTTGTGAGGTCCATTTGAAGGATGTGTGAAGGTTTGATTCTGGAATCTTGTCGTCGTGATTGAGGAACTTCTTGGTCTCGGCGAGAGTGTACCGATAGTAAACCTTCGGTGTCAACTGATGCGTATGCTGTGCGAAGCGTCAGTAAAAGCTTAATGCTCGGAAAACAGTAGCAGAACATGGCAACTACTTACCCACGCAAGGTCGACGTCCAAGGTTGGCACAACAGACTTCTTCGGCTGTTCTGCCGCCAAGCCTACGAATCGGTGATATTTTATGATGGATCTTTGGACGGTTGCCACTACGCTAGGACTATGCATCCAGTCCAGTTTTACCATCTTCTGTACAAACGTACCTTCAAAAGCCCATGTGTCAGCATAAAAAACGAACATGATAACAGTATAAAACACTACCTATTTGCTACAAATAGCGACGTACCTTGTCGGAGAGTTGCACCCACTAAGTCGAGACCAAATACACTTGAGTTCTCCCAATAACGGCTCAGCATCATACGGACTGCAATCCTACTACCTCTGGCTATGAAACTAGGCCGCTTTTGTGCCTTGTTGATGAGTTCGGTGCTAACCTTTGACTGAATCACGGTTGTGAATTGTGTCTTGAGGCCAGCAATACTGAGCGCTGCGATGTTGTTGCGGAGATGAGCCGGCGCGAACTCAGGCATCTGAAGGATGACGCGATTGGGAAAGAACGCATCGTGAGTCTCGATTCTCTTTCCTTTCGTGGTGCATTGAGGCATCCCCCACATGTTGAGGATAGTGCCTGGAAGAGGTCGTTGACTGAACAAGAGATTCTCAGCGTCCAAGATGAATTTTCCTACTCGAAGCTTCTCGTGCGTGATGACTTCATCACAAGATGAACATTTGTGTTCAAAATTGGGACTTGTGAAGCCCGTGTCGGAGGTCAGGTACGATTCAAAGGTCGTTGCTAAAGCTGGAGTCCAGGGGACATCGTTCGTTGATTTGCAACGCGGACATGTAATACTCTTCATAGCCTCATCTTCGAGCGGATCCCAAGGACGCTTGACAGTTTTTTCAAATGTCTGTACATCACTTGGATGATATTCGAACATTAAGTTGTCGATGGAGTCGTGTACGAGCTTCCATGGGAATGGCGTTCGCCAAAGCGTGTGATTTTTGTGTCGGATGCAATCCTCAAGATAGACTCTAGGATTCAGCAAGTATGAATGCCAGACCATGAGTACGTCCAGTGGGGGAAGGCAGAAGTTCTCATCATTGTCGAAGCCATTACCTTCGTTAGTAAACCTGGAAACTACACGATCATCAGCAAGAAACAACAGCGTCCGTAGGTTCAGATAGCAGCATACCGAGACGATCTCCCGCATATTCTGTGTCGAAATCTTCCATTTTGATGTGCGTATACCAGATACTTGCGGAATATTGGGAAGAATCTGATAAGGAAGACCACCATTTCTCAAATCTATCCACAGCTCTTGCTACAAACACTGACCAGCGCTTGTCCCGTATGCGTTCCGCACGTGCTGCAACCTCGTCGTCAGCATGTCCGGGCGTGGGTATCGCTGTCACTGTCACATTATGCTCGTGAACATGACCGGGCTGCTGATCGTGTTTCTGTGGTGGTTCATTGTTATGCTGGCTGGCTTGAGCTTTCTCCCCAAGCTTCTCTGAGTTGATCCCATACAAGCCATCGTGGTTTCCGATGTCGTACCTCAACTTGGCGAATGCGTGCAACAGCTTCAGGTGAGTGATAAACTCAGTCGGCGTTGGAAGTTCGAGCGGACTAGGGTCAAAACTGTAATTTCCGATAGGTACTGGGGCCGTCACTGTAGTAGGCCCCCCAACTGTGCTAGAAAAAGGTGTCTGAACCGACGGGGGTCGAGAGTAGGCTGGTGGTGGTTCCGCATACCGAGCTTCCACTGTTTTCATTGATTCTCGACGGGTTAGGTTTATCGATTTCTCCTCTGGAGTTTGTTTTACTTTCTTTTCCCTTACCACCATGATGGCTTGATGCGAAAATCTGAGCAAAGGGACGACGATGAAGGGAAGAAAAGAAGCTACAAAACTTAGTACCTTGAGAAACGACAACTTAAATATCAAAATTTACCTCCTCGAGTAGTCCTAAATCTGATGCTCGGTGAACACAAGGCTGACAGACAAGGCTTAATCTGATCTTAAGGCTTGAGGCGGAGCTTGCAGGATGACCAATAGCAATCGCAGCCGAATCCATGTACCCACCGATTACGTTCACCGGAGCAAGATGCAGCAGGTTTTGGAGTGCTCAGTTGACCTTGGCTGCAGATACGGTTGTATTTGGAGGCAGTGCACTGGATTGATAATCACGTCGTACAGCCGAATTAAAGTTAGCCCTGATGTCGCTTCCAACCACCCCGCCTTTCACATCCCTTTCTAGAAGCAACTTGTGACTGGTTATTGCTTTGACTCTCTACCTCTCTTGTAAAAGCTGTGAAGTTCTTCGCTTGGGGAATACGAACGTATAAAGCCATGATTAATCTGCAGATATGTTGCGGTACACATTAAAGCTAGCAATTGTCTACATAGGGCATATTAAACTGTGAAACCGTACATACAACTGAACCATGAGCAAGCTATAGCCTACTTGGCTATGGACGATGGAACACATAGCATTGCCTGTCTCTGCAACCACACCTGGTTTTCAGACACCAACCAAGATATGACCCGGTGCGAGAAGAGCGGGTCCGTCCTTTACCGATGTTATGGAAACATCGGGCACGTGAGAATGATAAGCCAGTGGTGGCGGAGCATCGCGGGGACTTCGGGAATGTGGTAGGTGTCTCAAGATGGTGTAACTGAAAGTAGCCGTTTGAGGGTAGTATCTCGCGATGCATATCCCATGTTCAGTTGGTGCGTCTGGGTAGATTGGCGATCTTTCGGTCATCCAGGTAGAGCCCATGCTCAGTTGTCCATCTCGCTGTCTTAGCAACCAAGTCTTTGAACATTCAATGTGAAATATTGCTCCAGATGATCCACAATATCTTCGACGTCCGCTTATGTATATGTATCCCTTAGGTTGACCAGTGGGAGTCGCTCGATGAGAACCCCGACTACCGTCTTCTCTGGGTATCAGTAGTATTGGCCGCATGTCCACTTGCATCTACGGACAAAGTCCTCATTGGAACACGTAGGCCAGACGCTATTTTCATTTTCGTTTGTCTGGATGTAAAAGTCTATCTGTGGTATTCCATAACCGGCGAGCTTCTCGTAGTACGACGGATTGCGTCTACTATCCGCAGGGAGCATATCAACAGTGGTCGCTATGTTGCTCTGTAGGTACAGTTAGATCTTGTACAGTGACACAAGTAAAGTTGACTATGTAGATGTAGTGCGAGCGATGCGTAGTAAACGTGGGGGAAAAATCGACGAAGATTGACATTCTAATAGTTAGACTTCCTATCTTCCGTGTTTTCCACAACCAGGGTTGAATATTGTTGTTCTGCAGTCCCTTCAATATCAGATGCGAGATCTCCCTAGTAGTCGCGTCTCTAAATGCCATACGCTAAACTGGTTTGGCCCCAGTGGACATACACTGCGTCGTTCTAGATGAACCCAAGCTCAGTCAGGGCTTGCTTGTGTTATGAAGGCGCCATGGAGGCATCCACCCTCTTTGTCAAGTGTAAGAGCGGGAGGTAAGATGCGTCCTGTGGCTCCTATCATACATCAGAAAAGTGTACGCTGGGCGTATACTAGCAGGAACTCAGGCACAAGACTCCGACACTGATCTGGAATTCAGTCATCAAACTGTTGCAAGGTTTCGCTGCAGCTTGCTTCCTGGAAGTTCAATTACAAAGAGATACCATCCTAGCTGCAGTATAGGAATGAGATGTCAACCATCTACATAAACCCGGGACGGAAAGCACATCATGCCTTCTCAGAATGACTCAGCTACTTCACCTCTTACAGTGTAGGTGAAGTGTGGTTGCAGCATGATGGTGTCAGAGGCTATCAACAGCGGGAACCCCCGGAACAACGCTTACAATATAAGTCCTACATCGCCGTTACGGTCTCACGAATTACCTGAGGACTTTCCTAGGGGTTGAATTAAGTTCCACAATTGGACGTATGCTCGAGTGCGTAAGCCAGCGATGTTGGTGACTAGGATTGAATGATTGCGTTTTCCGCGTAAATCGTCGAAAGAAGAGCTGTCCCCGAAGGATGTCGCTTGCCCAGACTTGTAGTATCTCTAGCCAATAACGTACGTCCTGTATGTATTGAAGATATTGAGTTGAATCCCACTTCCAGGCCTAGAGGATACGCAACAACATAAGCTAGACGAGTGAAAATACCTCCAACGGAACGCCCCGAGCTCTCAGTGCGTCTGGTAACAGTCGTGGATCGGAATCTTTTAGGACTTGGCCGGTGATCTTGTTTCTGTAAGCCTCAACAGTTTCCGTTGGCCACACGTCGTGCGCCGCTTCTGTTCGTTCCCACTCTTCGGGAATGGGCGCTAATCTCGGATCCTCATAAACTATCTCCTGGGTTGCAACATTCTTGAACGTTTCGATGTAATCTTTTCGTCGGCCGATGGCATAGTTGATGAGGAGTTGGAAGGTCCAGTCTTTTGAAAGCGGCCCGAGAAGAGCTTCTCCATCCATAATACCGTCTATATACGAGTCACAGATGAGAGCATATGTGTGTGATGGCCTTTTCCGAATCAACAGGGGTATCGGGGAGCCAAGGATCACTGCCACATTGTCCCCATGTTGTGGACGGCCGTTCGCAACACCAATATAACCCTTCTTCGTCTTGAATAAGGTCTGGCCCGAAAATAAAAACCAATGGCAATGTACATGATCTTCCACAGCACTGACATCCGCTCCGTTCAACAGTTCGTGGAAAGGGAGCTGAGCTTCTGCCAAAGTGGGGCATGGCACTTCCGGATATTGGTCCAACAGTATCCCATAAGTCATAACCCGTGCACAGGCTTCGGCCATCGTTTCTCCTGTCGGATACATTTGACTTGGTGTTATACTCGTGAGCCAAAACTTGCATAGCGTGGTAAGGCCTTCATGGATATTTTGCGGTAACGGCTCCGAAACAGCTACTACCGTATCGAAGGAGACACCGGTAACGCTGAGCGTAGAAGGAGTATTGTAATCAAAATTGGCTACGGAATGGCCGCTAGCTAGCCTATTAGCCGAGACATGAGTACCCTCGAGAGGCTTAGACCAATCCGGTATCCAGGAGGAACCTGGAAAAGCACCCTGAGAGTGAAGCACTTCTAAACTACCAGTCAGTTCGATGATAGCCAGAGCCATGTGTTTGTATAACTCTTCGACAGGCTGTATGTAACTAGGTTGAATTCGTCGAGATAACGTCTCCGGTAACAGGCCAAGCAAAGCGAACACTTTGTCCCTGGGCTCGCTACAGGACATCAGCCCAGCTATACCGAGCAGCATGATCATATCTTTGCGTCGAATATCTTCACAGAGTAACGAGGTGTTACGGATTCTGTGCTGGATATGCTCCGAAGACACGTGACTTGGCTTGAGCTCTCGACATTTTACAACAGCGCGTCGAAGCCGATACCACAGTGTCTCTTCTGTACCACACTTGACTATAGCATGATGATTTGCAAGGTGAATCTCCTGCATAATCCAGAGGCGTGTGAACCAGGAGCGAGATAGAAGATCGTACAAAGCCTGCCAAGTGTCCGTGTCGTAGATGATGGAAGGCTCTTGGAATTGATGGTTCCACCAATCTTTTTTCACTCGCATTGGCGCGGGAAAACAGAAGCCGCTATTGGTCATCTCAATTTGTCTCCCGAGAAAATCCAGCGTACGAAGTGCCAAGGGCGAATTGTGCGAAGCGCAACCAAGCCAGGCGACAACACGCTGTGCATATTTGTAAATGCTGCCCATGCGGACAACCTGCTCACTACGCTCGCTCAGGTCCATTTGATTTATACAGACAGCGTCGATCCATAGTTTTCTGGAAGCAGCTGGATTCCGGAGATACCTCAATGCTTCATGGAGATTGCGCCCGACATACAACTCCGTGAGGTCTTCTTGGGTGATGTTATCGAGATGTGGCGTAGTGTTCCAGGAAGGCACTACCTCAATCGCTGCTTGGCTTTCGAGAGAGCCCCAAGTGTAGGAGAGAGCTTCGTACTTCGGCTCAAAAGACTGTATAAACTGGTCATCGGTAGATTCATAGAATGTCTTCTCGTAATTGGGATCAGGATGTTCCCAAGTGCTGTAAACCTCCAATCGGTTGAAGAAGAAGATTCGTTTCTCAACTGTCTCACGAACTACCCAGCCATATGGTAAGCTCTGCTGGATATCTACTAGGCTCTTCCGTAGAGAGACTTGAGATGGTGGGTCGGCGAAAGGAGTGTTGAAAATGGAAATCTTGATTGGATCATCGAAAGCGCCAGGATGTAGCTCGAGCAATCGTATCTCTCCCAATTCGACGTTCAGCGGTGTGTATTGATACTGTGGCATTTTCCACGCGTGAAACCCGCTGGCTTGGTCGATCGTAAGTGTTTGGACACAGGATCTGAGAAGTGGATTGTGAATTAGAAAGGGATTCTAGATAAGTCGTTCGTGATGAGTGAGGCAGTATGGTGCAGCGAGCTCAAGCAGAGGAAAGAAGGCAGGGCGAGCGATACGCTGCAAGGACGCTGCAGCGAAGGGGTAGTCACATGCGATCCGGACTGAGAGTATGATGGAACGTAACCTCAGGTTCGTGTGCTTCGGCAGCACAGCACGGAGAGGTGTCGAACGGTATCAGCCTTGTCAGCCTAAATACCCTTGTCATCTGGCTCTCGGTTAATCGAAATACTAGGGACTAAGATGCAGCGAATTCTTGCAACAGCTTGACCACTACATCTAAGGTTCGTGTAGAATTCTTATGCCTAAATTCCTAGTAGTATACGCCTTGCGTATATTTTTGAATATTTTTATTAGCATAGTTTTGCAGCTTACTTCCAACTTTTACCATCAATCGAGAGCTAGCACCAACCTGTTCCCCCACCAAACAGGAAATCCCCACCTGTCGCTCTCGCGGTCGAATAACGAAACGCCGCGTGCTCTTGCATCGAGACTGACGTTTGTGACAGGTTGAACTCTCGACCACGCTGCAGCCAAGCTCTTCTCCCTCGCACGCGTGACGACGCGTTGGGTAGGCAACGAACGCTGCTGTGCACCGTCATAGCTACAGATACAAAAGAGAAAGGAGATTTTATTCGACGAATGAGAGTGGCATTGGGAGGTAAGAGAACGTGGCACGTTGAAGGGATGGATCCTGGTCAACGAGGGGTGAGTTGAGGGGTGGTTGCATGTGAACGGTCCGCTTCCGTGCACTAGTCTACGCGCTAGCTCTGTTTACCAAACACAACGAAGGCTGAGGAAGCCACGACGCACTGCAAAATCTCCGCTTGGGCTTGACTGTACCCCACACCACGTCCATAGCATGCGATTGTACATGAAGAGATAATTTTGTGAGTTGACAATTGGATAGGGCCATTTACTATCCCAGATATCGCTTTTAGACCGCTTTTCTACGCCGAAGCACGTCCGTTGGTGCTTTTTCGCCGACGCACGAACCCCTTGACGTCGACCGGCGAACTTCGCTGCAATCAGACGTCTTCTCGCCTGGGTACAGCCCCCAAACCGCCTGCTGTACCGTTGAAACTCGCCCTGACGGGCGCACGCCGCCATGGACGACGGTCCTCCACCCCCTCCTCCCCGGCATGGGGCGAACCCAAAGACTACAGGAGGGAGTCATGCACCCCCACCACCACCGCCGCCGCCGCCCAATAGCGGAGGTGGTGGTCTGCCTGCAGGCAACTACGACATATTCATCATACCGCCCCACTCGTCAGGTGGTGGCTTCATATACCTTCCAAGCATGGGTGTGCAGCGGAACAGCTTCGCGGCGGGTGTGGCTTGCACATTGGCTAGTATAGCTGTGTGGAAGTTGATCGAGCCATACGTGAAGCAGTACACTCTTATGGTCACCCAGATTGTGTATTCGGGCGGCAACGGTGTAATACTGCTCGTGGTCATAGTCGGATTCCTGGGCTTGATCATCGGACAGCTGTTGAGTGGAGGCATGTTGGGGTTCGGAGGTGGTCACGGACCTCGCGGAGGAGCCGGTGCTGGTGCTGGAGCAGGCACTTCAGGGCCAGGGGCAGGCCACCAGCACGCGCATCCAAATGCCGGTTTCCCCGGTGCTGGTGGACCTCCTCCTCAGGGAGCACAAGGTGGATGGGGTGGGTGGGGCGGATATCGACAATACGGCGCCTCATCTGCGCCCCCTCCACAAGACAACGAGTCGACCTGGAAGGATGCAGAAGAGGAGCGCAAACGCGCCGAGAAAGAGCGTGAAGAAGCCGAGGAGAAGCAGGCCGAGGAGGAGCGTGAACGAGCTGAAACACAACGCAAAGAAGCGGAAGAGCAGCGAAAGAAAGAAGAGGCTGATGAGCAACGTAAGAAAGAAGAAGCTGAGGAGCAACGGAAGAAGGAGGAAGCTGAACAACGGCGTAAGGATGAGGAGGCTGAGCAATTGCGCAAGCAGGAAGAGCAACGCAAGAGAGACGAAGAGGAGAGCAGACTCAAGAAAGACGAAGAGGAGAACAGACGCAAAAAAGCTGAGGAACAACTTCGTCAAATTGAGCTAGAAGAAAAGAAGCGCGAGGACGATCAACGCAGACAAGCTGAAGAAGAGAAAAAGAAGCGCAAGGAGCAAAAGCGTAGACAGGCCGAAGAAGAGAGAAGGCTCGAAGAGGAGCACCGCAGACACGCCGAGGAAGAACACCGCAGACGAGTTGCGGAAGAGAAGAAGCGTCGGGCCGAGGACGAACGCAGAGAAGCCGAGGAAGAGGAGAAGTGGCGGGCAGAACAAGAACGCAGACACATCGAGGCAGAGAAGAAATGGCGAGCGGAAGAGGAGCGCAGACAAGCTGAGGAAGACGAGAAGCGGCGGGTAGAAAAAGCACGCATGCAAGCTGAACAAGAGAGGAAGCGCCTGGCTGAACAAGAGCGCATGCAAGCTGAGCAGGAGAGGAAGCGACAGGCTGAACAAGAGCGCAAGGAGGCCGAGGAAGCACATAGACAAGCTGAAGAGGCACGCAGACAAGCTGAAGAAGAGGAACAACGGCGGGCAGAGGAAGCACGGATACTAGCTGAGAAAGAAAAGCAGAAGCGGCTGGTTGAGGAAGCTCTCAGGCAGGCTGAAGAAGAACGCAAACAAGCCGAAGAAGCTCGCCGACAAGCTGAAGCACGCAGACAAGCCGAGGAAGAGAAGAAGCGGCGGGCAGAAGAACAACGCAAACTCGCCGAGGAAGAGGAGAAGCGAAAGATCGCAGAAGCACGGAAAATCATTGAAGCTCGGCGACGACGAGACGAGAGAGAGCGTAAGCAGGCTGAAGCAGCTAAAAGAAAACGCGAGGAGGAAGAACGTATACTGGCTGAGAATGCGCGAATACAACGAGAAGAGGAAGAGCGCCTTGCGGCTGAGGCGGCTAAGCGGAAACGAGAGGAAGAGGAGAGGAAGCGTGCATGGGAGGAACTCAAGAAAGCCGAGGCTGCAAGAAAGAAGCGAGAAGCGGAAGAGAAGGCCAAAGAAGAGGCAGCCAAGCAAGCTCGTGCCAAAGCAGAAAAGGAGAAGTGGGAGAAGGCCCGTCAAAGGGAAAAAGAACAACGCGAACGTGAAGCCCGCGAACGTCTCGCAGCGGAACGCGCCAAGAAACAACAAGAGGCCCGCGAAAAGGAGCAAGCTGAACGTGAAGCCAAAGAAGCCGAGGCTCGAGTACAAATCGAGAAGGAGATCCGCGAGAAACTTGAAGCTGAGCAAAAGGAGATTCGCGAGAAGCTGGAGGCCGAGCAGAGGGAGATACGTCAAAAACTCGAAGAAGAACAAAAGGCCAGAGCCGCAGAAACAGCTGCGCGACATGCAGCAGAACAGAAAGCCGCCATAGACATCGCTGCAGCACAGGCGAAAGCAGATGCTCAAGCCGCCGCCGCAGAAGCCAACGCTGCCGCCTCGAAAGCAAAGGCTGACGCCGAACGGGCGGCACGCCTCAAAGCAGCACGAGAGCGTGCCCAGCGTGACCGCGAAGCACGCCTCAAAGTCGAAGCTGAAGCGCGGGCCAAAGCAGAAGCAGAAGCACGTGTCAAAGCAGAAGCCGACGCGCGCTTCCAAGCCGAAACCGAGGCGCGTCTTCAAGCAGAAATCGAAGCTCGTCTTAAAGCTGAAGCTGAGCTCAAAGCAGAAGCCGAGAGAATCAAAGCAGAAGCCGAGAGGATCACAGCAGAAGCATCAGCAGCCGCCGCCGCTGCAGCTGCAGCTCCAGATCTCACTGCCCGACGATCAACTACATACGGTGGTGTTGGTGGTGGTGAACGTCTCGATCCGTATGCAGGTGCGAGAGCGAAAAGTCCGCCCCCACCTTCAGTCGCCCCTTCAGTCGCCCGGACACATTCAACCCCCGCCAAAGCAACCCCTTCGGCCGCTTCGACCGCTTCATCCAAGAAGACCTACCAGATGCCAACGGCGTCATCGTACGCAGCCAGCGAAGATGCACAGTCCTTCCATCCGTACTCCACAGCGTCATCTTACGTGGCCAGCGAAGACGCTTCAACCTTCCGTCCGCGCTCCACAGCATCACGCTCACATGTCTCGTCGGCATACTCTGAGTCGTCATACGCACCCTCGCAGTCTACCGCCCGGTCGACACCACCTGGATCACAACGCGGTCCGTACTCGACCTCAGATCCAAACAAGATCGTCATCAAGGCGGTGTACTTATTCAACGACTCCTTCCCGAAGCCAGTAGCCCAGCTCGTTGCCGGCCTGGGCAAAGTCACTGATGGCCTAATCCTCAAGATCCAATCCGAAGGTCTCTTCATCGACGATGACGTCCGCAGCATCCCGCAGCGCGAGTGGGACGTCAAGGCCTGGACGCTGAAATCAGTAGAGGTATGCCATCTCCTGTTGCGCTTTCCCATCCTACCCAACTTTCCCTTTCTGAACCACCTTTGATTCAACTCACATACTGACCTCGCTTAGACGGGCGTCCAAACCTCCAAGCACCTCCACATCCTTCGCGCTTCGGTCCGCGACGCAGAAGGCAGGAGATACGTCTTCCTCATCGACGAATCCGAAAGCTGGAAACTGACTCTCGGCTTGCAACGGCTGCGGAAGGGCAGTCAGGTGCGCAGTATGCAGAGCAGTCAGATGGCGCAGAACGACGTGATGCGGCTGCTGAATTCGGTGCCGCCACTTGCGTAGAGATGTTGTATGGGGTGTGGTAAGCGGATGTGGGTGGAGTTGATGGGGGATGAATTAGATCGAGTTTTGTTGTTGGCCTGTCTTGTGCAAAACTCGACTTGACCTTTTCGACGCGTCGTAGCGTGTGAGCGATTTGATGAAATATATCCTTCTTTCTACATCGTAGCGTTAGCGGTGGAGCTGTTAGACATGTTTAATTTATATGTCTTATTCATGTTCATGTGGAGTGTTCGTCATGAAGATAGTGGCTTGTGAATGAGTCTACGTTTTCCCCCGCCGTTTGGAAAATCGGTTGGTGATACGGGTAGGAGAAAAGCTTCGGACTGATGAGGGTTTTGTGCGTCGCAATAGTCAACCGAATCAGGAATTTGGGATCTTGATAGAGGTTTGAAGTGTATGAGAAGTAAGTCGTCAGGGCCACGATAGCAAAGCAAACATTTGATCTTGTGTTGCTACCTAGTGGAATAGTTCTAATGCGGCTGAGGATATATATGCTTTTCATGTAGTGTCATGTCATCCCAACCACCTCATCGATTCTAATCATTCACAGGCTTCGCACCTATAAACCACCGTTAGCAACAGAACTTTTGTCAAACAAGTAATGCAAAAGTGGAAGACTTACCCAGCATCCACCCCAGCCCACTGGCAAGCGCCCCCGTCGCAGCATTAGCCACCAAATCCCTCCTCCTCACGCGGTCCTCATGACTTCCCGCGTCACTCAAATCCATGCTAGCACGGCTCGAACCACCCGTGCCCTCCTTAGACATCTGCGTATTGCTGCGGAGCGGGAACACACTCTTCGACAACGCGGCCGTAGCTGCTCGCGTAACATCAAACAAGCCCATAGGTGCTTCTTCGGCCGCGCCTCTGCCCACTTCTCTCCTTGGCTGCACAGTAATCGTGTCGTTGGTGAATGCACCGGGTAGTTTGCGATCCGCAGCGTCGTTGAAGCGCGTCTCTGCTTCTGTCTCCTGGGCGAGGAGGTTCGTCATTTCGGTCTCGCATTGCGTCCAGACGGAGAGGATTTCTTCGAGGTGAGATGGGGGAGCGAGGAGCAGAGCTTGTGAGAGCAGGTCCATGCGTTGTTCCAGGCGACGAAGATCCGGGCGCGCGTGGCTGGTGTAAGACCAGGAGTTGGATGAGGAAGTGTAGCTGCCGGCGCGCAGGGCGGCTTGCCAGGGTACGTCTTCTGCGCTGTCGTCTTGCTCGAGGGGGTCGTGGTGGAAGGACTTTGGGGATTTGAGGGAGGGTGTAGGTAAGGATAGGCGATTTACGACGTAGGAGTAGGCGGTTTCGAAGTCCCCTTCTTCAAGGGCGGCGTCGATGGCCATGCCAATGACTCTACGCTCGGCAGCGGCTTTCTTGCTTTCTATTGCTGTTGTATCTAATTGTGAAAGTTCGTCGTCATCATCTTCGTCCATTATTGTTGCAGGCATCGAAATGACCAGGTTCTGTCCGATGGTGATCAAGTCGTCCAGTTTTGTGTAGCTGCTTAGATTTTGAGAGAGTAGCTTCTGTATCAGCGCTAAAGGATCGGAACTGACTCTGATATTGACCGGCTGGAATGGCACGCCATGTTGGAGGATCAGTGAGTAAAAGGACATGGCGTGGGTTGCTGATAGCAAGGCCTGAGTTCGCTGGAAGCGCGACGACGCTGCGAAGTGGGGAGAAAAGGCAGTGACAATATCAGCAGCGCGTTTCATGCCTCCTCTGGTACGGTTTCCGTTACTTGCGTTGTCGTAGTGATGCATCACCGACTTCAGTATGACCTTTTCGACGTCGGCTAGAGGAAGCGGAGCTTGTTGGGATGATGATTGGATGTACGTTTGCACTATGAGAGGATAGTTGCTGCTTTCGAGGAGAGCCTTGAGTATCTCTGTTTCGACTGTCTTTCTCTCTAGCATGCCGATGATGCCCTGAGCATGACGGTCTTGTTCGTGGCTATCTGTCCCCCAATTCCACAGCCACAGCAACTTGGATCTGATGATAATCCATTGATCACTATCTTTCTTTGAGCCACCACCAAGCCTGTGTAGGATTTTTTGAAGTAGCGACAACTGTTCAGGATAGTCATCCCGCAAGGACATTTTGGCCAATTTTCGGATCGACTCAGATTGCTGTAGGCTAGACAATACCCACGCGGAGAAGAGAACGAGTTCCAGAACACGAGCGGAACTTTGCCCAGGTGTGGTAAGTACATTATCAAACTCGAGCAGACGCTCTTCCGTTAGCACGGCAGTCGTGGACTCATGTAGTAATGGGTCTTGGAGGTCATATGAGGGCAACGCTTCTACATCGATGTCGAGCTCTGGCGGAGGATCGTAGTTAAGTAGGTCGAATATCCGTCTCAGTAAGGAATGTGCTGTTTTCACTGTCTCCACATCGTTCTTCTCGACCAGGTAGAGGGACGCAAGAGCGGTTTGCGCATACTGTATCTCGAGTCGTCGTTGTGTGTCGTCATCAATATAGTCTCGGCCCTCCTCATAGCCACCAAGGTCCATATCTTCTGGCCCGTCCCATTCCGTGATCGCACGGGTAACCAAAGACAAGTCTTGCTTGGATGTACGCACTAGCCAATCGAACAAGCATGCCCAGTCATCTGGCTCCTGTGGGGGCTGCTCAGTTATCGACGCTCTCCGCGCCTCGCCTGTGAGTCTCCGTCTCTTGCGCTCAGTCGCCCCACACATCCAGGGAGCCACAACACCCCTCAGATCCCGCCCAAGATGCTGATTATCTCCCCCATTCCGCCTCTCGTGATGCAGGTTCGAGAGCTGGTATTCTACTGCGCGCCTCCCTTTCAGTGGGGCAAACTCGTCGAGAGATGACGTGGCGGTCTGCGGGTAGTACTCGTAGCTCAGGCGGAGAAGCGGTAGGACGGTCGATATGAACCACGTGCGGAGATATTCGGAGTGACCCAGGAAGGGCGTGACAAGCTGTGGTACGAGATCCAGCAGGCCGGTCTGGGCGTCGATGCGATGGGCGCGGTGGATGAGGAAATGGCTGAACGCATCCAGCTCAGTTTCTGTCGCATACAACGGATGGCTTAGTGGTAAGAGCTCCAACGCCTTCCTCTTCTTCTTCGCTCGCGAGTCCGACTGTCCCTCAACTGACGATATGTTTAATGATGCCGTGGGCCCTTCGCCAGGATTCCGCGAACCCATCGCAAGCTCGTTCAGGTACACGCGGTATATCACAGGATCTGTTTCCTCGGGCAGGTATGTGAGTAGGATGCTCAAGACCAGTTCCAAGGGCAAATGGGCTTCTCGCAGCGCCGTCAGTACTCGCAGCGAGGTGATGTTCGATTCGGTCGCATATTGGACAGCCAGGAGGACACAGTGTGGTCCTGACAGTTTCTGTAATTTCTGCGGTGTCGCCATATCGTACTGGGGAGTGAAACGGCTATCGTATTCCGTATGCGCCGTCTATCATGTCGTTGTTGAAAGTTGTCACGCCCGCATTCAACATTCGCTACGTACGTCAATGGCAAGGGTGGCACGGGCCAGCCCAGGGGTCTTGTCTCGACGTTCAAATGCGACGTCACTTCACCACGCCCTCCAATCACTCTGCAATTTATTGTGCAGTCGGCAACCTGTTACCTAGCTTATGCTCTTCAGCGATGAACTTGAAGGAACGAATGTCGGTAAACCTTGTGATACGATAGTCTCGCGGCAGAGCCATGCCTTCTGTCCTCTTCAACAGGCTCCTTTGGAACTGATTCAGACGAATTATATCTCACATCTCATCAAAACTCGACAATTCCATTACATGACGCCGTTGAAATGTTTGTTTGCTAGCTATTCGCTCTACTCATGACTAACGCTATTGCAACCGCCGAGCTCCTCCTTCCATCTTTCCTCCTGGTAGTCATGTAGCTCAACGTGCTCCTCAGAAGCCCTCGAGTCAAGCTTTGACATCCCTATATCACTCGTGAGGTATTTGTTGAACGGGTTGAGTCTAGAGGCTGGTCTTGACGGTATTGAGTGGCGCTTGTCATAGTCATATCCGTCGTGCGTTGAATTTTGCGCTTTGAAATATCCAAGTACGCGTGGAACAGAAGGACAACAACCCACGATAATGACGATAGCGAGTTCAGCCATGCTAAGAGAATGTAAGCATTCACTCTTGAGATTCGAACAGTGACTAACGTACCAGGTTAAACCCGCCTTAGTGAGGAGCCAAGTGAAGTCCGGCTGTTGAAGGAGCACGATCCGATAATACAATCCAACAGCTGCAATCGCAACAGCACTAGAGCAGTTGTTAGTCGAATTCTCGAACCGTAGATTACGGAGGAAACTCACAAAACCCCTACGCCAAAGACAGCGAACACTCCAATTTTCTGCCTAAGATCCATCTGCAGCTGCCAAATAGCCCAAGTCGGGACCAACAAAGCTTCCGCGTCACTGATGAAATTCAGTATGCCCATCGCCAAGTTCAACTTGTTGCTGTCGATGCAATGGCCCTCGACAGTAGGATCCCATATCTTTTCACGAGGCCAGCATGTAAATATATACAAGAAGAACATCGCCAAGTAGAACCCAGCATTTGCGATTAACGAGCCAACGATGACCCAGAAGACAGCGCCCCGGAACAATGTAGTAAAGAACCTCTTGAGCTGCAGAAACACGACCGTTTTGGCAAGACCGCCACTTGCTGTATAACATATAAACACGACGTTGCACCAGAAGGACATGTTGGCGAAGCCTGCAAGTGGAACATCCCACATGTGGCGTGCAAGTCCCAGAGATTCGGTGTGTACAATCGTGACAGTGTACGTGATGTACCCACAGTATGCCAAGTAAGAGAGATAGTCTTCGATTCGGACCTCTTTAGATATAACGTTGGCAGATATCCGGGTGAGGATGAATACGGCGGTGAAGAGATGGATAACAATTGTTCCGGCGATGATAGCGGGCATCAGTGTCGGTGGGTCGATAAAGTTGGATTTTGTGCCTGGAGGAGGTTCGAGGGCAGGTGTAGTGTTTGTCGTCGCCATGGCGTCGCTTATGAGGGGACCGAAAATCATTGAAAGCGATACAACGGTACTGTTCGTTTATCAATTCTGGCAACAGGTCCAGAACGCAGGTATGCTGTACAGATCTTAAACATCCAGAACGAACGCGCCAGTCCTCGGACCTCCTGAGTTGGAGCCGAAACCCTGCTGCTGTGCCTCTTCGAAAAACGGGCTTCGGAGGATTATACATCGTAACCGTTGAGCTCACGGATTCCAGATCTATCTGATCTCGAACCACGCCGCCTTGGCGCAGGGCTTGGCCGTCGATGCGTCTGATGATAATCACCTTCTTTCCATGGTGGCGTTGATGGATATAATGCTGCAAGATTGTATCCACTCAATCCCATTACTGTGTGACAGTTGTCACATACACAGAACTGGGACGGGCTAGACCTCAGTTCCAGGCCCAGATATAACACACGCAATTAATACAAAGAATCCATACACACCGACACCATGAACGAATGAGTTCGCGCAGACCAGAACTGAAGGCGAATGACCCGCAGATCACAATCTCTTCGAAGTAAAATTTCGCTCGAGTTAAAGTTTCGCATGGGTGTCGAACGATCCTTCGCGCCAGACCGGAACTTAAGTGAGGCGGATTATTACCACGTGTCGTGTATCAGTGACGCAAGGAAGGTTCCAAGATTCTACTCACTCTTCTGCCTTGATGACTTTCTGATCTCTTGTACACGAATCTCTGCTCTCGTTTCCCATCCAAAACAGCTGTCCAAAATGTCGACCGAAGAGGTCGATTACGATGCCATAACATGGCCAGCACAGCTCACACACGGGCTCCACCGATCCATGTACCCACTTCTGGAGCCCAGCAATCCAGCTCTCGCAACAGACAAGACAGTTTTGATCACCGGCGTTTCGGGCGGAATTGGACGCGCAATCGCAAAAGCATGGATGATTGCCGGCGCAAAAGGAATTGTGATTAGTGGACGAAGAGAAGACGCGCTCAAGAAGGTCGAAACCGAGTTGCGTGAGCTCGGCAAAAAGACGAAGATAGTCGTTGTGCCCGCGGATGTTACCAACGAAGAGAGCGTCGAGAACCTCTGGAAGCTCGCAACAGAAGCATTGGGGAGAATCGACGTCCTCATAAATAATGCGGGGAGCTTGGTACAAGCCATGATCGGAGAAGGCCAGCCATCGGAATGGTGGCAGGATTTTGTACTTATTACCCTCATCGCCTACTCCTCTTGACGTATGTGAGACTGACCCATCTGTGCAGGAAGTAAACATAAAAGGCGTCTACCTTAACATCCACCACTTCCTCGCACAAGCCCACGGTGGCCCCGGAACTGTCATCACCCTCTCAACAAGCATACTGGGCGAAACGTTTCCAAAGTTCGCATCCTACATCCCCAGCAAACTCGCGCAGACAAAGGTCATGGAGTTTCTGAACGCTGGTTAGTTGCCTCCTTCTGTCCAGCCCACGCGCTTCATCTAACTTTAGCATTGCAGAGCAGCCGAATATTCGCACGTTTAGCGTTTTTCCCGGTGTGGTGGCGACAGATATGCCGCCGAAAGAGTATATCGATTACGCGCTCGACGATCCCATGTTGACGGGTGGATTGTCTTTGTTCCTGTGCACTGACAGGGCGGAATGGCTACGGTACGTCACAAATCCGGATTCTGTCCCAATTTGTCCATCCCCTCAACCCCTTTGAAGACTTTGTGCATTTGGATTTTATCACACTACGTCCTATTTTGCAGGACATCATGAGAACGAAGCCAACTAATTCGTCTCAGGGGAAGCATGGTGAGCGTGAACTGGGACCTGGAAGAAATGGAGCAGCACAAGGAAGAAATACTGGAGAAGAAACTAACGAAACTGGCGTTCACGACGGCGGAATTTGGGAAAGGGGGACATAAATGGGCGACGTAGCATAGATTCCAATGTATGTGATACTTCGAATTATGACGGACTTGAGCAGTGATCCAGAAGTCAGTTATTATTGGTTATGCTGAGGCTGTGAAGCTGTGAAGCTTCGGGTTTTATCTCAACCCTATAATCAAAGTGTTCATAACGAGAAGCTACCGTACTGTGCAAAAACCAGTGTTAGATCGTCACGCATCTACACGTGTGCAAGTCTAATTCTAGTGGTGATGAAGCATATGTCTAATGATGTCCAGCTACACGTGCCACACTTCTTACTTGTCTCTAGTGCCTCTTGTTACACTCTGCATTTTTGATACATTATACAATAGGCGCATACAAATAGACATGAGTGTGTTGTTGAAGATTACAGATCAAACTGTGTTTATTTTCTTACATGTCCCTTCCCATCCGGTTTGGCCACAGACCTCTTACCCTGCGAGTAAGAGTATGAATTGATAGACATGGCTATGTTAGGTCTTGCGAGGCAGTTTGATGCTTTTACATTCTTTCCTCTAGTCCTTGTCTTATCCAAACGTGGTTTCTTATAATGGATAATCCAATACTAACTGTGTAGCTTAGTTCCCGCATGACAGGTCATTTCACAGACTAATAAGTCAATATACTAGACTCCATCACTCGAGAAGTTCCTGTGTTTATTCTTATTTGTACCATGCGTTACACTTGGAACGGAAATGAATTGTCCTTGGAATTATGCTAATACTAACTTCTGTTCTACCGTGAACGATGTTTGCAAGGTGCAGAGCACATGCGCTATGCATAGAACAATCTATCGGATTTATTCCGATAAACAGATACCCATTCAAAGAAGTCTTTAATGAATTTAAGGATATGCGTATTGTTCATCCGCAAACTCGGTACCAAACCTTGGAAAAGTAAAAAAAGACTAAGATTCACGTCCTAAATAAACAATCATATTTATTTCCCAATTATTTACGTATATTCTCCTGTCACAATCCATTTTCGTCGCATCTGAGAATATACTGCCGCAGGTTTTCATTAGTTACATTATGGCGACTGGTCAGTTATCTCGATCCTGACTTTTGCTCGATAGTGATACAAGAACTCGTTACATACATAAATATGCGTTCAAATTGCATCAAAACAAAAAGACTAACTAAGTAGTTCAAGCTTGAGTCGTCTGACCCCTCAAGAGAATCGAGATTACTTCATAATCTCATCTTGTATTTGAACACCGTCTCTCTTTATCATCTATCTTATGTGTTCTGCTTATATCCTTGCTTTTGCATCACTACAGCAAGACTCTATCAATTCTTTAAGCTCTATGCGACTAGAACCTATAGATGTTACATTGATATCGTCCTGCACCTCCATGCACCGGCTATCTACTTTCCCTGAAACACACTGCAACTGGTCAACTGCTGTCGAAGTGTTTCTTGTTCTCGGTAGCCACAACGCTTCAGGTTTGACAAGGTGTCGGGGTCATGTTTAATGACTACTGGGACTCTGGGCGTGGCCACACAGGAGACTGAGCCACTTGCTTTGTACCGAAGCGTAGGATTTACTTGTGCCGAAGCTCTTTGTGGTCATTGTAATATCCCTCATATTCTTGCCCTGGCAGCCTATACTTCCATCAATACACAGCCTCACATAAGTGTGGATATCAAGAGTCTTGAAGACTAACAACAATCATGCCCTATTGCATTGTAAGCAAAGCGAACATTGTTAAGCCTTTCTGCACGCTTTACACCAAACGTAGCCACGTGGGACACTGGTAGCATAATACTCGTTGAATTCTTCGCTATACTGCATGGTATCTACCTACCACCGCATGGTCCCACATAGTCAGATCACTTCTGATCTGCAGAGTCAAACCCACATATCAGCCCATCCAGCACAAAAGTCTATGTCTTCAAACAGCCTATTTTTACACTCGGCTTTCCAGACTGCACTTCTCAATTTTCGCACCTCGCCTGATGCTTTCCACACATCCAGAGTGCTCCACCACTCGTACTCGTCCGACATGCCACCCCAAGACCTACTATGGTAGTGATCATGGAAATAGTGTTCGTATAGCGGAATGAACCAAGTACTCTTGGTGTTGTAGACCGACGTAAAATGTCCATGGTGGGGGGAGTAATACTTATATGACGATTCTTCCCAGATGCTGGTCTTCCCTTCTGGAGTGTAATACCTTTTCGATACCTCAAGGTTTGTCGTAACGTGTACTGGCAGTTCAACCCCGTGTTCGTCGCAACCACAGCCCGTTTGCATAGTCGTCCGAATCTTTTCGATCTGTAATGCTAGTAAGCGCAGCCCAACTTAATATGGTGTGGGAAGAGAACTGAAGGGCAAGAAAACTAAAGGGCAATGCTCTCTGCTCACATTTATAGCGATCAAGTCAATCGACTGGTTTGGGAGCGTCATGTCGTCGGGGAGGCATCTTGGGGAATGTTTGCAAGCCTTTCGAAGTGCATCCACATCTCCGTCCTTGCTCTTCGACACTAGTGACGGATGACAGGAGTTTCGAGCTGTATTAGCAAATAGAGACTCTCGTACAGCGTGCTTGGGTTGTTCACAGTGTCTGTTGTGACATATATGGCTGTAATGGGTCTGCTCGGATAATTCAGCGCGGATGACGTTGTGGTCTCGAGTCGTCCCCAACCTTAGAACGGTGCCAAACCTAAGGAATACCTGTTCGTATCGTTCGCAGTGCTTGCACCAAGTCATATGTCGTACGTACTTTGTTGTATAAAACCTGTGGTCTGAGAACGTTGGCACAGTAAACATACAACCTAGCCCCTCCATTCGCTCCACCACTGAAGCGGGTATCTCCTCCAGTTGATCCCATGGGGTCAAGTCGGGAAATTCAAATCGAAGCCGCATGAATGCAGTGACCTCCATAAGTTGCCGAAAGTTCCAATCGAATACAAGATCATCTCGCGCGAGGTTGCAGGCGTTCACCGATATACCTTTCATAACCGTCAAGGGTACCGATCGTGATTCCCGCATCATATACGGGAGAAGCTCCTCGTAGGTTATCTTTGTACGACTGGGTCGGTCGCTGGCATCCGGCGCAGGTGTGGCGAGAGGCGTTGCCCAAATGTCGCGGACGTGGTTACGTTCCACGAGGTCGCCCTTGGGTTTCTTCGTCGTCTTCTTCTGATGGAGGAACGTGACTTTATTGCTGCGTGACTCGGATGGGCCGGCGAGAGCATCAAGGGTGTCGTCGAAAATGTCGTTTAGGGGATCATCGGGGGGGTCTTCGAGGGTGTCGTCGAAGAGGTCGTCTAGAGGGTCGTCGGGTGGGTCGTCAAGGGGGTCGTCGAAGAGTCTGGCGAAGGGGTCGTCTGGAGTATCGTTGACATGGAGCAGCCCCTCAATGTCATAACCAGATTCACGTCGTCTCTTGTTCTTCTTGGGGGGGGATGGCGTCATATGCTTCGATGCGAGCGGGAAGAGGTTATCGTCTTGGCGCAACACGCCTCTCTCCATTGCGTTGCAATACCGATCAAGGAAAGATTGGTCGACTAGACACCTACGGGACGTTACTTCAAGTCCTCTACGCAAGCATGGGACATACCTGTTCGCTTGTTTGGCGAAGTATACGTACGCCACTCTGAGTGTGTCAATGGTGTCATGAACAGCTTGCAGTTATGGTGCATGTTGCTGGGTAAGTGCTGAGCGGCCATTGCTCTTGCCGTTGGTCTTGTTCTTTCTTTTATTCTTCGATGGCATTGTGTCCTTGAGAAATGCGGTTAGCTGGAGTCTAATGGTGATGTGGTGTGAAGCAACTCACTGATCATGCAGTGTAGAGTAGGCTGCTGATTTGGTGCGAAACAGCGTGCTGCTAGGGTAGTGTGGAGCGGAGTGGGCTGCTGGTGCGCTGGAATAGGGCGTTCAAGTGGTGGAGGAGAGCGTTCAGGTGGTGGAGGAGAGTGTTGGCGACTGTTGGGAGGGGGTGGCCCAGCAGGCCTGCAAACATTATGTTGTAGAAACGCACACTCGTACTAACGCATGTGTATCATTCTCACCTACAGGACTCTATAGCATTCTCACCTACAGGACTCTATAGCATTCTCACCTGCAGAACTCCATGGCATAGCATTCTCACCTGCAGGACCAACAGATACACACTGAGCATTCTCACCAAAGCATTTACTCTGTTTGAAAGCCCAGGCCGCAACAACACCACACACCAAATCCTGTTTGCGCGTTAGCATTTGATACGAAGCACAAGTGGAGGGCCTTACCATGGCAGGCATTTAGACATATGCTCATTCAGAGTCGGCTTAGTTGAAAGCCCCAACACCACGACAAGGTGCGACTCTATCGTTGGGGGGCAAGTGACCAAAGATCCGCAGGACACGCTTTTAGGCGGCTGCTCTGGGTCTGTCATACAAGAAGAGATCCGCAAGCGACGCTTGTAGGCGGCTGCTATCCAGTCAAACATGTCTCACCGAACTAGATCCGCAGACACGCTTTTGGGCAGCTGCTCTGGTTTGGTTACATGCTTGGGCGCCAGACAGGAGATCTTCGAGCCACGCCGTCAAGCGGATGCTAGACCTCAAGTCACGAACACTGCCTTGGGGAAAGACTATGCTGCTTGCGCAAAGAGAAGGGAGGAAGATGGCGAGCGAACTCGAGTTGATGTCCTGCCACCGGACCAGACCTGCCGAACCGGGCAGGAAAGAGCATTCAGCGCGCCAGACCAGACGAGAAGGCGGGCAGACCGCACCTGCCGAACCAGTCGGCAAAAGACTATTCAGCGAGCCGCTCTCGCACACCCATCTACCACTCGCAATCCTCACCCGCTTGCTACCCAGGTCTCACTCGCATATAACCCTCAATCCTCACGCATCTAAAGCTCATTCACCTATCAGCATGACTGGAGGTAACAACACCGCCCAAGATGGCAGCGCCAAAGCCAAAGCCAAGGCAAATCCTACCGCACGCAGGCGGAAGCAGCAAGCGAGGGACAGAGCCTCGAAGCACTCGGCGGACAAGACCGGCGTCGGGAAGCTGCCAGCTCGCTCTGAGGTGGGCTTCTCCCAGCTCACGGTACCGCAACAGAACAAAGTCGTGAAGAAGAGTGGTAAGCAAATCCGGAAAGACGCAACCCTTTCCCGCACACGTCAACGAGCAGGCAAGAGCCACCACAAGAAAGGCACCGCTACAACAAAAACACACTCGCCAGCGCGAATGGAGTCATACAAGCTTGCGGTCAAGGCCATCCCGCCCCCGGTTTCAGACAAGGCCATCATGGCAACACCAAGCATGACGCTGTCAAAGGCTACTTCAGTTCTGAAGATGCTGTAAGAACAAGACTACAAGCATAAGGGGGCTGTTTTCACTTACATTGTGGAGTATGTTTCAACTACCATCTACAAAGGCACACATACTAACCGCACTGCAGGCGCATCAGGACGCCAGAACACGAGACAAGACGACAGCAATGGTTGCAGTATCGGCGGCTCCAAGGCTGGTTGGCAGACAATGAGGAGGGTTTGTTGACATGGCCAGTGAGCAACGGCGAAGATGAAGATGAGATCAAAAACATCCGGCGCACGCATAACAACGAGGAATCCGACAGCGACGAGTCCAGCAGCGATGATTCCGACAGCGACGAGTCCGACAGTGACAAGTCCAATGACCTTAGCATGCTTCTTCACAGAGCTCGAGTGCGGGATGCGCAGGCGCTAGACAGTGTGCGAAAGATACTTGAAGCGCAGCGTATGCTCAAAGTCAAAGCGCTGAAGGCATCTGGAGCACCGAAGGCACCTGGAGCACCGAGCGCAATTGAAGTGCAGAACCCCCAGGTCGTGCAGAAACCCCAGGTTTTGCAAAACCCTCCGGTCGTACAGAAGGCGCAGGTCGTACAGAAGGCGCAGGTTTTGCAGAAACCCCAGGTCGTGCAAAACCCTCCAGTCGTACAGAAGCCGCAGAAGAAGGTCACGCGTCGTGATCAAACTGTCGGTGTAGCTGGACCAAGCACACCACCAGAAGACAGCGGCAGGCGGTCATCCGGAAGGGTGAGTAAGAAGCGTGAGTTTGCTGGGTACATTGCGTGGGCAGACTAAGACAGTTCCCATGTGCAAACAAAGAAGAGGTGCACATGAGCGTAGAAACAGTCAAGACTGGGATGGGGATGAGATGAGGGGTGAGATGGGGGATGGGGGATGGGGATGAGTTATGAAATGAGGGGTGAGATGGGGGATGGGGGATGGGGTCAGTTGCTGTTGTACAGTTAGCTTCATATCACAACGCACGTCTTTTGGGTATTCAGACTTAAGATCCAACTCACGATGTATGACTTACCGATCCCTTTCTGATGCCATTGCACCTACACTCCACCATCACACCCACACCCACGCCCACGCCATACTACATATAACAATGCCCAAGCGTAGACACGCCAACACCAGCAGGCCAGGCAGTCCAAACAAAACACCCACATCGTTCCAGCGCCCGCGACGCCACACCAGCTCAGCAGAGTCGTACGGCGAACGACACAATCCAATAAATCTTATCAGCTCCTCGAGCCACACTCCTCTTCTACCAGGCCCACACGGCCAGACGACTGGCATTGTGCTAAACTCTGAGGCATGGAGATCTTGCACCCCCATGCAGGATAAATCCCCCATCGAATCCCATATACCTCCTCTGCCGCTGCATCGACCGTCGTCGTATCCGCATCTGCATCCGCGCCCTGTCGCCGACCGCCCACGCGTCAAACGGACTCGATTGGGACATATGTATGAAGTCTCGCTGGCAGCCGGGTCAGTCAACAGTTTACTTATTGCACAAGAGAGGAACGGCGGGGAGGAACGGCGGGGAGGAACGACGCGCATATCTACCCGCGACTGCAGATCTGTCTGGCGAAGTCTAGAGTGTAAGCTTAGACTCGAACACTGTGACTGAGGGGGGAGGAAGAAGAAGATGGCAAGACATGCCAGCGACCACTTTTCCTCTAAATTTGAGGAGGCTGATAGCGGAAGAAGAAGAGGTTGCCGACGACAATGGTGTCCAACCCGCGGATATCGACGAGGACGAACCATAGTATGCTGCAAGAACCGGTATTGGCTAACAGACGGATCATATTTGGAGTGTACTTGTCGTGAACGTGTTTCAATTGTCTCATTACTCATACTGATTCATTTAAACCCCCCGCATCTAAACAAGATACCTATACCCCTTCATCAAGCGATGGCCCTCCTCAATATCCACACCCGCAGTCGCAGCAGTCTGCTCCGCCACATTATCCCTCACAACCCACACATCATCCCCATCATCCAGGCGCTTATTCAGTCTGACAAGCACAGTCCTAAAGATGAAGCAGCCCAGGATCGTAACGCAAAACATGGACAGCACAACGCCGTAGCTCTTCCTGTACCCGTTGTCCGACATGTTCCAGACATACGAGCCGGCAATGTTGCCGAGCTGGGAGAAGGCGTTGATCATGGCGATCGCGACGGCGCGCTTGGCGGGTGGGCGCGGGAATGAGGAGGAGATCCACGAGTAGAAGACGATGAAGCCGGCGTAGGCGGAGGCTTGGAGGAAGAGGGCGACGTAGCGCGCCGCCGTGTTGGTCGTGCACATAGAAATGACGAAACCGACTAATCCCCCAATGATTGGGCCTACAATGTGCCAGAAACGCTCTTGCTGGCGGTCGGCGTGCCAGGCGTTGATGAGCGAGACGACGCAGGCGAAGGCCCACGGGGGCGCGGACATGAGCAGCGTGGGGATGCGAGCGAAGCCCAGTGTGCCTGTGAGCGTGGGGAAGAAGGCGTTGAAGGATAGGCCCACGACGTAGGCGGTGAACGTCAACATCATAATGTAAATTTTGGTGTCCTTCACGGCCATAAAAAGGCCGGCGAACGCGGAATCCTCAGAGTCATCGACATCGGCCTCACCCGCATCCTCTGTGATCCTCAATACAGCTACGGCGCGCTCCTCTTCGGTAAAGCCGCGTGTGTTGTGTGGGAGATCGGGCAGGATGAAGATAGCCGAGATGGCGATGGCCATTGTGACGGCGCCCTCGATCCAGTACAGCCAGCGCCACGCACGATGGCCGAGAACGCCTTCCATGTTTCCAAGAACAGCAGCGCCGACGAGGGATGAGAAGGCGTTGGAGATGAGGTTGCCGCAGAAGAGGATGGCGTTTCGAAGCGTGAGTTCGCGCCTCGTGTACCACTTAGAGAGGATGAGTAGGGCGCCGGGCAAGAAGGCAGCTTCTACGAAACCGATGAAGAAACGGATTGTGATCATGCCGGCAAAGTTGTGCACGCTTCCTGAGAGAGTGGAGATCATGCCCCAAACCAACATGACGCAGCCAATGTAGATGGACGGGCGGGGGACGCGGTTGATGATCATGTTGGACGGAATTTGCTGCGATGGAATTAGATCGAAACTTGATAAAAGCAACTTTGAGATTACGAACCATAAGAATGTACCCGACGTAGAGAATGGACAAGCACGTCGCGTACTGCGTGTTGTTGATGTTCAGGTCCTTTTGCAGTCCTCCAAGACGCGCCGCAGCAATGTTGTTGCGATCCAAATAGTTCATGATGTAGATCAGGACGAACAATGAGCATCGCATGTCCAGCTTGCGCTTCAGCGTCTTCTCGACCTCGACCCTCCTCTCCGGGCTCAGGCTGGCGGCCAGTCCAGCTCCACTAAGCTTGGTGTGCTCCATGGTCTGGGGTGCATGCTCAATTGCACCGTCTTTGTGATCCAAGGGTGCCATGGTTGTCAAATCGTCTTCGAGGAACGAAGTAGCAAGTCCTTGTCAAATAAAGCCGGAACCTGGGGTCTCCATCTCTTATACAATTTCCTTCTTGGCGCAGATGCAACGTCGTGTGCTCCACTGTAAGCATCGTGTCATGGCACCCCTACAGTTGGCCGCGTTACGTTGAGACGCCCGTCGTGACTGTCGGAATTTTCTGTAAGCCAAGGACTAGCCCGCCTCTGCATCATTGCTTCTACTTGCGGATACAGTATCCGATGATTTGCGGGGACGCCGATCTCCTGGGGTTGACAAGACGATGGTTCGTTGCGTGCTTGCTGATAATCTCACGTGGTTGGCCCGGTGTGGTACTGATAAGCAGCTGACCATGCAATGTGCTCCAAGCATCGCGAAGACTCACTCAACAACACCTTTACAGACCGCATCTCACGATCCTCGCAGACGTTGATTCCTCCAGTTGAGCCGCACGCGACTAGTGCGGCGCCCCGCATGGCGCCCGCGGGAAAACGTCGGAAAAGAGTGATTGTTGGGGTGTCGGGGACAACCGGTTCGTGTAAGCGGCATTTGGCATCATACGCCGACTCATCTAGCGTAGTGGGGGGTGTGAGGGAGAGTTTGTAGCAACCCCATCTGTGTAGGTACAGTAGATACCCCCGCATAAGAATCGCCCTAATATAGGAATCATCCCAGCTTAGGCATCAAAATGTCTGCCACCGCCTATTTTTAGTGAGGATAAGCATCAATGCAGCTGCAAGAATATGCTTAGCCCTATACGCCTTTAATTCTTATAACAGGTATAGATCTATGCCTATCTAGGTAAGTTCTAACGCCTATCTAAGCAGGGCTTTCCCTATCTAGGTTTAGATCTTTACTAGCCTTAGCACACCGGCAGGTTTGAGCTATTATTGTCGTTAATTACGGTCCTTTCTACAAGAATCAACCCAGGATAAGCATCAAATTTGTGCCATATTACATGATGCTTATACAGGGGTATCTACTGTACGCGAGCTCCGACATGAGAGAAGTCGGGGATTCTGCAACCATCAGACTAGACGGGTACCCCGGGTGCACCCGATGCCAATGGGCGGCGGAGATGGTTGCGAAGTCTACCAAAAGCTTGTGCTGGCCGATTAACCCGCCTCGTACATTCCTAGACCCGGGTAGAGCACACTTCCAAAGCTTACCAAACCTCATGCCCCGTCGTCAATCCATTATCCAACATTGTGTTTAGCGTATACTGATCCACCCCCCACGTTTCTCCACACCGCTGTCCCCTGACTCCAGGTTCTCCGACTTCTCAGCCCATGCCCAGAAACGAAACTGTCTACGGTAGCGATTCGCTAGCACGCCTTGGCACTATGCCAGACACGGATGCCGTGGTGCAATACCGGTCCTTGGAAACATGCTGATTCTCGAACGATAATTAGATTCCCATGATTGTCTTGGCCACAGTTGCACCAACATGGAAGTACTTTGTGTTGTCCTCTCCCTGGCCGTGTCGCCTGTCGTCAAACAAATCTATCTACTCGTCGTGAACTTCAAGTTGCAAACAGCCGAGGAGTTACTCTCGAAGTACTTGAAGTTCTAGACAGGGTTGGTTGTTTGCAGCCAGCACCGCGAGTCAAGCTCCTTCTTTGCACCCGACACTAGCGCCGTTTTGACCTGACGTCGTTCTGGGTCGCATTCTTCCTGTGTGAAGAAGCTCCAGTAGCATCCGACAAATCTTCTCGCACTTCGCCGCATCCAGGAACTGTTTCCAACTAATTGTGAGGAATGTTTGTCTGATTGGTTCGAGAAACCAGAAAGGAGATTTTACTAGCTGTGCTTCCTAAGTGTTCCGCCGGATGGCATACCGATACTGCTAGGACTTCCGTCGGATACCACGATAGGTAAGCATAGCGCTAGCGTCCGCCAATTAAGCGGAATGCATTGCTGCCACTCGTGCGTCGTCTAAACACTCACATAGTGCAGTGTCGGGAGAAATTACCAACGAAAGTAGTACTTACATTTAAAGTTTGACATGGCTCATCCGACTATCGATCCTGCCGAGGCTCTACACTCGAGCAGCCTCGAACGAGTTCTCGACCCCCACGATGGTCTGGAGCGCCGACTTGTTGACTGCCTCCGTGGAGAGATCGTGGTGCGTGTTGTGGAGAAGCGGAGAGTCTGGAAATGGGATAGTGTCAGCTCTTGTATTGTTTTCAGCACATCTGCGGAATGTAGGGCTTTCTGAAACGGTAATTAAAGCGGTATCGATTTGGTCGACGACTTTGATCATCTTGACAAGGCTTACTGGTGCATAATGGCGAATGTAAATCAGCGTTCATGGCTGAGTAGGCAGTGGATAAGTATATGGGACATTTCCACTGCTATCCTAGGTAGTCAGTCAGTCGATGGACGATTATCCTTTCAACACACATCTTCTCTTCGTTACATGAACTTCAAAAATAATATGCCTCTACACGCCCGCCCCCAGGAACAGGAACAGAAACATTGCATTCCCACTCAGAACGAGCGCGAGTGAGACACTCGAAAGGAAAATACCCTCAGAAGTTGAGCGAGATGAAGTGACCAACAGGGTCAGTCTATCGAGGCTAAGAACACTGTTCATAGACAACGTCTTGCCTTAGACTAATAATATGGAATGATTTTCTCCATGTTCTTGACTAGTCGAGATACCTGGAATTGAGATGCGTTCTTTCTACAGAAAACAGGATGAGAAATTAGGGGTCAAGGTTGCTAGATGTATACCAGCAAGGCTTAGGGAGCACAGGTTTCGCTTGGATTTTGGCATGTTGTTGTCTAGTAGTTGCGAGATTGAGCTGTGGCTTGGTGCTGGGTATATGCATGGTTTGGTGCGGGTTGGTTTTATGGCGTGACGACGAAATGAATATTTCATATCACTACACAGTTCCTGACCACGCGTGAAGTTGAAACGTTGGAATTGACATGCTTTTGCCCGTGTATGTGGCTATGAATACATTCAAGAACGGATTCTAGAGTGGAAGGAAATATGAACATGTATATAGGGCGAAAAAGGGTATCTCAACCTCCCAAACAAACGACTCGATGTACAGAAACCACCCTGAGACTACACTTGCTGCTGACCGCTTCTCCAAATAGGCTGGAAGACCTCTGATGAGGTTGACCGAACGAGGGACACGGCCGTCTCAGACACGTCCTTGCAGTCACAGCCCCACGACATTTACACATGAGATCGACGCACACAACCTCAATCATCATCCTTACCATCCCCATCCCCACCATCATCCCCATCATCATCGTCGTCGTCATCATCATCCTTCTTCCCCGCCACAGTCTCCATCTCCAGCACCCTCCCAACCCTCCCCACCCCATCCCCAACCCTAACCCTATACCTCCCCCCATCCCACAGATCCTTAAACGTAAGTTCCTTCGTCCTAGCCAGGCTCTCAATCGCGCTAATGCGATCGAGCGTCGCGTCCAGGAACTTCTCGAACCCGGGCTCGGAGCAGATCTCGTTGAAGGCGCGCTGCATGGGCACCGAGTCGGCGCGCACCATGGCGTGCGAGTCGATGCTGAAGATGGATAGGTCGTGGTGCTTGCGGATGAAGTCTGAGCGCGTCATGATGAAGCGTGCGCGGTGGAGGGGGATTGAGGGTAGGATGTGGCCGGTTCGCGGGTCGTAGGTGCGGTCCATTTCGTGGGTTGCTTTGTGCAGGGCGTTTGCGAGGACCATTGCTGTGGACTGGTTGGGGAGTTAGTATGGAGTTAGATATGGTGGAGGGAGGGAGGGGTGTGGCGTACGGCGTATTTCTGCTGGTCCATGACGTCGTCGTCCATTTCCTCGCCGAGGATGGCGCAGTTGTTTAGGAACCAGATCTTTTCTATCGCGCAGATGTGGTCGCATTTTTCGAGCATGTTGGGGGACTTGGCGACGCGGTTGAGGAACGTTAGGCGGCCTCCTATCTTGTCGTAGACTTCTGCGAGGACTGTCTCGCCTGGCCGTTCGTGCCAGTACTTCATGCGGTAGTTTCGGAGGGCTTGCATGGCGCGGTCTTTGCAGAGGTCCTTGATCTGGTGCACCTCCATCCGCGTTCCGTGGTGCTTGAGTCGTTCGAAGACCCAGTATTTGTCCGAGTTGATGATGATGGTTGCGAGGTTGGAGGCTGCCCATTGTTCTGCGCGCTGCTGGATGAGTTCGAGGAGGTCGCGGCCATCTTCGTCGTCGCGGATAAGATGCGCTTGGTTGATGATGAGGATGAGTGGTTTCCCTATTGTCTCTCGTCGTCTCAATGCGACTTTCTCGAGTTTGTTGAATGCTCGCTCAATGTCTAGGATGGCGCCAGCGTCGCGGGGTCCGCGGATGGAAAATAAAGATCCGATGTTGTCCTCGTGGTATTCAAAGTCTAGACACCGTCCAAGGCGGACACGGAACACCTCAAGATCTGCGTGGGCTTCCATCATGGAACAACCCTCGCCGTTGATCTTGGCCATTGCGTCGATCAGCATGGAACTCTTCCCAGTACCTTTCTCGCCGAGGAGCAGATGGTACCGGCCTTTGGTCTCTCCCCAGACGATCTTATCAATCTTCTCTTGTTCGTCACGTGGTATCCATCGATCACATCCGTCATCGTCCTCGCCATGTAACACCTCTGTTCGCGTAGGTTCTCTTGGTACTTCTTTGCCGGTGGCAGCAAGGTCAAGAACCGGGTCGCCTTCCCTGAAAGCATTCTCGATCTTCTCGAGCACGTTCCATTTGTAGTACTTGGTGTAGCCAATGCCCACGCATGCTAGGATGAAGATGCTGGCGCCCGTCGTTGCTGCTGACTCGAACATTTTCCATCCTGTTGCTTTCCACTGCTGCTTCTTTGCCTCGCGCTCCTCTTCCTCCTCGTTCTCGCGTTCCGTGGCATCGTCGATGGGGTTTGGCGTATCATTGCCGGGGTTTGGAGGGCCAGACTGGCCACTGAGGGAGCGCGCAAATGGAAGTCGGCTTGGTTGCGTCCAGGCCTGCTGGAACGTGCGCAGGCTAGGCTGTGAGTGTCTGTGTTTACACAAGACGTAGGAACGTGCAATTGAGGACCAGGAGGCGGATCGTAACATTAACATTATACGTGTCGCGCAAGGGACGCGTGCTAAACAAGAGCGGGCCCGGGACGTTCAATGCAAGGAGAAAAGAAAGACTGTGAAAGGAGAGACTGAGACTGAGAAAGAGACATGCGCCGGGGAGAGATGGATTGCGATGGAGGGAACGCGAGGAGACGCGTAGAAGGATTCATTGCGGGTTGTGGTGATGTGCTGCAGGCTAGTAGTGGGCTGTACGGCGACGACCAAGACACACAAGACTTCCAAGACAACCACGGCGTTGCGACAGAGAGCCCCGCGGCCGTCGACTGGAGTGCATCGCCAGACGGCTTCGAGATGCGACAAGCACAGAAATCCCAGCAGGCTGGAAACCACCACCGTCAGCCGGTGCAAGCTCACGTCGAGGTTCCGCCATCCCGAACATCCTTGCAGCGCGCCCGCACTAGAGCAGCCGAGTGGTGCGAAAAAAACGTTCAAGGTTCAAGTGGCAGCTATCTCTTCTCCACCACAGCGTCAACGCATGCCATTGTACATTAATGCGTTTCTCCTGCTTATTGTCCTCACCCGTCTAGACCCCTCCTTTTCTTCTGCAGCCGTTCTTTCCCGGAGTTGTAGTGATTTGCCCGAATATGGCCGCTAACAGTAATGACGCTGTTAAGAATGGTACGCTCCCCCACACCACCAACAAAAACTCTGCCGTGCACTTTTTGTGAGACAGACCATGGCTGACAGCAGTGACATAGCAGACGTCGCCAAGGCGCCTGCTGCCGAGCAGAATGCGGACAGTCAGGTCGAGCAGGGTGTGGTTGAGGAAAGCGTAGACGAGGGCGCCGAGGGCCAGCAGCCAGACAGTAGGTGTCATCGAGGTCTGGGGAGATGGGACGGAAAGAGCTGACGGCATGCAGACATCTTCCAGGTCAACATCAAGCTCCCCAACGAGCCCTTTGAGATGCCCATGACAGTGCGTCTCGCCCACGCCCACCACCACTGCCCGACTACATAGCTTATACTTTGCAGATTTCCACAGCCGAACAGGTGCAAGACCTGCGTCAGTCCATCATCGAGTTACCGCACACCTTCCAGTACTCGTGCTTCCATCTGGAGCACGAGGGCAAGCGCATCAACGACTACGTCGAGCTGTCTGAGGTCGAGGGCCTCAAAGCTGAGTCGGTCATGGACCTGGTGCAGGACCCATACACGGAGAAGGAGGCCAGGTTACACGTCATTCGCATTCGCGAGCTCATTGGCGCTGCTGGCGACCGCGTCGATACCCTACATGGCATAACGGCTGGTCTGTCGCTGCATGACACTGTCGGGCTCGATCAGACAGGCAAAGCAAGCGAGGATGGCCCCGAGCAGTCACCACTGGCCGACTACGACTTCAAGTCTTCAGGGGACGTAAAGACTCTCCTGCCTCCAGCACAAGACCCCGCCCCAAAGACGATAAAAGCCATTGCCGTCTCACCATGGAACCCGCCACCATACCATCTGCGGTCAAAGGGCCACCTCCTCTACCTGGTGGTGACGACCAACGAAAACGAGCAGCATCACATCACCTCCCACGTCTCGGGCTTCTACGTCAACAAGTCGTCCAACGCCAGCTTCGATCCTTTCCCACGACAGGCACCAAAAGCCCGACAAGCGCACTCGCTCCTCACCCTCCTCGAGGAGCTGTCGCCCTCCTTCCGCACTTCGTTCCAGGACTTGCTCCAGCACAACGCAAAGAAGGAGTTGCTCACCATCTTTCAGCTCTCAAACGCCATTCCCGCGAACCCTTGGTTGGTTCCCGCACCAACCTCGTCGCTCACTACACATCAACCCGATCTGGCGCGGACACAGGAGAGCTATTTGATCTCCGGTGTCGAGAACACCGAGACCCTCCGCGACTGGAATGAAGAGTTTCAGTCCACGCGGGAGATGCCCAAGGAGGCAGTTCACGACCGCGTTTTCCGCGAGCGTCTCACCTCCAAACTGTTTGCTGACTACAACGACGCGGCGACTCGCGGAGCTATGCTGGTCGCTCGTGGAGAAATCGCGCCTCTGAATCCTACAGAAGCAAGAGATGCGCAAATCTACGTCTACAACAACATCTTCTACTCCTTCGGCGCTGACGGTGTTGGCACTTTCGGTACCGAAGGTGGTGACGAGGCCGCTCGCGTGGCGGTTGGCAAGGATGTTGTCGGTGTACGCGCGGTCAACAACCTGGATATTCCCAATCTCTTCACGTCTGGAACGGTCGTCGTCGACTATCTCGGAAAGCGTATCGTTGGTCAGAGCATTGTACCAGGTATTTTCAAGCAGCGTGACCCTGGGGAGCATCAGATCGACTACGGTGCGGTCGAGGGCAAGGAGATCGTCGCCGATGACAAGTCATTCGTTCCGCTGTTCGAAGTGCTTTCAAAAGCATTGCGAGTCAAGAAGCATCCCGTATGGGACAAGGACAATGTCCGACACGAACTTGAGGGAAGTGTTGAAACCAAGGGTCTCATTGGTACCGACGGAAGGCGTTATGCTCTCGATCTCTATCGCCTCACACCCCTGGATGTATCCTGGATTGAGGCCTACTGGAGCGAGCCAGGCAAGGACGGCGAGGCGAAGCCGCAAGACAAGGACTACCCTCACCGCATGGCTACGTTGCGTCCTGAGCTTGTCGAGTCGTATGGCAGACTGAAGTTGAGAGAGTATGTCAAGAACGAGCTAGAAAAGAGGACAAACAACAAAGATGAGACTACCACCAAAGAGGTACCGAAGGAGGACGAGAGCTCTTCTGAGGAGGAATCTTCGGAGGAAGAATCTGACTCTGAAGAGGACTCTGATGATTCGGAGAAAGAGTCAGAGGCGAAGCCAAAGACGAAGCCAAAGAAGGTCTCCAAGGCAGAGAAGAAGGCTGCGGAGTCCAAGGAAGTGGAAAAGGCTGCGGAGTCTACGGAAGTGGAAAAGAAAGACGATGCAGCGCCAGAGCCAGAGCCAGAGCAAGACCGCGTCGACATTTCCGGCTTCTCGTTCGCACTCAACCCAGATGTCTTTTCTGGTCAGAACCCACAAACGGAGGAGGACATGAAGGAGTGGGCACAGGATGAAGCCGAGGTCCGCGCTGCCTGCGAACACCTCTCGTCTGAAGTTATTCCCCGAATGATCCAGGAACTCCACGACGGCGAAGTTGGCTTCCCAATGGACGGCCAGTCCCTGAGCACTCTCTTGCACAAGCGCGGTGTCAACATTCGCTATCTTGGTAAGATTGCTGAACTTGCAGACAAGCCCGATCCTCGTCTGCAGGCTCTCAAGCGTCTGGTAGTTCAAGAGATGATTGCGCGTGGCTTCAAGCACTTTGCCAATTCGAAGCTACGCAATGTCCCAGCACCATTTGCCGCCCCTTGTATCGCACACCTTCTCAACTGTCTTCTCGGTGCTGAGGTTAGCGCCAAGCCAGTGGCAGAGAGCGACAGTAGTCTCAAGCCCATGTACCCCGAGGCCGACTTCAGCTTCGAGGAACTGACGCCTGAGTCATTGAAGAAGGAGGTGATTGCTCAAGTTACTCTGCGATACAGATACGATCTGGGCGAGTTGTGGATCGAGTCTGGCAAACAACTGCAGCTGTTCCGAGAAGTCTCCCTCAAGCTGGGTCTCCAATTGGAAAGCAAGCAATACGCTTTCACGAAGGAGGCATTTGCCAACGGTACTGCTGCTGCTGAGGCTCCTGCTGCCCCACAGACAAACGGACACTCGACATCGAGCAAGAAGAAGAAGAACAAGCAGGTTGCTTCTCCAGCTCGCGTCGATAGTCCAGCTGCCAAGCTCGCTCCCCAGACTTTCCACGCTGATGACGTTCTGAATGTTGTTCCCGTTATCAAGGAAGCCTCGCCAAAGAGTCTTCTAGCAGAGGAGGCTTTGGAGGCTGGTCGCATGTCCGTCGCCCAAGACCAAAAGGAGCTTGGACAGGAGCTTCTCCTTGAGTCGCTCCAACTGCATGAGCAGATCTATGGTGTTCTTCACCCAGAGGTCGCTCGTGCCTACCACACTCTGTCAAATTTGCTCTTCAACTTGGGTGACAAGCAGTCCGCTCTTGAGCTCGCGCACAAGGCGGTCATCGTGTCGGAGCGCACTTTGGGTGTTGATCACGCGGACACAGTATTGGCCTACCTGAACTTGGGTCTGTTCGAGCACGCCACGGACAACACCAAGAAGGCCCTTGTCTACGTGCGCCACGCGCTCGAGCTGTGGAAGATCATCTACGGTGCAGATCACCCTGACTCTATCACAACTCTCAACAATGCTGCCGTGATGCTCCAGGCCATGAAGCAATACCATGAATCCCGCATTTGGTTCGAAGCATCTCTCGCCATTTGTGAGGATGTCTCGGGCAAGACGTCGATCAACACTGCCACTCTCCTCTTCCAGACTGCTCAGTCGCTCGCGCTTGACAAGGACATGCGTGGCGCCGTCAACCGCATGCGCGAGTCGTACACTATCTTCAAGGATGTTCTTGGTGCTGAGGACCGCAACACAAAGGAAGCCGAGAGCTGGCTCGAGCAGCTCACACAGAGCGCTGTCGTCCAAGCCAAGCAACTCAATGATATTGCCAAGGGTCGCATACGCCGCATCCAGCTCACTGGTAGGAACCCTCTTCGACCAGCGGCTCCTACACCCTCAGCGAGTGAAGTTGCTGCTGCTGCAGGTGGCCAACGCAGTGGCACCGGCCGCATCGATCAGCGTAACATTGAGGATCTGCTCAAGTACATCGAGGGCGACGCAGCAAAGACGCCTGCGAAGAAGAGGACACAGACCAACCCCAGGAGGAGGGGCGGCGCACCGAAATCTTCGTAGATGTCGCCGAAGGTAATCCTTTTCGATGGGATGCAGCGCGCCTTGTATGACACGTTAAAAGTTTGATATTCGTGCGCTGTGCCAACCGCTTGTACCAACATTGTTCATGGTTTATGATTTTCATCTGCACAGCATCCGCGGGTGCCACTTTGGTGGGCTTTTGTCTTGTACGTTTTCATTTCGGGTATTCTTCTTGTTTCGGCTACGATGGGCATGTGGGAGTTTGGTCTGTATGTGCAGATTTGGGGGTTCGTCAGGTCCCAGCACCTTTTCTTGCTTGTTCATAGACTCTGAGGCAGAGTACGAAGTGCATGGTTAACGGGCTTGGACGCATGGACGAAAAGGTGTATATGTACTCGATAGCAACGCAAAAGGTCTCCCCTTCTCATACATGTTAGTCTATGTGTTTTCAAGTGTGAAGCCGAAGAGAAAAGATCGAAGTGAGTGTTGTGGGTGGTCCGTGCCCGCGATCCACCATGACGTTCCAAACACAAATCTTAGCAAAAGCGACCAGCCTCCACACAACACCCTGTCCCCCGCGGCGCGCATTCCTTTCTCTGTGCAAACCGACGCGTTTTTCACCTCAACTCCTCTTCCTCGAGCTTCTGCGCGACTCATACCACGCAATGGCATCTCCCAGACTGATCGATCGCGCCGAGCCGGCCGTCGTTACGCACACGCACGCGCCGGTGCGAAGGTCGCGACTGCCCGCGGCGCTGCGCATCCCAATACTCGTCGTGCTCAACATGGGCATCAACACGGCGCTGTGGTCGTTCGTCTCCAACTTCCTGAGCCCAGAGCTGGGGGCCGTCAGCAAGGTGCCACATGAGACGGACAACTGGTCTTTGTACTCGCCCGGCGCGCGGGTTGCGATGCGCGTCCTGACCCTGTGGATGCAGTGGTACTTCAACTACGACTGTAAGACATGCGCGCTCAGTACAGACATGGTGATGAAAGGCTAACGTTGGCAGTCTACGATGTCGCTGCGCTCTCCGTCTTGACACAGGCGCCCTATGCTTACCTCCTAAACACCTACTATGAAATCTCTACCCTCACCGTCGCGGCGCATATGAACATCGAGGTCCTCTCCATGGCTATCCCGACGTTCCTCCTGCGCCCACGCGCTGCCATCCACGACAGGCGCGCGCCGCTGCGCAACCGTTACCTACTCGACAGTGCGCAGGTGCAGCTGTCCACCTCGCTGCTGGCTATGGGTGTATATGGCGTCGTGTTCTGGGCAGGCCTCCAGACCGGACTCCTCAACGTGTTCCTAGTGCGTTTCTTCGACATCCCCACGCTCGAAGCCGCATACAACGAAACACCCCTGTCCATCTGCAGCAAGATCTTCACCGCCGGCTTCGCCGCGAAAAGCTTCCTACTCAACCCTTCCATGGCCGCGCAGTCACCCACCGCCACGCCTGTTGAAGTCTTCGATCCCGCGAGCGCAACCTTCACGCAGACTGTAAAGCACAACTTCTGGTTCTTCAGCAGGAGGACTAGGACGCTCATCCAGCAGACGCTCGTTTTGAACGCGTTTGTCTTCCTGAACTTGGTGCAGAGGCTGATGACGCTTGACGGTACGGAGTATATTGGCGCCGCGGGCTATGCGAGCGTTTGGGTGGCGGCGAACTCTATCATCGCAGCGTGGTATGCGTGGGTGGGTAATACGAGCGTCGATTACGAGCCGTTGTAGTGGTCTTGCAGTGTAGCGTCAAAGTTTCACGTTGGAGATAAAGAGAGAGAGAGAGAGTGCTGAGTTTGTCCAAGAGATGAGGGCGCAACCAGCGCGAATCGAGAGACGCGGGTGGCAGAGGAAAGGGCGAAGAGGACGGCGTATACGACGGCGCCAGTTTGATCTTGGACGTGTTTTTGCAGTCGCCATGTATCCTATCTTGTTCTGTCTTGTCGCATTTGGGATCGGAGCCATTGGGTCATGCATATTTGTTTTCTTCTTCCCTTTCAAATCATATCATGTCAATTCAAGTCGAGTAAAGTAGTAAAATCAAATCCAACAATCCAAATCCAACCACCCTCCCTTCCTTTCCCTTCCCTCAACCCATCTCGCACTCACTCCACATAAAAAACCTCCTCCGTAACCCCCCACCACCCCGGCCCCGTAGCACTCCCCTCCGCCCCCGCAACAGGCGACTCCTGCATCCCATCCGTCATGCGCCACCACGCCTGCACTTTCGGGTTCGCCGCCATGCGCGCCATGTCCTCGTCGAAAGCTGTGCCGGTGTATTTGAACGAGGCGAAGAGCGTTGGGCGAGGGTGCAGGGAGAGGAAGATGGAGTCTTTTTGGTTAGCTGGGGTGGGTGGGAAGGGGAGAAGCGGGGGGGGGAGGGTGATGTTTGGGGGGGGGTTATGATGGGGGGATTATGTACAGTCTGCGACGTTGGAGTCTTTGATTTGCTCGAGCACTTCGGGCCAGACTGCTGCGTGGCAGGCTTTGTATTCTTCGATGGAGGTGGGGCGCAGGTAGAGCCATTGGCCTATTCGGCGGGGGCCTTGGTATGTGGATGGGGACATATTGGGGAGAGTTTTGTTGAGGGGGTGGGGTGAGAGGGGTGTTTGTTGGATGTGTTTGGTGTTTGGTAGATGTGGAGGGAGTGTCGGTTGGGGATGTGCCGAGATCTGGGGTTGCGGGGTGGGAGGCGCCGAGTGGGGGGTACTTCATCATTCGTCGTTATAGACACGAAAAGTGGTTTTGGTTGAGGATGTTAATCTGTGTTTGATGACTACGGCTTCAACTCTAATTCATATCGACCAGGCTTCAAGCTCACCCGCCGTCCTTTCTTTGTCACTGTATCTCCACCTCTCCTCGTCACGGCTACCTCACTATCATCTCCCGGCAGCAACAAGAATCCTGTCGTGCTCGTAGGAACCGTAATCTTCATCTTCACAACCTCCCCCTTCTTCTCATATACCACTTCAATCACCCCATACGGACACTCCACGCTCCCCTCCACACGCCCAAACTCGCTCCTCAACGGCGGCCTAACAGTCCACGTGCGATACGCCTCGCTCTCCGGCTTCACCCCCAACACCGCCTCATAAAACCACTCATAAATCGTGCCCAACATATCGTGACATTTACTCCGACACGCATCCTGCCAGAACTCATTCAGCGTCGTCTCCCCGCGCCGGATAAACCGCATGTACGACGGGTGTTCCTCCTGGCGCGCCATCTCGAGCACGATATCAGGCCGGTCGACGTCCGCGAGCGTGTTCCACAGGTACTTCAGCCCGATCTCGCCGGCTTGGATGCGGTTCTGGGCCGCGGCGCAGTCGGCGAGGAAGGCGCGCTGGATGTCGGGGATGTGCTGTGCGGGGACGAGATCGAACTGCAGGGCAAAGGCCTGCGCGACCATATTTCTATCCTGCGTGCCTGGCTCGTCGCGCGAGGTGTAGAAGGCGTAGGGGTGGAGTTTCTTGTCCGTGACGAGCAGGCGCGCGTTGTAGACGGTGTAGATGCGGTTTGCCCATTCGCGGAACCGGGTCTCTGCTTCGGGCTTGTCGAGCTCGTGGGCCATGCGCTCGATGTTGCGCAGGCAGCGGTAGTAGATTGCTGTCTCGATGTTGGCTTGGTTGTTGCCGAATGCGATGTCGCGGCCCCAGTCGCCCAGGCCGTGTTCGATCAGTCCGCCGTCGCGCTCCTTGGTGCGTATGTACTCCATGTAGCGTACGCATGGGTCGAAGAGCTTCTCAAAGACGTGCGTGGAGTCGTAGTAGAAGCGCAGGATTTCCGGTAGGAGGGCGACGGCTCCGCCCCAGGTTATGGTGTCGTGGAGAGGTCCGCACATGTATCGGATTTCTGGAGCCATGGTGGGACAGAGACCGTTTGGCTCCTGCGCGTCCACAATGTCGTCAAGGATCTTGGAGTACAGCGATTCCATGTCCCGGATGTACTGTGTCGCAGGCGCGAGGAGGTGCGTTACTTCCAGCCACCCGAACTTCTCCATCTGCGGACAATCGGTGTGGTAGCTGAAGAGGTTGCTGACGAAAGACCAGTAGCACATGTCGATCAGCTTGTTGACGTCTTCTTTGTCCGTCTTCATCGAGCCCAGTCGTCGTGCTGCTGACGAGACGTGTCGACTGACCACTGAATGCACCACCGGTAGGCCCTGATCAGACTTGAATGAAGCGCCCTCGATCTGGATATACCGCGCACTCGTGAAGCAAAAGTCTGGCTCCCACGTCTCCACGCCTGTGCCAGCTAGTGTGAACTTGCAGAACACGCCGTACTCGAACTGTTTGAATAGAGGGTCTGGCATCAACACCTTACCATCCTCGCCGATTGTCTCGGAAAAACGCATAATGACTTCCGAGCCTGCAGGCCCACTGACCTGTATCTTGACCATAGTCGTCATGTTCTGCCCAAAGTCGAAGCTTACAATGCCTGGCTCCAGCGTCTTCTTTGTTTTTGGTTCAAACGTCTCGTGCAGCACGACAGGCGGTTGATTCTGATACTTCAACTTCCCCCTTGGTCCTGTGACTGGAGTGGCGTTCTTCCACTCCGCGCCTTGTTCGTAACTCGGTGTATCCCAGCCTGTTGGATAGTTGCGAAGATCCTTCGTCTCGGATGAGTATATGTTCGCCAATGTGGTTGCGCTTTTGCGGATACTCCAGTCCGGACCTGTGGTGATGCACTCCCGACTCCCGTCGTCGTAGAACAAGTGGACTTCTGCGAAGAAGCACAATTCGTTCCCGTACCGCACATATGTGTTGTCTTCATAAGATGGCCAGAAGAAGCGGTCGTCACCTTGATCTCCTGCGTAGAAGCCGTTGCCCACGTGCGCCCCTATGACATTCTCGCCTGCCTTGAGGATATTTGAAATATCGTAGGCCACGAACTGAACAGTCCGATGGTAGTTGGTCCATCCAGGATCAAGAACATGTCCGTTGGCAGCTGCAGGGTCGCCGTTGCACACGAAGTTGAAGTGACCCAGGCCTGATGCGAAGACGATGGCACGAGAAGGTTTGCGCTCAAGATGGATAGATTTTCGTAAGTAGAGAGGTTTGTCACCATTGTCCCCGATCCACACGCCTTTCCAGCGGTTGGGCTCGTCTTCGAACCAAGTGCGGAATATGAGGCTGGTATGCGGCATCTGGTTGTACTCAGTCATTGACTCGATGTGGGAGTAAACGCCAGCTTTGCACTCGATGGTCACGGGATCCATACATATGTCTGGTTCATACTATACGGTGGTAGGAGCCCACTGCATCTCGGATACGCAGTGAAGAATTCGTTCGACTCGCTCGTGGTCTCCTGGCCATCTTGATCCCATACTGTCACTTGCCAGTAGTGGAATGTCGCCGAGTGAAATCCGCCCTCTGGCGCACATAGTATGTTTCGCTGTCGATTGCTTTCGACTCTCCCAGAATCCCAGAGCAGCGAGTCAAACTCACGAGAGAGTGAGACCTTCACGCGATATGCGGTCTGTTGCGCATCTTCACGGTCTGAGTGTAGTACCCAAAAGAAGCGTATCTTGTCTGAATCTATGCCGAGGACTTCGTGGAAGGCGTGTATGCCGCAGCGAGTGATTGAAAACGCCATGTTGTAACGTTGGTGACGCGTACAACGTTGCGTCTTCCTACAAAAGAAGCTTATCACGTCTGCTTCGGTTGGTGTTCTCGCGACCAAGACGCTGGTTCAGGGCAATACACCGACAAGAGAGCACTAGCATTGGCCATCAACGTCCATGCATGAGCAGATCTTAATGTCCTGGTAGAAATATGCCCGAATGCGCGTAAACGTTTATTATCCCAAGCTGCGCAATGCTTCTGCCATGGGTTCGGATAACATGGGTCTTGGTGGCGATTATGTGTTCGTACTACACATTTGCCAAGATCGATGGGTCTTCTGGTATCTGGATAGTCAGTCGTTAGTCGTTACGCCGGTTTCGCGCCACGATCTATACAATATGCTAATCACGTGACCTTCGAGATAGGCGATCTAATCACTTTGTCCGGGTGAGCACTTACCCAGATACCCTGTCAAGGAGCCTAACCCTGAGTTCACTCCAAGTAATGCGGGGTAGACTAGCTACTAGAGTGAGGAGAAGGTGAAACATTGTCGCAAAGCCATCGAAGCTGCGTGACATAGCGTATCGGACGCCAACCCCGGCACGATCTATTCAGTAGGAAACACACATGTTCTCACCCTGTCGGTGCATATCATCCCGATCTCATGGATGCTACCCCATGGGGTCGGCAGATGTGACATCCATGCGGCGATCCCAATGCGCTACCATGGGGTTTTGTCTTGGGGTTTTGTTCATATATCAGGTTCAGGGATCATCGTGTCTCGAATTGATTTTCAAGACAAGTTCATCGATAGTTGTATCTCCAGGTCAGCACGATGGGTCTTGCTGTCACTGTATACTCCGCTGTCTTTCTGGCGACCGGAGGGTGAGTACCTATGCACTGAGTGTATATAACCTGCTAACATTTTGATTGAGCTTTCTCTTCGGTTTCGACTCAGGAATCATCACATCGACCATTGCTCTGCCGACCTTCACGGAATATTTCAATAATCCCAATGATACTACCGTCGGCGGCATCGTGTCGGCCTTCCAGGGCGGGGCTATTGCAGGTACCATCTTCAATATGTTGTTCGCGAATATGCTAGGTCGTCGCATGACTATCTTGATCGGTGCCATGGTTTCGGTTCTTGGTAGCTCTCTCCAGGCAGGTGCAGCTAACATGGCTATGTTGATCGTCGGTCGGTTCATTGGTGGTGTCGCAGTAGGGCAACTTACATCGACCATCCCCATGTATGCTGGAGAGCTTTCTGAAGCAAGACACCGCGGTATCCTGTCTGGTTTGTTGCAGTGGATGTTGAGTTGGGGCTTCTTCGTTGCTCAGTGGTTGGGTTATGGATGTTCCTTCAATAACACCCAGTTTTCTTGTAAGTTTATCATACTTTGCTTGCAAAGTCCACCTTTCTGATGAACACTAGGGCGTTTCCCCCTCGCTTTCCAAATTCTACCTGGTCTCATCCTGATGGGAGGTATCTTCTTTCTCCAGGAATCACCTCGTTGGCTTATGGAGAAGGACCGTCACGAAGAAGCCATGGCCTCTCTCAAGAAGCTTCGTACCGGGATTGACGGGGAAACTATTGATCTCGAGTTCCGCGAGATTCGGGACGTTATCATTGCTGACCGAGCACTCGGCAACATCAACTGGCTATCGATCATCACAAAGGCATCCTGGCGTAAGCGCCTTCTTTTGGGCTGTGGTGTACAAGCTTTTGGTCCTCTCTCTGGCATTAACGTAATCAACTACTACGGCCCTCGGATTTACAGCATCCTTGGCATATCCACGCGCGAGTCGCTGATGATCATCGGCATCAGCGGTGCCCTCTCCATCGTTTGGTGCTCCATTGGTCTCGTCCTGGTTGACAAAGTGGGTCGCATAAAGCCTTTAATGGTCTCTGCAGCTGGTCTCGCGACTGCACTGCTTGTCAACGCTATCCAAGGCCAATATCTCGACCCGAATAACGGCGCTCAACTCCGCAGCATGGTCGCAATGAACTTCCTCTTCTCATTTTTCTACACGCCCCTGGGAATCATCTCATGGGTGTATCCTGCCGAGATCTTCCCAGTCGAGGTTCGCGCACTCGGGAACGCAGTCACAACCTTCACAAACTGGGCTATCAACCTGATCTTCGCGCAGTTTAGCCCTCAGGCGCTCAGCAGCCTCGAGTTCAAGTACTTCTACGTATTCTTCGTGTTCAACATCATCGCGTTTTTGTGCTATTGGTTCTTCTATCCCGAGACCCGCGGAAAGACCCTCGAACAGATGGACGAGCTCTTTGGCGATCAGCTTGTGCCGCATGCTTTGCAGGATTCGGCGGCTGCGGAAGCGGCGATGGAAAAGAATGAGAAACTTCATGCTGAGGTTCGTGGTGTATCTGTCACTGCGTAGGTGATGAGAAGAAGGGTGGAGTTTGAAAGAGAATGTCAAGTCGATACCCCACTGGAAGTAGGAGCATCGGTATGAAATGAATTGTAATCATATTTGGATGAGATGCTCGAAGAAGATCTCAAGTCATTCCATGTTATGATCAGTGTGAACCGAAAGTCGTCATTTTAGTGATTCGTCGAGGTCATCACCTTTATTGTATGCTGTCTTCTTCGTTTTATAGCTCGCCCAATTCAAAGAACTCGGCCTCATACCGTTGAAGGAATTGGGGCAAGTAACCCTAGATTTCTGTGTTGATCTGCTCCTCAAAAGTAACACGCACACTCCGGAGCATAAGTGATAATCCCTAGCAACTGGAGGAAAGGTTCTACTTCACAGTAACAAGCAAGGAAAATAGGTATAGTTTACATGAAGCCACATCACCGGTACCGCGATGCCCACATGGTATGGGCAACCGTTTACCATTCATTTCTACATATTCGCTCGTCGATAAGCAGTCATTTGCATATCCGGCACTGTGATACTCGAAAAAGACCAGTGAGCCAGCAATCCACCACATCACGGGCCTTGCTTTTAAATTCTCGAGTATATCCAACCTGCTAGTTACTACGATAGTTCGCGTACACAATCGCCATCTCTCGATCTCCTCGCATACATACTTGCTTGCTTTCTCTCGATTCGAACTCTACTTGTATGCTTACTTTCCTTCTCGATCCGAAAACCAAGATCAACTATTCGTTTTGGCAGATCTCTCGAAATCTTGGTTGCGTGGTTTGGTACAGCGGGAAAAGCAAAGCCAGATCGGAAAAGGAAGTTCGAAAAGAATTACTCAGCCTCTCGTAACGCCTCATGAGAGGAACACACCTGACGTAGTCTATTCACCAACCCTAACATCTTGCAGTCAGTTGACTTCCTAAACATTATACCGAGAGATGTTCCGCATGTCTTCGCTGTGTACACGTCTTCTTCTCCTATGGCAACCAGCATCTGCGCGAGCCGTGGTGTAACTGCCCACTTTCTACGCTGGCTCACCTTCAATCTCCATCTATGACTCCAGTATTCTTCGAAAACATGCTGCGATTCTGGGACTTGATTCACCCAGCCTGGATATGTCGTCACTGTACTTACCATCACGACAGAGTATGAAAACAGATGCACAAACATACTTCTCCGAGTGGACATCATCCCATAAACTCATCAACCACGCCGTAACAACGCCGCATCGCATAGGTCGCGATATCCAGCCATCAAGACCACAACCACAGTTCTCATCACGCACGATCCCTCATTACCAAATTCGACGACCGCGCCCCCACACGCGCGCCTACGTCCCGAGCGAGGCGACGGAAGTACTCCTCCGGTCAGTCTGCCCTTGGAATGCACATGCAGCCATGCGGCGTAGTCAACATCTAAGCGCAGCTCAATAGGCGTAGTTCGCACGGAAGGCGTCCGAGCGTGATCGCCACTGTCTAACGGTGTTGCAGCATCGCCGAGGCGGACGCGGCGCAGCGGGAGGCGCGAAGGAAGAGTGTAAGGGGTTGTGCTTTAGGATTTCCGGTGTAGGAGGGGAAGGGTTGAGTTGGATTAATTTCAAAGGGGTGTGTTGGTAGATGAAAATGAGCAAGGAAAAGATAGCTGAGTGTGGGGTTGATTGCGCTTTGAGCGAGGAATGGACGGTCTTGGTTTGATGCGACGTCGTTGAAGAGTGGATATGGACGTGCTTTGTCGGAGACCGGATGTGCGCCGGTGAGGATTTGATGCTCGGTGCCGGATGGATGCATTGAATACTCGTCACATGATGCGTGATTCTTCATCCGACAGAATATACCTCGGCCTAAACGTGATAACAAAGCGCAAGGCCTTTCCTTGTTCTCTCCACCCTTCACTTCCCACGACACATCCCTTGTCCGGGACCCTGTTAACTAACGCCTGTCACCTCAGCCTTGTGCATAAGAGCACCCCACTCAGCAACACCCTTCCAGAAGCCTGTTCATCATTTGCATGCATCCTACACGTGGGCCGAACAAAGAAAATCCGCGCCAGAAATTTACGCGTAAAACGTCTGTTTCGGGATGAAGCCCGCTTCTCTTAGCCCTGTACCTTCCAAAGGCTCGCATTGTTTCAGCTTCACACGTGGAGTTTGATTATTTTTACATGTTTCATCTTGGAATACTGTGAAAACTGTCTTTTAGAGACTGACACGGCATAAGTTTCCTGTTACGGCGTACGGCTTGACATGCGCGAGTAGGAGTGGAAACTGTGCCGTGTCGCCGATCTGACAAAGGATGAACTTGTTACGCGCTAACGGGATGCGCTGTGGGAACGACCCGTTCGTAAAAGTGATGATGTGATTAGTCAATCCGCGAGGAAACATCGCTGATTCAGATTGTAGGCCTGAAGAAGAGTGACGTGGGAACAATCTCGCTAAGAAGTAGGAAGTCAGTGCGTTCTTTCTGGAAAATTACATGGGCATGGGACGGAGAAATTTCGTGCGAATAATAAGATGAGATGATGTGTTCATTGTCTCTGTCCTTGATCCTTGGAGTGACCACCTGCGACATGCAGATTGATGGAGAAAAGGAACACACGTGAAACAGTGTCAGTGTATTTCTCCATTGTAAGTTATTGTCAAGCAGGTTGCACCCGACCATCGGCAAGTGTTGGTTCATCCGTGGAAGTAACTTGATCCACGCCTTCGTCTGGGAAGGTGTGCATCTGAGGTCGCAGTCGCTAGCATACGCTCAAACCGTGCGTCGGTCGGTCATGACCCTAACAATCGAACCCGGACCGGCGATCTCAACAAGCTGTGGCCGCGTAAGTAAAAGAAGTACGCGGGATAGGATTTGAAGGCTGTTAGGGATGTGATGTCATAGAGTAAACGAACGAGCTGGTTCATAGGGAAACATGAGCATACCTTCTCGTGCCAGCTAAGCAATACACTCATAGCCTGGCCACCGCCCTCCCCTCCACCGCGTGAGTGAACCTGCGAGAAACCGGTTGTTTGAGGAGTGAGATTACGTGTGCTGGTCGCGGGCGATGCTTGCGCCATACCTTTGTAGCTGTACAAGCACATAGCATCAGCCAAATCTGTTCAACGTATTCATAATAGATCGGTGGTTGCGACTAGGGGACTGGATCAAGCGCCAGAGAAACATTGGCAAAGGGCGGTCAAGCCTCGTAAGCTCTGAAAGACCCAAAAGGGATTGGCAGCGTACATATACTTCATCAAGACATCCAATGCTTCTGGCCCACCTGGCGCGCTGTATACACGGCTGAGTATCGGTGACATGTCCGACTGTCGAATAGATTGGAGGATCTCGATGACCGCTGCGAGGTGAGATTCCTATATGATAATAAAGGTTGTCAGCCATGTCTCCGTATGTTTATGGTCGTGTGATGTGAAGAGCCCATCCCGGTAGCTGGAAGCCCGAGTCCGCAGCCGTGGTTACGACTGTGATCACAGTACGTTTAGATACGGAGAGACATCCAATAGAGACCCCCATCACTATGGTTTAGGACTGCCATGGTGATCCAAGCAATGGGTGTAAGGTAGCGCAGAGTAACATACCTTGCTTTTCTCGTCTGCCCCATATGGCGGGCTCTCCAGCGCACCTTGAAGAGCCCCCTCGTTATCGCCACCTCTTAGGAGCTGCCGTATTTGCTGGGAGAGGTTCTGAACATCGGCGGACGATATGGGGGTAACGGCTGGGGTGAGGGAGCTTAGGTCGAAGTTGGCGGGGCTATCCGGGTCTAACGCGTCGATGTTTATCGTCCGCCAGTTGATATTAGCCATGATATCGATCGTGTACGACTGGAATTATGCAGAAAGATGCGATTGTGATCTCGACCAAGGGAGGGCTGGTGGCTGCGAAGGCGTTGTGGTCGTCGAGCTGCGGTGAGGTTGGAAGAAGGCGTGGGGTGCAGCAGCCAGTTCCCCACTGTTTTTGCCCGCCAAGCTTCGCGTGTACCAAATGCAACGTCTGGCTGAACGCTGATCGGTGATACAAGCAAGGGCAAATATTCTCCAAATTGATTGGCGTCGGCATTCAGACGTCCCGTGGACCATCGGTTGGCCAAAGGCGGAAATGCTCAGTGCTACAGGTACAACAACGATCGAACTATTGAAGCAGACAATACAAACAAACATGATGATCAAGCGGTGAGATGAGAAGGTTGTAAGTTGCATTAGTCTATAATCTCCAGTAGTGTCGCGAGACACATATCTGGAGCCCAACACTGTCTAATCGAAAACCCATTGCCCTGCAGCCATGTAGCCGACTGATGAATCCAATCCATCAAGTGCTGATCGTGAATCTATATGATCCACTTGGCTCGTCAAAACTATTGTACAATGACCCATGCCCTAACGCGCCAATGAAGGCAGGCGATGGTAGTCTACCCATATATGTTCTACCCGTAAAGAAAAGAAAGATCCTTTTTTGGTATCTATGCCTGAGCCCAACCATCTATAAAACGCCGATATCAAAATAACTTTTTACCGTAAGGAGACGCTGTCGCTAATCGGTTGCCGCAAGGAGGTGGTGTGGCTGTGCGTGAATCGCTCGATAACGCTGGACGGAAACGGAGAACGCATGGGTATTACGCTGTCGAATGGAACGAAGTGAGAGTCGCATATTAAAAAACGTAGTTCCGAAGGGTGGTGAAAGGTGATGCTCGTGGCGAGAACTGAGAGCAGGTGCGTGGTCGTAGTGAGTGGTGTGTCGCAAAAGAGTGGTAGGACTGCAAAGAAGATGTTAGTAAAAGTATTTACAACATGTACATAGATGCTGTAACTTACAAGGTGATAAAAGTCATTGAATTGATGAAGTCGACATTTTATTTGGGCTTTGGCGGCTGAGGCTTGGGGGTGCCTGTTGTGTCGTAGGCTCCACGTCCCATGTTGTTGGACTCGGACTCTCTGGTGATCATCATGAGGAATGTGGGTCTGGTTATAAGTCAGCAAGTTGTTTCACGAACATGTCAAGTTTGGACCGCGCCAAAACAGTGGGTGAACTCACAAAGGGTAACGCTGGAACGCGGAATTGGCAGGTGACCGAAGATGGCGTTTACAATTATAGACGATCGAGAGGCGAGTTTTGCGAAGTGTCCGGTAAAGGTGTTACGGAGAGGCGGTAGTGGCGTATTGTTCGGGTGATTAAGTAGAGTAGCGTTGCGGTCGACTTCAGCCGGTGGATATAGAGAGCGAGAGGAATGGATAGAGTGTTTGGAGAGTGTGGTGATGAGATGTTCGGTAGAGAGGGCGCGCCAGGCCTCATATATTTCGTTCCAGAATAAGGGGCCTGTACTGACATGCCAAAGCGTCCTTGGCTGCCGGCGAGACAAAGAAATGAGGGAGACTGTGCTTTCCTAGAAGCAAAGCGCAGACTCCATGACGTGCCGGGCCTGTCGGGGGTGTTTCAACTAGCTCCCTGTCGCTCAGTTCGGGCCTGCTTTTGGCAGAAATTGTGTGCGGCCACAGACAGGGAGCTAGCTGATCTGCGCTGAAGCCCATCCCCCTGCGCCAACGAGGCGCTAATGCGTACCTGCAGCACTAGTTGGGCCCAAACCAACGGCTTTCGCTGGGGCGCTGACTTGGACGAGCTGGGTTGATGAGCTGTCGTCGGTGGATATTGACAAGTCTATGGACGACGAGTTGCTGCGAGTTGAGCTGTGCTCTTGGTCGTGTGTCAGGCTCGGTATCGGTTGAGACACGCTTAGATGAGTAGCGTCAGCGCGCAACCTTCTCTCCCGTTCCGACTGGAGATTGACTCGCTGTGCCGCGTCTGCTGGCACTTGGCTTCGCGCCAGAAGCAATGCCAGAAGGTGAGCAGAAACGCCTCACAACCAGCGGCACTCCTTCCCCGATGGGCCCACGCGCCGCCCTACACGGATCAACTCACCACCAGAAATCCACCGACTCAGTCCATCGCCCAGGTTGCTGGGAGCATAGTCGTGTCCATAGCGAAAATCAGTTGCTACTGCGTGGCTACTGCAGCTACTTACTCTGTATATCGCCCATCTCCACGTGGCATGCCTGCCCGGCGCCCAGTCGCCCCTTCCCCTCGCGACGACTAAGCAAGCCAGCGTCGTCACTCGCTGCACACTATACAACACATCTTCAACAACGCAGCACCCGCCCACTGAAAACGAACGCGAGTCTGCCATAAACAGCACAACTGCCGTAGGTAGCAAGGGCGTTGGCTGACCGGCTCGCGGGAGTGGAACTTTGGGCGCTATTCCTCTCGCTTCCACGAATTCTTTTCTTCTGGAAGTCTGCCCATGACTGAGTTGCATGCAGCCCACTCGCCGTCTGGGTATCCCTCACCAAGACGGCGAGTTTCACTCCAGAGTGGCATCTATCTGACATGTACTGCATCCACTTCCCATTGCGCGAAATTGGCTCGCCGCTGCTTCAGACATGTCGCAGTCTCGCTACACTCTGATTGCTGCAGTTGCTGCAGCCTCCCGTCCTGTCGTTCGCCGCGACTCTGCACTGCATACCTGAACCGGTCGCACGCACAATCGGCTGCAGCCCAACATTTGGCATGCATACTCGCCTCCCTGCGATGAGCAGTTGCTTTTATTTCGGAGGCTGCTGCGACGACGACTCATTGCCTCGTGGCAAGGGCATTACGAGAAACAAGATCCAGGCTAGCAGTGCGACCAATGGGATAATTCGCCTGCAATTTACAGTCTTGATTCGTCCAGGGTACCCTCCTTGTCGATCAGAAAGCTACACATCGATAGACAGGGGTGAGGGAGAGACATGCACAAACACTATTACAAGCATCCCTTCGTCTATCGTCCAGCCTTCTCAAAGGTAGCCAAAGACAAACAGCGAGCCAAGTGTCTTGCTTGTTTGACTGCTCGAGCCTTTTCGCCGTTTGTCGCGCCGCCGACGCTGCTCGCCCCAGATAAGAGTTCAGGATAGGAGTCCAAAACAGACCACCAATTACTCAAACCAGCAACTCGCGCGCCTCGTCATATCTGGGGCTCACAGCACAAATCGGGCAAGCGCGCGGCTCGTGTACGCAGCTACGGAGGAATTTCTACCAGCTGCATCGCTGCGTCCACAGCCGTTGATCCTGCCAGGTGCGCCCGACGTGACAGCTTGACGGATTTCTCCACAGAAAACTTTGATAAAATTGCGATCGTGAAGTTAGCTTACGGGGAGTGGGAAAGTGGACTCTGGCGAACGGTTTCGTCGACCTCTTTGGGTGCGCTACTGCAATCTGCAGCGGCTTTCCATCCGGATGGAAGCGAAACAGGGATACCTATCTTTCTCGAAGAGCATCTTGTCCTACGGCAACCCTGCCGACACGTGGAGTGCAGTGAGCGCGGTGGGGCTTTGTTTGGCTTGGAAGTAGAAGCCGTGAGCCATGTCGCCGATGGACCGCGGACCAGAGTCCGGCGAGAGCCTTGCGGTCCTACATCACAAACGCTATGCTCCCGCAAAGCTGATGGAAAGTAACACGTCCATGAGCGTCTTCGGACCGGTTATCCTACTGACACGAACAACCCTCGCCCTGCCAGTACCGCCGGCACGGTCCTGGCATCTTGCCATGCTCCACAGAGTCCTGCATTATTGCCAACTTGGTTGCGATGGAATGTTCCGAAATACACTTCAACAACTCGTCGTCTACCTGACCATGCGAGCAGCATGCATTCTGCTTGTTCAGGCAGGTTGGTTGTGTTGATTTGGACGAGATCATCACAACAAGGATAATTTCACCTGGACGCAACTTCGGGTTTCGTGTTCCTGACGATCATTTACGCCCATGCGCTCCAGTGGGCTTTCAGCATCAACGTGGCGTTGCCTCGGGGAACACAATTTATTGCCGTTGCCCCGGAACACTTCCATGTTGTACAAACATCGAACCCAAGTGTTCGTCACAATTTCGATCGTGGTCACACCAGAGATATGTTTACATCATGCCTGGTCGCAAAATGTGCTTCTGTATTGTCCCGCAGCCGCGCTGCTGTACTACCAGGGTAATTAGCTGCGTCATCTCCATGCGCTTCCGGCTTGTACCCATCCGAGGCTGATAGCCAACGAAAGACACCAACTCCCCAAAGTCTGTGGGCAACGGTGCAACTTTAATCTATATGGACATGCGCGCCTTGGTGCCGGAAGCTTAAGCCGTCAGACAATGCTGATGTATTTCTCGAAATCAGTCGGTCCTTCAGTGAAATCATTTTGACAGGGAGAGTTCACAATCACAACTTAAAAAGGTGCGCCATGCAGCTGCTGAGACGCTACGCCGCTTCAGAAAAAATGCTAAACTCGCTTCCTGACGTACGATAAACAACGGCCCATTTCCTGCAAGCTGCACGTTCTCGGCAACAGGCTGACACCTATTCGATGGGTGTTATCGATATATTAAAGTTTGGTCGCTTCTGCACGAAGATGCATACATTTCAGCCTCACGTAACGTTGAACTCTAGGTCCGGGCTTTATTTCATGGAGCGAATATACAAGCAGACAACGCGTCAGAACCCTATTCTGTGTGAGCACCTGTCGACCTGCACATACGTGTCGTCAGCGAGCGTAATACGATGCAATTTTCTTGTTCTTCTGATGTACAATTCAGCCAGATGCAGCAGCTTATCCATAGCTTGGGATAGGCTCGGTTGCCACACTTTCCTACAATCTTCAATGCGCGATTTTGGGCATTCGAAACGATTGACGAGTCCGGGAGAAGAATAAAACACATGAAATTTTCCCGATTTTACGAAGCTGATGGAGATACCGTGCTGCGCCTGGATGACATGCATACGCGCCCCCCAACCATGCTTGAACGGCCATTTTGCGATGGAGATTTGCCTGATACGGGTCGATACCTCGTCCACCAACGTAATCCCCAAATCAATGTATATGCTTCCAGACACACAACATATAATTGTGGAGAAGATCAGACGGGAATGCTAATGGATGGTCCCGAGCCCAGGCCTAAATCGCCCCATCTGTAGAACGACGGTCATCTACTTGCAGAACGATTTTGCTCAGATAGAGGTGCTCCATCGTCATAACTAGTGGGGCGAGCGCCTCCATATCGTTTTCTTTTGGTCGACTTCCCCAGATAGATATTTACTTTTTGTTCGTCCGTCGGGTATAACGTATATGCTACTCGTAGTCTCAATGACGAAGGAGAGGGAAAATAGCTTTTCTTAAAATATCCAGCCACTCCCGCTGTTCTGGTTACAAGCAATAATTCCCTTGGAAAAGACAGAGACAACACTGTTATCTGGCAAGCGAGGGTAACTTGCTTTTCGATCCTGGCATTTTTGTTCAAGCGGTCATGCACTTTATCGCATTCTGAGATCGTGGTATACTCGTATTGGGTCCGGATGGATTCTTCCTATAGAACAAAGTATTCCTGTGGCGTGAACCATGTTGGGCTTTTTTGTTGCCGTTTTCTTACTCGCACATTTCCGCGGAATGTGGGTTTTCTATTCTTAATCTTTTGTGGGGTGTCCTCTCGTCGCTTAGCTTGTCGTTGTCCGGCTTGATTTCTTTCGTCGAATGTTTGTACCAAGTATATCATACTCTAGCATGTTTTCGTACAACACCACGACAGTGGGAGGAGCATGCCGGAGAAGTTGATTGCAGGGTAATGGTGAAGTGTCATTGATTAAATGCCTCTCATTACTTCCATACACCGTGTGTTAAAGTGCGTACGCGTTTCCAAAATCCAGAAGGGATTCTATTCGGCCCTTCCGGATGGCAGTTGATTGAAATTCAAGGCAGCTGTACTCACCAGCAAGCAGGACATGAATGGCAAAACAACAGGATGAACGAAATCGATTCAGCAATCAAACATATGTCAGAAATATCCACTGTCATATACATCTCCAACTTCCTTTTCAACAAAGTCGGTTAGAACACCAGCTTTGTCATTGACGTTGTACAGATACCTCACACAATACTACTATAAACAATATCAAGATAGATGAGCTACATAACATAGCACACCAGAAAGTACATGCTACACGCTACATATCCAGTTCTTCACGACGTCTGAGACGAACTAGAAGTATTGTCTGCTGGTTTTTACGGATGTGTAAACGTATAACGAACTTCTCAACATGACAGGGAAATATCATCTAGCTAATGGAGGATACTATTATTGTTCTTGCTGTGTTGTATTTTGTTGCGTACTAAATATTCCTCTCTCTCCATATATATTGTTGTCTTCTTTCCTAGAGTCTTTAACAGCTTCCCTGTAGTATTTGTTGTCTTTTCTATAGCCCTTGTTTTCTTTTCCACAGCCCTCAACTGTTTTCCCATAGTCCTCATCTTCTTTCCCGCAATCCTCAACAGATCTCCACCGTTTCGCCGGCGCGGTATTTCCATGTCTCGACCAGGCTGCTGAAAGGAACAGGAAAGAATAATGTAAAACCTACATACAGAGCAGAGCAGAGAAAGAAAAGAAGTGAATCATCAGGGATAAATATAAAAGAAATATTTTTCCAACATTCTCATTAAAATATAGCAAGGGAGCTACTTCATGCAAGAATCTCAGTATAACGCTGTACTTATATCTCAACCTCTTTATCCCTTCCCATGATTTAGAGATCGGACATGTATAAACATAACATCCCATCTCTACACCTCACCTCGTCTTGTCCATCTACTCTCCTCCTAAACCCTTCCGTAGAGTAGCAAAATACCGATCGACCGATGCAGAGCTGCTCGGCCAGAATCCTATATATCCTCTACGCGACACATTCACTATAAAAATACTCGGCGAGTAGACTATCCTACGCACCAAGTCCAGTCAGTCTAGACCATATGAGACGAGACAAACGAAACTATTTCCCATCAACATCAACAACGACATACAAACCTAACCATCAACACTAAAAAGGAAGACAAGTACTACACGCTCAGCGAGATCCATCACACCACTACCTGCTACATCTGCATTCCCACCTTTCCTTTCTCCCTCTCTCTCTGTATCTACAAAACCCTACACTACTATTCTACTATCAGGGGGTATGCGATGTACCATACCACTAATCCATCCCTACACTCTAATAACCGACACCTTCTGTATGATATGTAGATTACGCGTCCCCATCATCCTGATAATACAAAACAATCCAATGTGGATGAGGAATTGCCTATCTGGGAGGCGGGATGTCCGGGCCGGGCCCCATGCGGAAAAAAAGAAAATATGAGCGGTAAGCGAGGTGAGAAAAGGAAAGAAAATATGAGCGGTAAGCGAGATGGGAAAAGGAAAGAAAAGGGAAGGGAAAGTGAAGGTGACGCGTCGTGCACACATTGGTATGGATTGGATGAATGATATCAATAGAAACGTAAATACAATTCATAATAGTGATTGATTGTCGACCACCTACAGCACCCTCCCCTCCACCGTCCCAACAGGCCGTTCAACAATCCCCACACACCCCTCCACCACACTCCGTCTCGCAGGCTCCGAGCTAACATTCTCTCCCGCAAGATACATCAGCCAAACCAACTTACTAACACGCTCATCCTTCACACTACCCAGAAACGCCGACTGGGCCAGTTTATCTGTTTTGGTGAGGGGCTGATAAAGCGCACCCAACACCCCCTCCCCATCCCTCATAAGCACAATAACGCTCCCCTTCGGCGCCTTCCCGCGGCCCTGAAACAAGCCCTTAAACGCCTTCATCGCCAAACCAAACGCTTCGTCCGCGAACTCGCCCTCGTCGACCGGCTGGGGGAGGCGGATAGTTTTATTCTCCACAGCCTGTTGGCGCAGCAGGTCCGCTTGCTTGCGGCGGACTTCATCTGTGCGGGAAGCGATGCCGCGCATCCATCCGTCTTGGAGGTGTTTGAAGTCTGTGCCGCGGCAGGGGACGATGCGGAACGCCATGTTGACTGCGTGGGGTCCGCGTTGGGAGAGTATGGCTTCCCAGATGTGTTGGCTTTTCTGTGGGTCGAGGAGCGCGGTGCGGAGGTCTTCTTTTTCGCCTGGGATGAGGGCTGAGGCTGCGGGGTTGACGGTGTTGATTAGGTGGTTTTGCAGGATGGATAGGTCGGACGTTTTGACGTACAGGCCTACGACGTAGACTTGGACGCGTAGGAAGGAGACTTTGCGGATGCCGAGGCCGAGGAGCTGGTATTCTTCTTCTGTGGGGGAGGTGCTGGGCGTGGTGGATTGGGTGGGGAGGGTGATGGTGCGTGGGAAGTAGGGGACGTAGGAGGAGCCTGTTTCGACGAGTTCGACGGCGTCGGGGTCGGTGGCTTGCGGGTTGTCCGAGGAGGCGGGGGCGGCGATGACTTTGTCGCCCGCGGCGATGACGATCTTCTTGCCCTGGAACTCTTCTGCTGCTTTGCGGGGGGCGTCTGCCTTTGTGGGCGGGCCCATGAGCATGTCTGCTATGTTGTGCTGTGTCTCGGTGTGCGTCGTCGTGTCTGGGTCTTTCTCCTTCTCCAGCGGGACGTCCCACATGCGCACGAGGAATATGGGGGCCATCATGGAGAGGGCGGCGCCGAGGGCTAGCCAGTTGCGCTTGCGGAGGTGTGCTGCGCGCCGTAGTGCTTCTGCGCGGTGCACTGAGACGAAGTCCTCCTCGGGGAGTTGCGGGCCCTTTGGCTTGGTCGCTTTGATGTTGACATAGCGGGAGGTGTTTCGGGACTGCGCGGTTGGGCGCGCAGTCGGCCGGACGTTCAGGCAGCGGAAGACGGGTCGTCGGGCGGCGGGAATCATGGTGTGGTGTGTGATGTCGAGAAGGATGGTGAGGCCCACCTTCACGATGATGGTGCCAAGACAACTTTAATGGTGGAGCGCGGGCGCGTCTCAGTCCTACGCGTCGGCAGGTGAAAGCGCCTCTTCATATTCTTGCCCAGAACAACGACATCACAAGACACAGAATGCCACCTAGGACGTATAGACGGCGAACAGTGAGTTGATTGATTGGAGAATTGTCTCACTACTTATACGACTCCAGGCTGCAGGCGAGGATGACGGCCCCACCCCCACACAAACACAGCGCAGTCGGCAGCAGGTCGACACACCACCCGAAGACGTCGAGGATGTCGACATGGAAGACCACGAGGACACTGGCAGTGGGAGTCTGGAGCAGCTGTCAAAGGGCCTAGTGCGATATGCGCTGTCCTGCGAGTATGCACGCAAACCGATCAGACGTCAAGACGTCACTGAGAAGGGTGAGCATGCGGTGGTTGTAAAGAATCACACTGACGTAAATAGTACTCGGCTCGCACACGCGACTGTTCAAGGATGTGTTTGCGCGCGCGAACAGCGAGCTTCAAGACGTCTTTGGCATGCAGATGGTGGAGCTCTCAGTGGCAGAAAAGGTCACGATGCGGCAGAAGCGCAGTATGTGTCTGTTCACACTCACGGTGCTCACTCTGACATGATGCAGATGCGGCTGCCTCGCAATCGCAGAGCAAGTCCACCAACCTGTGGGTGCTGCAGACGATGCTGCCAGACGAGTATCGAATACCAGAAGTCATGGGCCCTTCACGCGAGCTCCCAGAAAGCCAAATCAACAAGGAAGACGCCTACGTCGGGCTGTACACCATGGCCATCACGCTCATCATGATCAGCGGCGGCAAGATGGCAGAGGGGAAGCTCGACCGTGCTCTCAGGCGCATGAACGCCGACCAGACGACGCCGCTGGGCAGCAAGGACAAGACGCTGGCAGCTATGATCAAAGATGGGTATATTGTTCGGATCAAGGAGTCGACGTCAGGAGAGGAGACGATCGACTACATTGTCGGACCGCGCGGCAAGGTCGAGGTGGGGCGCGAGGGGGTTGCCAGACTGATGCGGGCCATGCACAGCGAGGGCGAGCAGAACGAGGAGCTCGAGGAGCAGATCCAGCGCACGCTCGATGCGGCGGAGCGGTTTAACGGCAGCGTGCCGACGGGCGAGGCGTCGCAGGCAGCAGGGCCAGGGCGCAAGCGTGGGCGAGGACAGGACGGCGACGACGACTAGCTGTGTGTTTACGGTGATGATGTTATGCATGCGTGAGGCGCCGTGTGGAGGACTCGAGGTAGCGTTGCACAAGGGCCGACTCGCACAGCTAGCTGGAGGCGGCGAGGGTGCTCTGTCGTGTTGGAGTCTGCCGCGTTGGAGTCCAGGTCGAGGTTGAGGTCTGGCAAATACAGAATAGTTATAGAGAGGGCAGCGACAGCAGACAGTCCCAGCAGACGCCTACCCAACAGGCGACGCGCATGCGGCTTCTCGTGGGCGGGTGCAGCGTTTTGTCAGCATGACGACGGTGCTGGTGCTTGTGCCCCTCAGCCTTCGCTTCCGCCAAGCTTGCGACGGGCCCATTTTCGAGTGACCCAGGACCCGACGCGCCGTTTCTCCTCTCGGCCAGCAGTCTCTGCCCTCGTCCGCCTCAGCTGCCTCCTCGTCTCTCACGCCATGCCGAGTGTCTGACTGCACCACGCTCGCTCACCTCGCACCCAGCTCCCTCGCACCGGCACACACGCCCGCCCAGCCACCACCATGAGCAGCATCAACTCGCTCCTCAACCACGAGGCCGCCCCCAACCGCCGCCCGTCGCAGTCCCACGTGCCGTTCTTTGTGCCCACGACCACGTACGAGGCCGCCGACGCCCTCACCACCCTGGCCACCCTGGGCAGCGGCCAGCAGTACGCACCCGCCCCGACGCGCGAGCTGCCGTCGCCCACGGCCTCGGTCCACGCGCCGCGCCGCACCAGCAGCTTCGGCGACCACCACGCGCCCGTCGAGCCCGACCCGCCGCTTGACCAGCCGCTGGCACGCTCGCCCACGCTCGACCACTACCACCACGGCTCGTCGCGCTCGCCCGAGGAGCAGCAGCGCCGCCGCTCGCTGATGTCGCGGACCTCGCCTGCCCCCGTTCTGGCCCCCATACAGAACCTGTCCGCCGCCCTGCACGACCAGATGCACGGCGAGCAGTCGGCAGCACTCGGCACCGACGTGTCGACGCTCCTCCAGTCGCCGTCCCGCTCGAGCGACGGCCGAGACAGCACCCAGAACCGCGAGCCCACGACGTCACAGATGCGCGAGCCCGACTCCGCCCGCAGCACGCCTCGCCCGCCCGCCAATGCCAGCGACGCGCAAATACCCTCGCCGCAGCCTCTCGTCAAAGATGAGCCCGCCGGCACGCCGCGCGAGTCCAGCCCCACAGCCGCCTCTGTCGCGCCTGCAGACCGACAGACGTCCGTCGCCACCGACCAGATGGACGTGGACGTGGATGTGGACACGCTCAAGGCGATCGAGCTGGCCAAGCAGAGCGACCTGGGCCTGCGCTCCAAGAGAAAGGGCAGCGTCGCTGAGAGCGTCACCTCCACCACCGAGCCCAAGCCGTCCCTCGCGCCGCCGCGAAAGCGTCCTGCGCCGTCGTCGTCGTCGGCTGCCAAGAAGAAGGGCACCGCAAAAGCAATGAAGCCGTCCAAGAAGCGCAAAATTGACACGGACGGCGACTCCAACACGCGCTCCGTCACACCCACCTCGCGCACCTCCAAGCACATCCCGAGCAAGGGCAGCAAGCGCGGTTCACAAGCAGGCACCCCGGCTGCCGAGTCGTCTCCCGCTCCCGAGTCCGCATCCCAAGCACACCACTCTGACGAGGACGCCGAGTCTTCAGAAGACCACAACCTCTACTGCATATGCAAGAAGCCCGACAACCACCGATGGATGATCGGCTGCGACGGCGGCTGCGACGACTGGTTCCACGGGGACTGCATAAACATGAAGCAGGCCGACGAAGGGCTCGTCGACAAGTTCATATGCCCGCTGTGCGAAGAGAACGGGCGGGGGAAGACGAGCTGGAAGCCAATGTGCAGGCGAGACGGCTGTCGAAAGCCCGCGAAACTGGGCCGGGACAGGGAAAGCAAATACTGCTCCGAGGAGTGCGGCGTGCTCTTCATGACAGAGCAACTACACCGCACCGCAGGCGCAAAAGGCGCAAACGGCAAGAGCAAGAAGTCGAAAAAGAAGAACCCCATCAAGAGCACCGACGACACGCCAGAACACGAAGAAGAAGAGGAGCCCACACCACTTGGCGGAGTCCTCCGCGCAAAAGACCTAAAAGCCCTCGTCGACGCAAGCCCAAACATCCAAGCCTTCAGAAACCTCGGCACCGGCGTCCTCTCCCCGCCCCAAACCGCCTCCCCCACCCAACCCTCCTTCACCGGCGCCGACGACCTCGCCCTCACAGCCGCCGAAACAGAGCGCCTCAAAGCCCTCCACAACGAAAAATCACAGCTCAAAGACCGCCTAGAAGTCCTCCGCGACCGCGAATGGTTCGTCAGCATGGCAAAGGAACAAGCCCTGCGCGTCGCCGAGCGCGAGAAGATCAAAATCAAGGAGTTCTGCGGTTATGACTCACGACTCAGTTGGTCGGATGCAGAGTTTTTGCTCTGGCGCAATAGCAGACATGGGCGCGCGGCCTTTCAGTTTAATACCCTCGCGCCTGACGCTGAGCAGGTCGCGGCTATGCCTGCGTCGCCCGCGGACGCAGTCGTCCCTGCGTTCGACGCCCAGCGCGAGGCGGCGTGTCTCAAGAAACGCTGCTCCAAGCATCCGCAGTGGCAGAAACTCAACTTGCAGGACGCGCGCTTCGAGGAGCTGGAGGTTGTTGAGGCAATTCGCGAGTGCGAGAAGGATGAGAGGAGTGTGAGGGAGCGCGCGAGGAGAAGAGGCGCGAAAGACGATATGGCTAAGGAACTTACGGCGGGGGATGGCGTGAATCGCGATCGGAATCGGGAGGGGTGGGTCGAGGTTGTTATTTAGCAGGGTGGGTGAGGGGAGAGGGCTTGGATAGAGAGATTTATACCCCCGTCCGTTCCGTTGCGGTCTTTTTTGTAGCGAGTATATCCTTTGGCGTTTTCTTGAGGGGGTTGGTTTGGTTGGGCATTGTATGGCTTCTGAGAGATAAAAAAGTCAAGGCTTGTTTACGTTTTGTTGCGGTAAAAGCGCTCCCTCCACTCGGTTTTTTTTCTGGTCATTCTTCTCATTGTTTGGGTTGACGGTGTTTCTTCTGGGTTCCGAGTAGGATGGGCATGGGATTGGATCCGAATTGAATTGAATTGAATGGAACGAGCATAGTCATCAAATGGTCCTAATCAATCACGTTTTCTATCTGACTGCCAGTCACTTCTGATCGTGTTTACATATATATCCCCCAACCCTCCCACTCCAGCGCATGCCAGCAATGCATAGCCTCCCAACCCATCCAAACCCTCACAGCTTACTCCCCCCCTCCAACACCCTAACCACAAACCCCAACCTCGGAAAATGAATCCGAACACCCACCTCCGCCTCCCCCCCAGCAGCAACAACCACCTCCTCAACCCCAATCCCTACCAACACGCCCACCGTCCCATCCCCCCTCCCCGTATCATCCGGCGCAACCCGAACCCTCACCCCCGGCACAAGTCCCCTCTGTACATCCAGCGCGCCCTCCCGCGCACATATCAGCTGGTCCAGAAACGGGGTGCCCGCGAGCTGATCTTTCCATGCCGTATCTGCCGCGGGGACGGTGACTTGTAAGTCTGGCAGTGAGGTGATATACGCTTCGAATGCGTGGAACCACCCCCACAGCCCCGGGTACCGCGTCGCATTAAACACAACGCGCGTCACATCCGCGTCTGTATCCGGCGTCCCGCCACCGCTCAGATTACAAATTCCGCGTCCAGCGCCAATGTCGATGCCCCAACGCAATTGGTAGTAGAGGCTGAGATCCGCGAGCGAGGGGGCTGTCGTGGGGAATACCCACGTATACTTCTTCTTTTCGGAAGGGGAGAAGCCGAGCTCCAGCAGGGAGAGGTGTAAGTCGAGGGAAGAGAGGTTTGCGGGGATTTTAGCGCCGAGTTTGCGGGGGGAGAGGGTGTGCCCGATTAGTTGCGCGCGGTCGGTGCCGAAGGGTGTGGACCAGACGGTGGGGGGGATGAGGCCTGTTGTTGTGCGGAAGAGCGGTTTCTGTGTCATTGTCAATATATCTCACCATTTCCTCACGATGCGTCGGGTTTTGGTAAGGATGGAATGTGATGATAGGAATACATACGTCCGTCCAGAAACTAGCAAACCCCCGCGCGAGACTGCGGTACGTCCAGTCTTCCACACCCGTGCAGGCGGGGTACACGGTTCCCCAGCCCGAGTCAGCGGGGAAAAAGTGCTCCAGCGCTTCGATGATGAGGGATGTGTCGCAGTAGAGATCGCGGCCGATAGCGAGGATGGGGATTTTGCGGTAGGGGAGTGCGAAGGTGGTGGTTAGGAGGGGGCGGGGGAGCATGGAGGGGACGGGGATGTATGCTGGAGGGGTTTGTTAGTGGGTGGGTGGGGGTGTGGGATGTTGTTGGGAGGAGTGGTGGGTTATGGAGAGTAGTAGGGAGAGTGAATGTGTAGAAGTCTGAACGCTGGACGATAAGGGTAGTATTTGGGTGTTTGAGATGTAAGAGAGTATGAGGAGATGAGACTTTTCAGGCAAGAAGAGAAGACATGGAAGTTGATATGTAGAAATGAGACAGACGTACAGAATGGAATCTGCTTCATCCGCAGTGCCAACCGGACTTTGTTTGTAAATGGGCTTGCTATAACATGTCAGTATTTCTCATGTCTCACTTGGTACAAAACTTACAGTCGTATCCAAACAGGACGACTGGGGGATGATCCTTTGGCGGCATACTTGCGGAAATCTGATCTGTAAGTGAAAAAGAGCAGATTAATTTGCAGAGTCAAGAAGTACAAACGACACCGCAAATGCGCCTGCTTTCGTGAGTAAGTACGTCCTTACCCCGCGATCCGGACGAAGGCCGATTGTGTGCAAGCCGAGGTCTTGAATTTAACTAGTTGGGCGTGATTTATCCACCTTCTGGCTCATTTTGTCGGTAGAAAGATCGTTATGGTAATGTAGGTTTCCATCGACGCGCCATGGAGCAATGGTTACAGAAGTCGGAGTGAGATGTCCAGTGAATGATGGATTAATCGACCGAACTATAATTGAGTAATTCACTTTCAGTATGAATGAGACTAGGTCATTGCCATGTTAGTTTGTGTAGTCTTGCCTTCTTCTCGAAAATCCAAGAGTGGAAGGAGTAGAGTGCCATACTATACCAGGAAGTTGATTCGACATCATACCCGCACGGACCTCCAGTCATCGACACCAGCATCAACAACGTAAGACGCAGTCATCATCTGCCCAGATTAACCAAAACAGCTCTCCTCGCATCAACAAACCAGCAAACCAACCTACCATCAGATCAGAACCCCTCCATCCATCTACGACCATCTACGCCCCACAAACCCCATCATGTCCCTCTGGCCCCCACCCACAGGCGTAACAACCCCCAAAGTGCCCACCTCCAAAAGCGTCCTAACAATCACGGCATCAACCCCCATCCACGCCCCGGCACATGTAGTTTTCGCCCTCCTCCTCGACACATCCACATACCCCATCTGGAACCCCTTCGTCCCAAAAGTGACCATAACCTCGCACCCGGACAACACCCCAACCCAGCCCAATGAAACCCTCCAAAAAGGCACGAAATTCACCTTCCACGCCATAATGGGCGCCCCGGGCTCAACGCCCGCACTCACAAATCTTATCGTGTCGGATATCTCCACGCCGGAACACCCGTCTGATTATGTCCCCGCTGCAATGCTCACTCAGTTCCACTCTGACCTCGCGACTGTGTACCGCATGGCGTGGGCGAATGATCCAGATACGATGCTAGCGCGGGGTTTGCAGAATGAGCGGTTCCACGAGGTGATTGTGCGGGGGGAGGAGGAGTGCGAGGTGCGGACTTGGGAGGTGATGGGCGGGGTGATGGCGTGGGCGGTGCGGTGGATGTACAAGGGGGTTTTGGAGGCGAAGTTTGGGGAGTGGTGTGGTGGGTTGAAGAGTGAGGGGGAGAGGAGGTGGGTGGAGGAGAAGAAGGTGATGGGTGGTGGTGAGTAGTGGTGGTGGTTGGATGTGGTGCACGGTATCGTAGATGAGGTTACATGAGTGAGTGGGCCTGAGATAGTATTGTGATATGAATGTTACCGTTGGATGTACTTGCATGCGATAGATAATCAGAAAAAAAGGGAGCGATACCATGAGTAAGAGAAATGGTTCATGATCAAGAGATGGAAGAAAGTATTAGACATTCTAATCAAATAGCGCTAATTCGTGACATCGTAAACATGCATACAAATCCCTTATCTTCATCGGCGAACAGGCTGACCCGGCTTCAAACATTGGCAATTAAACATTGTGTCGAGTTCCTTGGCCGCATAATCTAAACACACCCTTGAAGATATCAACCTCGTCAACGCCCACCATTCATAGCGTTCTGATTAAACTCGCTCGTGCCATGTCCCGTTTGCGAGAAGTCTGGCATCACGCCGTTCATACTAATACCGTCTTCGTACCCGGAGTATCCAGTCATATCAGCCCAGTCCCATTCGAGCGTCATCGGCATCTTCCACAGGTCCTGCGGGACGTTGTTGTATGTTTGGTCGAACTGGCCCATGGCCATTGCATTCATGTCGTTGATGTTACCGTTGATATCTGCGCCCGTGGTCATGGGAAGGCCGTGCTGCTGGAGCATTTGCGCCGTTATGGAAGGCGAGCCGAACTGGCCCATTTGCGAGTTTGCTTGGAGCGAGGCATGTGTGAAGTTTGGGGAGAAGGGGAATGGCTGTATACGTTAGCAGTCGTGCCTTCAAACGCATAAGCAGGACTTACTTCGTTGAAGCCATGAAAATCCGGGTTGAAGATCATGCCTTCTGAGGTGTTGTTGTTTTGAGGTGTTGTGGCAGCCTGAGGTGACGAGTGCGCGTTACGATTTGTTGACAGAAGCTCGGCTGCGGTCGCCTCGATCTGCGCATCTTGCTCACTATCGCCCTGCTTTCTCTTCCGCCGCGATGCATGCTCTCTATCCGCCTTTTCCAGTACGATAGCAGCGATGCGCTCGAACTCAGCGCACACACTGCACATCCGTCTGACGCTACCACTGCCCTGATCATCATTGAGCATATTCAGGAAATTGACGACCAACTTCATCAGTTTCAGATCTGATCGCGATCGTGTGTCTTGCGGATTTTGTAGAATGTTTGCGAAGAGTGTAACGAGCGCCGTGACCGGGAAGTATATAATCAACCATACGCAAGACAGGTCGCCTTTTGGAATGTACTTCAGCAGATGTATCGATGCGCGGGCGGCCTGCACGCACAGCTGTGCAGACATGAAAACTCTCGGATTGAGTGGTCGAGCGTTGAGGCCCTGGATGGCGAAGTTTGATAGACGACTTGTCCAGTATCCGTGATGCACGCTCATACGATGTATTGTTGTCAGACAGTTGTAGTAGCCAAGATGCAAGACGGCCACCTGTAAAATAAGAGGAGTATGCGAAGCTTTGATGTCGTGTTCTGGGCGGAATTCAAGGGGTATTTCATCCTTCCAGTTTTCCAGCTCTTTGTCCAGTTCACCAATAGTATTGAGAAGCTCGCCATCTGTTTGTTTGGATGCTTTGACCGAGTATAACCCTTTATAAACCTTGCTCTGGATGATAGAGAATGTACACATGAGACGGAAGAGGTTCATCATCCCTTTGCCGTCGGCAAGTGGGATGTTACCGATATTGTCCGGTGGATGTTCGCTGGGTAGCTCGACATTCATGTCATCGTCGTCCTGTATCGGTGGGCGACCAGAACGTAGACAAATACTTAAGACGTGTCAGCAAGTCACGACTATACTGAGGAGCTACTCACTCTTTGTCAAGCATATATGCAATCCAGAACACGCGCTTCCGTTGTTCAACCTCGGCAGCGTTGAGGTTGAAATTCGAGCCTTTCTTATGGAGTCCAATGCTGTGCGCAAGTCTCATAGCAGTCGCGATGAAGAAGTAAGTGGGTTGCGGATTTGGCGTTCCAAGTAAAAACAGTCCCTGGCAGCTGTTAGCTACAAACTCGAATGATAGAGGTTCTTGCGTACAATTCCTAAAAGGGCTTGGACACTAAGTAAGTCGGTGTTGCGCATCGTGAGCTCAACCATGACGCTCATGGCATTTTTCAAGTACTGCCATGCTTTTTCGTCCTCTTCTGCTGGCACGAGGTTGCTCATCACGCGCAATCGATGAGCGAAAGCCAATGCCACATTCAAGCTGGCCCACCAACCCGATCCTTCATAGGGATCGTTCGAGTAGTGCTTGTCGACGAGGTGCATGAAGGTTGGTTCGTGGAATAGCGGAAACATGCAGTTGAAATTTTCGAAATAGTCTTTCAACAATGATAGCGCTTCGTGTTTGGGTGGCATCTGTTTGTACACGCGTCGCTTGAAAATGTCCTGAAACACGTCTGGCCGCCATTGTATCCATTTATTGTCCTCGACGGCAGCTGTGGATATCATTTCTCGGAAGGAATTATCGCCTGTCTTCTCATTCACCCACTGGATGCCCTTGGGGGAGAATATAGAGAAGCCTGACGAGGATCCTAGATAGAGTCAGCGGGAAACAGTGCGTATAGGAAAGAACGCTGACCTATATATCTCGTCTCTCCACAATTGTTGGTGACGAGCGAGCACATCATCTCGGCAAGGGCATCTTCCTGTGCATCTTCTCTGGTTGTTTCTTTCGGGGGCTCTGGTGACGTCGAGTCACTTTGTGGACTCAGCACAGTTTGTGGTACTGGAGTGCCGTTTTGTGTGGACAGCCCTGTTGGAGGCGCGAGCGATTCTCTCCTTGACCCGCCCGTCCTGGGTGTCACCGACCCGCCTACTCTGTCTGCCAGTCGCCTCTCTATTGTCGCCAGGTCGGTACTGCCGTCGTCGTCTTCAGGGAGAACGCCAGACAAGCGCATCAATGACTCCATGCGCGCGAGGCGGTTCTCGAGGCCTTCGATGTACTTGGCACTGCTCACGCGTCAGCTGCGTCGTGCTTCTCGTCAAAACGATGCTTACCCTTTTGGCGCCTGTCTCTTTTTCTCCACCTGGGTGAATATGCATTCTGTCTTGTAGTTTATACAGTGTGTGCATGCGGGCATTTTGCCGTCGCATTTGATCTTCTTCTTCCGGCACATGTCGCACGCCTGCATTCCGTCAGCGCTGACCCACCGCCCTTGAGATGTGTGTGTACCCTTGCAATGCGCCGTCTCTTGGGGTCTCCTTGATCATCCTGATCATCCATATCGGTATGCGCGAACATCGGGCCGCCGGGCATTTGCGAGGGGTCGAAGTTGCCGCTTTCGAATATGCGCGGAGGAGGAGGGGGGTTCATCATGGGCTGCCCGCTGCCGTAGAAGCCGTTCGGTGAGGGGTTCATGGCGTTAAGTGTGTCGCTGCGCTGCGCTGCGCTGTGGATTATCGCGTCTTCAATTGTGACAATGTATGCGATTGGGCGTCTAGTGCTGCTTCAGATGAAACGGTGTCCAGGTGCTCTTCGTAGGTACCTCACTGTGCTTGTCGCAGACCCGCCAATAGTTGAATCGCGCGGAGATTGAGCGAAGCGCGCAGTTTTCACGATAAGTTTACGACAACAGCAGACGCTTAATGTGAGATTACAACTTCTTCGTCCGTAGTTGGCGCGAATCGACGAATCGACGAACTTGGCCTAGAAGATGACGGCACGCTCGGGCGATGCTGTAGGGAGTTCGCACGCCTTTCACTAACCCCATATCGACCTCCTCTGTTCACTCCGTATTACTGTTCGATCGTGAGTTCATTTCAACATACGTGAACATGCTTCGCTACGTCAGCGGCTATACTAAGTCTCTCATCTTGGCCTCATCTCGCTTCTTGGGCAAGGCATTGGCATGCCGAGGGACGACGTCACAAACGCTGCCTGTCCGGGCGGTGCCACCGTCGTCACACGTTCAACTTCACGCAATAATGATCTAAGACGTGCTCAACTATCCATTTTTGGATTCTGTAATGCGTTGCATATCGTGATTCACCGGCTAACAACACCAACTACAAAACCACTATGGCCTCCCTGACCGCTGAGGAGCTGCTCAAACACCCAGAATACAACCATACCGTCTGGGTTCTCAAACCAGAGAAGCAGGACAAAGTTGCTGTTGCGAAAGACAGAGGCGGCCCTATCAACATCTCCTATGAGGTTCATGGACATGGCGACCGCCACATCGTAGTGAGTGAAGCAGGTCTTTGTACTACTGTTCTCAAATTAGCCACGTCTTGTGGTACCGCATCTACAATCTAGCTTCTAGCGAGCTTCTTCCTAGTTTCTTTATCATATCTCGTTTCGGTCGTCTTCCTTCATTTCAGCTATCCATACCACGATGTTTACTTTACCATTCCTCGTCCGTGTATCTCAAAGGTACAACCCGTTACACCAGCCTAAGTAGCCCCATGAGCTGGAACTTCTGATCTGGCTATATTACAGCAACCCAAAGCACCTACTCATGATATGTAGTGGATCATGGGCCTAGGCGCCATGAAGTACGCCTGGCAGCGTCAAACGAAAGACTTTGCCCATACAAAAGGCGACACCTATTCATCGCTGATCTTTGACAATCGCGGTGTGGGCGATTCAGACAAACCTAGGTTTCGATACTCGACGTCTGAGATGGCCAAAGATATTGTCGAGATCGTTGACCATCTTGGCTGGACAGGAAAGCGTGAACTACACGTCATCGGTATCAGTATGGGCGGTATGATCGCACAGGAACTTGTAAGTTTTGTTTCATACGCTTTACGTTGTCAATTGTAGTATCTGATACACTAACTGTAAATCAGGCTCTACTCGTACCAGATCGAGTATGCACACTTTCGCTCGTGTCGACTGCTTCAGGTCTCTTTCGGACTACTGTAAGTTCACACAATTTCGTCCCTCAGCAAACTGCCCGTCAAGGCGATATTCTCTCAATCCGCTTCAACTTCCACAAAGACGATACTATCTGTTCAAGCCCTGCAACGCTCCCTACTCTTCATCCCTAATTCGCATCTCCAACTCTTCTAACTAACCTCCTTAGGGCTTTTTAGAAAACCTCTGGAACCGTGCCAACCTGTTCATCCCCAAAGCAGTCGACGTCCAGATTGAAAACGTCAAAAAGAACTTGTACACTTCAACCTGGCTCTCTGCCCCCGACACAGCGGAGCCCATAACGGAACCCTTCCCTACAAATGGCGACCGCTTCGCCGCAAACGAGCTTTGGAAGCGCCAACAGCCCGAATCCTTCCAAAAAGCTGGTTTCCTGCTTCAAGCGGTTGCCGCGGGCTGGCACTACAAGTCACCTGAGCAACTTCAGCAAATCGCAAAGACTGTAGGGAAGAGGAGGATTATGGTCGTTCATGGCACGCAGGATCGCATGATTACGTTTCCGCATGGGGTAGTGTTGTGGAGGGGGTTGGAGAAGGGGGAAGCGAAGACGGGCAAAGAGAATTGGCTGGGAATTGAGGAGGAAGAGGATGTTTGGGAGGAGGGGGAGGTGGAGAAGAGGTTCGTGAAGGGCCAGGGGCATGTTGTGCCTGCGGAGATGAGGGATGAGTTCCAGGAGTGGGTGGAGGGATTGATTGAGAGGGGAATCAAGCTCAATGGGGAAGAAGGTGTGTGAAGGGGGCTATTGGTAGAGTTCTGATCTGCCTAAGCAGTCTTTTATGTAGAGAACTCCCTTTCTTCTTGGATATCGAAAGCCATTATAGACGAAGTAACGTCATCCAGTGCACGCGTCATACATCACCTCATCCAATCTATGCTTGAATATATGTGAGAATAGGCGCTTTGTGATGGTCTTTATTGAAAATTGAGTTGTGGGCGTTCCTGTAAAGTAAAGACGTGAAACATTGCATAACGTGTGCTGCTTCTTTCATTTCATACGTTCCTCGTTTCGTCAAGCAGAAAGTGCATCCCTTTGCAAATCCAAACCAACGCCATGCTCATGCATCTAAACCCTGCCTCCTCGTATAGTACAAATCTTGATACACATAATCGTATTCTTTCTCATTCTACTTGATCTCTTTTTCCAACATCTCCTTTGCCTCGTTGACCTTGGTTGCCAGATATGGGCTACCGCCTCGGTCGGGGTGGTTGTTCAACATGAGTGATCGATGCTTCTTTCGTAGTAGCTCTTTTGTAACGCCTCGTTCTCTGATCCTCTGTTAACACTTCTATACGCAAGTGTACGTCTTGTCCACCAAACTTGTGAGTAACTTACGGCATCTCCAGAATCAGTGCAGCTTCTCTTCTTGTCATCTTTGGCTCGAAACCGCCTTTGTAGAAACCACGGCCTAGAGCCCCCGCGCCACCGCCTGATTTCCGTAATGCGACGAGCGCTGCACGTCCCTGTTCATCCCAAATTAGCATCCATGTACAAGCGAACTTTTAGTTGCAACTGTATCCGTTTACTCCGTCAAGACACTGTAGAATGAGGGGGTCGTACGAAGAAGGCAGTTGCGCCCAAACCGGCGACCCAGACCCAGGCAGACATGTTCCTTTTCTTGTAGTAACTGTACTTGCTCAGTGGCGACCAGAATTCTAGTAGGGTAAGATTGCGACGCGGGGATTGAAATCGACGTGCAGTGGCGGTGAACAGTGGACATTGTCGCGAACCTCGGGGAGGAAGTCGAAGAGGAAGCCGCGGTCATGGTGGGCTGTGATTGGTTAACGATGTAAATCTTGGCATCGAGATTTTTAGACAGCGGGCGTCGCGGGCGACTTGGACTCTCCACACTTCGCCAACAACGACAATCACTCGCCGAAGTCAAGATGAGAATCGAAACGTGCTACTTCTGTTCGTCGCCGGTGTATCCGTCCAAGGGCATCACATTCGGTGCGTCTTCTGCCCTCTTGCTGAAGTTTCAAAGTTAACAGGCGCAGTTCGCAACGATGCAAAGGCCTTCCGCTTCTGCAAGTCAAAATGCCACAAGAACTTCAAGATGAAGCGCAACCCCCGCAAGCTCGCCTGGACTAAATCCTTCCGTCGCGCGCACGGCAAGGAAATGACCGTCGACAGCACCCTCACCTTCGCCCAGCGCCGCAACGTTCCCGTGCGTTACAACCGCGACCTCATTTCTACGACCCTCAAGGCCATGTCGCGCGTCTCTGACATCCGCGCGAAACGCGAGCGCGCTTTCTACAAGGCTCGTATGCGCGGCAACAAGCAGAGACAGCGTGAGGAGGACCGCAAATTGGTCGAGGAGAATCAGCATTTGCTACCACCAAGCGAGAGGTGGGCCGCGAAGGAGAAGGTTGAGCAGGACATGGAGGTTGATGTTGAGAAGGTCAAGGAGAAGGTTGCCAAGAGGAGGAAGGAGATCGAGATGGACGAGAGCGAGCTGGAGAGTGAGGTCGAGGAGACGTTGCCCAAGATCAAGAACAAGAGGAAGTTGAAGATGAAGGTTGGCGGCGGCGTCGAGTCTATGGATGTTGATGAGTAACATTTGACTGAGAAAGTGTCTTACGGAGTTTGGCGTCAGGGCATAACAGTTCAACATGGTCACGATTTCGATACCACGGCAAAAGCATCAGTTCTACCTCTCGTACCTCTGCAATCGGTATCTACCCACAAATTTATTTGGCCTTTGACAATCATAGATATCCAGTTGCGCCTTGCTCACTATCGCGTACTTGCCAATCTGCAAGTAGCAAGGTTGAGAATGGAAGAGGCACTACACGGAAAGGTCAATAGACTTTCTGCGCAGCTCATGTCATTTGTCTGCCCGTTTTACCTACATCCTTCGCAGCCCTGTTTGACAATCTTATTTCTTCCTTAATTCTTGAAGCAGGTAATTCTGGGCGTTTGATCGTGATGCATTGGTAAATTTGAAGTTAGTAACAGAAGAAAGTGGCCTTGATTCTTGTGAGCTATCATCACTACGGGATAGACCACAGACGACATTGTGACACGCGCCGTAGCATTGTTAGCTCTCTTCGATGCAACTCTGGCTGCATATAACTTAGTCCTCCCCGCCAACTTCCTGCGTTCGAGGAGTACAGATATAGTCAACATACTCTAAGGAAAACTTACACAACACAGCGTCGAATCAAATGTTTCACCTCTGGGATGAGCTCCCTCTAGAGCTGAAGTTGCGAGTCCTCGAAGAACGTCTCCTCCTCAGCCGTCCACTCCATCCCAGTACTGTCGAGAACCATGTTAAGCGTGCTCTCCTTCCTCTGGTCTTAAGCAACAAAGAAATCAGGCTTCTCGCCACCGAGGCCTTCTACTCGAAAAACTCGTTCGTTGCAAGAAGATTTCGAAGACGTGAATACGATGAATTTCCAGATATCAGTCCTTTCTGCTACCCGAATGCAACTATTGGCCCATTCGTCCGCAAGCTAGAGGTCCATTTGATAATCAACACGTCGATCTCCTCAGTTCAGGGCATGCTCACGTCAGATCTGGACTGGCGGTATCTTCTACGCCCAAATGAAGGAGTGATGCCCGAACCCAAGCGGATGAAGCATGAATCATTTAACAATGCTTGGACGCCACAAACCACTCGGTGGCAAGATTGCCTACCCAACTTACTCGACTTAAAAATAGTGTTGACCGTCAAAGCATCGATTCGTCTGCTCGAGAAGTGTACTTGCATGACACTTCATGGCAACGGAGGCATGCGCACTAACCCTCCACTTGCTGCTGATTTCCCAGAACGCCTGAAGCATACACATATTCCCATTCGCGCGAAAAAGGTTGAGGTTATCGTTGAGGGTATGGACTGCGACGACTGGAACGTAGAGCACCAGCAGAGTGAATTTGGTAGTCGCTGTGCTGACATCGTCGCTAATACGATTCGAAGCAAGATCCAGCAATTTGACTAGCTGTTTTGCTTGAGACCTAATGCCGAGCATTCTTTTGAAAGTTAGAGTTGCGCAAGACTTCGCGGTCTGACTCTCCCTTACGTCAAGTCGTCCTCAAGCGAACCCTTACTGTCGTTACACAGAAAAGAGGACATTAGGAAAACTACAAGGACAAAAACGCTGTTATAGATTTTGCGTTTCAGAACCTGTCGTTTCAAGACGCGAAATGTGTAGGTCCCAAGGCTATGTGCTCGCTCGAGTTGTTTATAGAAACAACAAGGGATGAATTGTCTGTGGTGGCCAGCCATTGACGATCACGTAAATAAGCCACCTCTTTCTAGAAATGTTCCAGAATGCATACCTTGTTCATCTGTCTGTTTGTGACTCAGCGTGGTCAAAGAGCCTCATGATTTCATCATGTTGACGGCTTGGAAGTTGGCACCGGCAAGTCGACGCACAAGGATTATCTCGACGATCCAGCCACCACGTGTCGTTCTAGATGTCGATGAACTCTCATTCGTTGCCCATCGTTCGGGTCGTACGTGTGGGGCAGAGTTGACTTCGAAGGGTGGTACGAGTGTGATCAAAGCCGTTCATCGTTCCGAGGTATCGTGAAGATATACTCGGCCTAGGTTCCAAAACGGATACATATCCGACAACGCGGGGCAAGTTTCGTATGGGCTGGAGTGATAACCCGTGTAATGACTGTTCCACGATTCCATCTGTCTATGATAACGTCTCCTCAGCTTACACCACACCACCAAAACCAATCCCAAAGTTCTCATCGCCTGAAATCCTAATGGCAGCGCAAACCACAGAAGGTCTCACACCAGACCAGCTCGCATTCTTCAAGGAGAATGGCTACCTCCTGATACCTGATGCGCTATCGCAAGATACAGTCAAGGAGTTATTAGATGATGCAAACAAGATGCTAAACGACTTCTCACTTGACGACCACCCAATGACCAAATTCTCTACTGGTGGCGACGACGGCGCAGATCATGTGGGCGACAAATACTTTCTCGAGTCTGGAGACAAAGTCCGCTTTTTCTTCGAAGAAGGTAGATAGCGCCTGAAGTTTTGAGGCATCAAATGTAATACTGACCCATGCGCTCAAGATGCATTCGACAAATCTGGCACTCTCACAAAACCCAAGCACCGCGCTATCAATAAGATCGGACACTACTTGCACGAACTTTCTCCTTCCTACAAACGCGCGTCTCTCTCTCAGCGCAACGCCGCAATCGCTCGCTCCCTCAGCTTTCGTGACCCGCGTGTCCTTCAGTCCATGGTAATCTGCAAGCAGCCCGAGATTGGAGGCGCAGTGCCTGCTCACCAGGATAGTACGTTTTTGTACACGGACCCACCAAGTGCGGTAGGCTGGTGGTATGCGCTTGAGGATGCGACGAAGGAGAACGGGTGCTTGAGTTTCGCGGCAGGCAGTCACAAGAGGGCTGCAATCGAGAAGAGGTTTGTTCGAACGGGAGAGAAGGGCGCAGAGGGAACAGGCTTCATCGACAATGAGGGTGCGCAATTTCCCAAGGGGTTGCAAACCGAAGATGGTGCGAAAGAGGAGGTATATGACATGGGAGAGGTGAAAGCCGGGACATTGGTGCTGATCCACGGTAATATCCTGCATAAGAGCGAGAAGAACACGAGTGAGAAGGGCCGCATCATATATACGTTCCATGTCATCGAGGGCGAGCAAACTTACGATGAGAGGAACTGGCTGCAGCCGCCAAATAGTGGGTTTTCAAGGCTAGCTCAGCCTGCACAGGCGTAGAAACTTGAAATGATCGCGATGTGTAGCCGAAACACTTTCTATGGAGATGGGTGGTGGTCTACGACTTGCTCTGTACGCATAATCCGATGCCAGCTAGCACAAAAGCCATGCCTATCCAAGTGTCTGTTTCCGTTAGCTTTTTCTCTCATGCTCTCCAGGATCTGTATTCACCTCTGCTGATGACCTTCTTCTCTGCCCACCACTCTCCCAGCACTGTAAACAAGAAGGCTAGCGAGTTGGTGATCGGAACTGTAAGACTCAACTCTATACTTGTGTCAGCGTGCCGTTCCACCTCCCTCTCTCGTTTGACAGGCGTCCCTACCAGCCTTTCCAATCAGTATGAAGAACCATATGCTGCCAGTGACGTTCAACAGCAGCGGTACTGCATATGCCGGTCTGCTGAGCACTCCTATCACGGCATACCAAATCCCCAACACCTTCTTCTTCATCCACGAGTTGTTTGGATCGTCGAGTGAGGGCCGTTGGGGAGGATTGTAGTTCATGGCTGCTTTCCGCATGAACGGAGTTGTGAGTCCCCAACACGCGCCGACCATAAGGAAGCCTAGGATCCAGCGGAAGATGGACGGCTGAGGATCGTTCGCGGTGGGGACATCGAGATCCATTTTATGATGCGAATGAATCTAGGGGTTATGTGGAGTATACGGTTATACGTGTGGTGAGACCAAAAGTGCATTTGAATGGTGAGAGATGTTGTCGCACGTCGCGAGGGTGTTGAGATGACATGTTCCTGAGGTGCGGCGTTAGGAGGTTACGCTACGAGATAACTAGCGCGCAACTGCAAAACCACCATGATCATTTTCTCGCTCTAGCATCGCACTCCAAGCGACGCATCACAACACTGTCGTAGATTCTATACAATTACCATACTGTATCTATCAACGCATGTCTGTGCCAGCAAGAAGGAAGTACCTGGCGGGCACGAGCGTGGTGTTGGGGACAGAAACACGCCCTTAGTCACGCCTTCTAGAACTCAGTCAGACAGTACGTTCCTTCACAACAAGTATCCACCAGTAGGCTCGCTGGGACTATAGTAAGTCAAAAAGCTGAGTAAACCCTTTGAACCGTATCACTGGACGTACCTTTCGTTTCATCCTGCTGCGTCCTTGATTCGTCACTTCCTTTTTCTGTCCAGCCAATCGTCTCTTCTTCGCTATGTTTATCGATTTCGTTGCATATGGGCTGGAGACTGGGCTTGTCGGTAGTTTGTGCGACTACAGCAGACCAGTTTACCGGTACTCGAATGACAGATGCCTATGATTGTTGCAATGCCGAACCAAGTCATCATCCACGAAATAATGGAAACTGTAGTCACCAGATGGAAACCAAAACGTCACAGCCAGGACGCGCAACAGCGACACAAAGACTTGCGACTGCGAACAAAGGAGCATGCCAATTGTGTAACACATACTTGCTGACTAGTAACGTACACGAGAATGTGTACACAAGTGTGGCATGCATCTCTGCTGGTACGTATCCGCCCCTGCTATCGCCAGATACAGCTCGCCCTATCACCCCAGATCTCTGACGTTTGACACTTTGCGCCTCAAAACGTCCTGAAACATGGAAGCAGTGGCTTGGATCATCCCCACCCCCCTGGCTCGCTAAGTTTAGTACCACACATCTTGGAATGCACCCTACTGAAGGCGACTCTACACAACGGTCATGCAGAAATACATATCGAGTATAGAGCGATTTGTTCAGCATGCTTGCTGCTTCTTTCATTGGTGCGCCATCAATCTTTTCCTGCAGCTTTACAATCCCTGCACGATCTACGAGCAAAGTACAAGTAGATGATACATTCGTCGCATCTTGCAATCCAAAAAGTCAATTACATCCATCATATTCTCACTATACATTCATCGGAGTAGTTGAAATACAACTTCCATGTCCTCGCAACTACAACGCTCCTACAGCATACCAATGCGCCCTATCAGCGACAAAGAAATGGAGTTCATCAACTTAGATCAACTCTTCGAGGAATATGTTGACATAGACTCGCTCCAACACTTTAGCAATTCGACCCCCGACCGGTTGAACAACGACGAAGTAGCTCATCTCTTCAGTGTTCCGTCGTCGAATGGGAGTGGCTCTTTCTCGACTTCGCTTAGACTCAATCAGCACGTGGAAGCTGCTTGGCAACAGGCTCTCCAGAGATGCGAGCAAAACTCAGCCTTGTACCCCAACTCCTCTAACCTCTACTTCAACAAGAGAGGAAAAGAATCATCAAGCGAGTTCGAATCGATCGGGATCGAAGACCGTTTCGAACCAGAAAGAAATCAATCGCGATCCATTTCTCTACCACCAATACCACGACCCCATACTTCTAGATCCATCAAGAAGGCTACCTCATTTATCGACCGGCCAGCTTCCCGCGGCACCCAAAAGGTATCGAAGATGTCTTCCAATCCTACATTTCCAAACATGATGCAACCATCGTACTGCCAATCTTCTATGCCAGAAGTTCGAGCCCGCAAGATTGAAACCCCAACGGACTCCTTCAGCCTATACACGTCACCAGATAATACCTGCTCCAACCCCTCAATCACCAGATCAGAGCCTCTCAACAGATTCTCCATACAAAATTCCCAGCCCTACATCACTACACGATCATCAGGCCTGGACTACAAGGCCACTGTACCCGAGGCGAGCTTTTCCAACTCCCACTTAACACCCGAGACATCACCAGCGATGATTCCAGTTGGTTTCACAGACAATAGCAATTCATACGTGTCCAACATGAACTTGTCATTCAACTCATCTACGTCCAACGCAGCTCATTCAGCCTTGCAGACCCCGCCCTCTTTCTTCCAGGTACCTGTGCCAACTTGGGCCTCGAACACGCCACCAGAGCTTGAGTATTTGTACCCAGCCTCGCCAGAACAGTCTTCTACCAAACTGAGTGAATGGTGGGAGGATGACACTATTCAGTCTGCAAATAAAAACGCTAGCTTTAGCCACACATCGATGACAGGGCTGGGTATAACTTGTGGTTCCGCGAGTTTCAGTGATCTTAGCACAGAAGTGATTGTTGGCGAGGAAGCTACAGCATCCAGCTTCGATATGGGATACACTACTATGTACCCGACGCCTCCTCTTCAACTTCACAACCAAGATCAACACGGCATCCCCACCAGCCACCGCTCCTCACGCTCATGTTCTCCCCGTCGACGCCGTACATCCTCTCGTTCCCACCGCGCCCACCGGAGTCAATCTTCCTCTTGTCAGTCACCAGGCAACGGGGGCTTCGTGAACTTCACACCCGACGACAGCCGCAAGATCTTGACTGGAGTTGCGCCCAGTGGGTCGAGCAAGACGAAAGCCAGGCGTGAGAAGGAGGCCGTGGAGAAGAGAAAGAAGTTGAGTCAGGTGGCTATGAAGGCTATTATGGAGGCGGGTGGGGATGTGAACAGTTTGAGGACCTTGGAACGGGAAGCGTTGTTTGGACTCGAGAGTTGATGGCCGTTTGTCTAGTTCGAATGTGTTGAGGATGATATGTATTGGAATGTAACGTGCCCAGGACATGATGACGGGAATACGATTTACATGACAATAAACGAATTGATTAGGAACCTCACTCATGACCTATTGCTTGTTGGTGATAGTTTCTCATATTGGCCTGCTGGGTTTACCAGTGTATCATCCAGTGACCTCTGCTAAGCTAGAGAAAGCTTCTTGCATTCCCAAAACGAAATATGAGGGGCGCTATCGATGCCTAGTCCTCTGTTGGCTGGCCACTACTGTTTGTGATTTCTTTCGTGGAATGCTCTTTAACACACTTGGCGGCTTCATTGCCGCCAAACTGCACAAAAGACTGGTTTCAATCTTCCGCTGGCAAGGGCAGATGGACACTGTCGTGCATGCTTCGTTTCATCGTCTCGTCCTCGGAGCTGTCCTTCTCTCGCCGTAGATTTCTGCTTGATGCTGTTCTTCACCCTCCCGCTTCAAGTTCCAATCGTGCCATCACCGCCTCAACCACACCCTTAGCGCCAATACCTGTCTCCACACCCCCTAAGCTTCTCTCCTCGGCTTCTAACTCGATAGCACCCTCGTAAACTTTGACAATCATATCCTCGTCGACCTTGGCTCCACAAGCCACCAGACCTCTGATCAACGTGCTGACCCTTGTGATCTCCCGCATGACTGCGGGCTCGATGTCGTCGTTCTGAGAAGAATACAGTGTCTCGGACACAGCTTCTTCGAGACGGTTGAGACCCATATCGGTTCCAGAAGTATCGGGTGCTGTGCGTTTGGAAATGAAAATATACCCGTTGACGCCGAGTACAACGTCGATCTCACCAGCTGCAGTGTTGAGTGTGAAGACCTGTCTCCGGGATCGCACCACACCACCCTTCCTACTTAGGATGCCTCCTCCCGCGCCACTCAGACTGGTGAAAAGTCCGTTTCGCAGTTTGCCGTACTTCAAGGAGCGTGTGTGTAGTGACGCTGTATTGTCTTGATGCAATGACTGCACTTCAGCAACCAACAAGTCGCCCTCGGAGAAGAAAGTTCTGATGTTGAGTTCATCGACCGCAGTTCTCCTTCTCAGTATGCCACCGGGCAAGTTTATCGACGAGAGGGGCAGATTGGCGAGCATGGGTGCTGCAATGTCGACGCTCCATTTCTTCGTCTGCACGCTGACAATCCTGCCGACTACGAGGTCACCTATCTCAGGCTGATAGCGCGCGCGCAGAGGTTGTACGGAGAGTAGTTTGTTCGTCTTGTGGAGATGGCCGGCAACGGTGGAGATGATGGTGCTGGTTTCCGAGGGTACGTAGGTGCCGTGGCCACGCATCCATTGCGGGTCGGTGGTGATGTGTTCACCGGGTGTGACGATAGATTTCGTTTGTGACGTGGGTAGGTCGTCGTCGGACATGGACACATCTGAGTCGTCATCGATTTGAGCGTCGCGGCGCGGGGGGAGCGGAGCGCTGGGTGGGAGGATAGAGACGGGCATTCTGCCGATTGACGCCTCGTCGAGACTGTCTACTAGGCGAATATCTTTAGTTGACGAGCTTGCGACCTTGGCGTGTGGCTTTGGGTGACGCGAGGCGATATCCAAGCTTGCACGTGGGATGTTGTTCCGTGGTGTTGAGCTTCGAAATTTTGGCGGAGCTCTGAGATCCATGATAGGCTAACCGGAGGCGGAAAGGTCCGGCGCGTCACTCTCCACGCGCAGCATGCATCTTTCGACGTCATCTCGTCGATTCTCCGTCTGGAGCCATCGCACCTCAGTCCTCACATGTTCAACTTGTCCGACTTGACAGACCGAGCAATGCCACGAACGCCTTCTTCACCAAGCTTGACCCACTTCAACGAGCCGTTTATCTCAGCCCTCGACGCAGCCTCCCCAACCAACGCCCAAGATGATCCAAACTACTACTCACGTTATCCGCGCTCTCTCGTCAGTACGTCGAATGTCGAGACGTTTATGACAGGCACCGGTTCGGTCATCTACAACTCACTCACACCACTCCTGGAATCGACGGACCATGAACTCATTCTCGTGACCTGCTTCTGGGCACGCTCATCTACCCTGGAGACGCTAAACTCCATCTTGCGCAAACTGTCTGACAAGGCAATCCTTCGTGGTACTGAAAAGATATGCGTGCAGCTGTGCTTTTCGTCATCATCATTGTTCCAAAAACTATTCCACAAGCAATCCCTCACGGGCCAGACATATCCGCCTTCAGTATGGACAAAGAAACTTGGTTTGCCTGATCCTTCTGAACTTGGTGGCCTGGACTTGAGAATCAAATCAATCTTCATCTTACCGTTCAGCGTCATGCACCCCAAATTCATGATCATTGATCGAAAGACTGTCATCTTGCCATCCTGCAACATTAGCTGGGAAGAGTGGTTCGAAGGCGCGGTTACAATGTCTGGATCTGTGGTAGATCAGTTTCTCAAGTTCTACAGTGTGTTTTGGGAAAGACAGCCGGACATTCTCCCTTTGGAAGATGCAGACACTGGACAAGCAACGACGAAACCGAAGATTGGTGAAGTTGGATCCACTATGGACTTGGGACACGGGCATATGATAACCAATCTCGCTCCATCAAAAAGGAAACCAGTAATTGCAGATGTACCAACGGTCTTTCTCCCCAGCCCTCATCGGCGGAACCCACGCTTCCAACCTTTTACGTCCTCGGAGCACATTGTCGCACCGCCAACTCCCTTGAATACCTTCTTACTCAGCCTTTTCGCGAAAGCAGAGAAGAGCATACGTATACAAACACCAAATCTCACTGCGCCACCTGTCTTATCTGCCCTGCGCAATGCACTAGCTCGAGGAATTAACGTACAAATTCTTACCTCGGAACGGCTTATGATACTCGAGCAATTAGTCACGGCTGGAACTACCACATCGCAATGCGTTAAGAGACTCATAAAGCGCTATCGAAAACTTTGTCAACCAAATCCCCGACGTCCCGCAACAGACGAAGAAGCGGCGCTAGCCAGCTCTCGGCCTGGTCGACTCCAAATATCATATTTCGAACCTCCAAGTGGACCCAAGAAGAGGGGTCAAGAGGGGGGTGAGCCGCAGCAAAGTCATCTCAAGTTGACGATTGTGGATGATGAGGTGCTGGTGCTTGGATCTGGCAATCTCGACCGCGCAAGTTGGTTTACAAGTCAAGAGCTGGGAGTTGCATTTTTTCACAAGGGCATTGCGGAGAAGGTGGGAAGCACGTTGGATCAAGCAATGCAGGGTAGAAGTAAAACGGTGTTTGACAGTGGGGAGATACATTGACCTTTTTTTGAATCATTAGACATCAGTGATGTTCAGAGCATTTTGTCCTTTAGCGAATGCAAACATCTTCACAGCATTATCAGTCTTCCCTCCAGATCATAGCGGCACTTGAAGGAGTATTGAAGCATGTAACCGAACAACGCTGAAAGCGGCCGTCACTTGGCTCGCCAGTGCCTATTAACCTGTAGGCGAATAGATGGTGAGGAGGGTCTTTCGGGTCAAAGCCTTTAGCAGCGTATGCGGAAGTTGTCATAAAGTAGGAGGATGTGGTAGTCTTGAAGTAATAGATGTATTCCACCATGATGAATATCCTTAACCCATCTCACCATTCATCTACACATTAACGTATATTCCAACCCACCACCCACCACACCGCCCCCATCATCAAGCCTCCTCTGAAACGGGCGATGTGGCGCTATCAGCAACGCAAAAGTCTTGAAAAAGGGTATATAGGATATCCAGAAACAAAAGGGCGGGCATGAGAGCAACAAAAACAAACAACAACAAGTCCCAATTCTAGTTGCAATTCCCAGATCCACATCAGCACTTGACGGATCGATCCAACTCCAGCCCAAGGAGTGGAGATGCACATGCTAAGCTATATTCTGCCCCAAAAAAAGCGCCAATTCGTATCCCTTTTCTCCCCCGTACCGCCCGATGCTATGTTGAATACCTCGTGTAAAAATAAAACTGTGCCGTGCGTCGTTTTCCTCGACTCTCGACGCATTGATGCAAGAAAGACGCCGCCGCTCACATAGAGCCCATGGCGATGAGGGCCTCGATGGCCTCTCGTTCCGCTCCAGACCCGGGCCCGGCAACGGCAGGAGGCGCCGCCAAGGTTGATTTGAAGACGGGCGTGTCAAGACGTGCATGGGGTGTCGGCACACTCTGGGCCTGTGCAGACACACTCCTCTGTCGGAAGTCACTTGTCTGGGTGCGACTCAAGTAGTTGTAGTCACGGTACTCGCGTCTCGGGCCGCTGCGGGGCTGTGGGCCCATGGTCGACCAGTCTTCTTGGTCCGTGTCGTCATTCAAGTCGAGATCGGCTTCGAGGTCCATGTCCGAGGCCGAGTCGGAATCGTCCAGCGACATCTGATCGGCCATTTCGTCGTCTTCAGAGTGTTGATTGTGGGGCGGCGACCAGGAGCCGGCTGCCCAGCTACCCGAGTAGACGTCGCGTGAAGCCTCGTGGCGCAGTCTGGGGATCTGAAGGCCTCGGCAGGCTGGACTGTCCATGCTGGCGGGCGGTGTGTTCCTGCGTCCAGCACGCGAGCCGCCGATTGGCACGCCGCGGTTCTGCGAAGACGGTGCAACGCTCCAACGCCCCCAGCCCACTTTCTCGAACTTGACCTGGCCGTGCACTCCTCCCCCCGCACGGTGTTCCAGCGCGGCAACAACCAGCCTCCTTGCTTTGGCGGGCGGGAGGCCGGAGAAGCCCGGGACCGAGTGTGTGAGATGGGCCATCATCTCGCGGATGGGCATGGCGCCGTGGCCCACGATGATGTCGGGCAGGTAGTGTTTGGCCAGCAGCAGGGCCGTGATCTGGCGGGTGGCATCCAGGCCGGCCAGGGCCTCCTTGGACAGGGCGAGGGCCGACGGCTGGTCCTGGGCGGCCGCGTGCTCGACGGCGTCTTGCAGATCGATTTCCATTGTGTCGGGCGTGTGCACGCGCCCCGGCGTCGAGACGCCTCTGCGCTTGTAGGCCGGGCGCAGCGTGGGCGAGATGGACGAGGGCGGCGTGAGGAGCGAGCCCGTCTCGGGTGCGTCGAGGCCATGGTGCAGGCCGGACTGGGCGGCAAAGGCGGCGGCGATGTTGGAGATGGGCTTGTGGGCGAGGGCGGCCATGGTGCGGGACGGAGCAGTGGCGCGGGCGGGTGTGAGGGCGGAGAGGGTGGTTCCACGATGCTTCTATGGACAAAGTCAGCGCCTCCCTTGTCGAGTCAAGCCGTTGCGCCCTGACCTGCAGAGCGTCCGAGAGGCCGCTTGTACCGTCGCAAACGGATGTTCTGGCCGGGTCGCTCAACAAAGACGGCCCTGTCGCCGGCGTGTGCAACGTGTTCGGAAATGCGGTGTGGTGGCTGTGGAGCGGTTTGTCGGTCAAGCTGCAAGAGCTGCTGTCTGACTCCCCGTCCGCGTTCCGAAGAGCTGGCGATCGGCGATGCAGATCGGCCAATCTCCCGTTGCTAGCTGTGTCGCGGTGGGTCGTGCTGGGATGCGAGACGGTGTGCAGCCAGGAGCAAGCGGTCAGGTCGTTGGCAAAGTGGAGTTCCAAAATTCAGTGTGCGATGTGCGGTGTGCGGTGTTGCGCGCTGCTGTCTTATGTAGCCGGTCAGACAGGCTGATAAGGACAAGTCGGAACCACCGACGGGAAGCTACGGGCCCAGTCTCCCACTCCCCCCAATGCATGTGGCCTGCATGGGTGCTGGGTGCCTGCCTGATTGGCTGCGTGGCCAGCTGACACCTCCACCCCTGCCTGATCGACTATGACGCTTGTCATGAACGCCCACGTCCAAAGCAGGGCAACGTTGTGCCTGCACAAGCCAAAACCCTCCATCACGACACGCTGACAGGTACATTGAGAAGCATTGCAGTGCCGCCACGGCTACATCTTGACCATGACATCAAGACATGCGAAATGTGCGCCTGCTCCCACTACTGCCCTGCTCCGTCCCCCGCCGAGACCTCCATTCATCCACGCTCCATGCATTCATACCCTATCCCCAACATCTATTGGTCTTATCTGCGCGGGGTCTTCAACCACGCATACCCCTCCCTTACCCGCCACCGAAACCGGAGCCGATTACACACACCAAGCGCGACCCGACCTGAGATGCTCCGAGTGATGCACGTGTTTACCTTGGGCGTTGCCCGGTTCCCACGTCTTGCAGCAGGTCCCAAACAACCCCCACCCCGTGCACTTCATCCCGTGGAGACATGACGTACATGTCTATCTCTCTATACGACGTCGGCTCGTGCCATGTGCGCGTGTAAAATGCCTCAGCCTTGATTCGCGTTCACCACGTACTTGGTGATGGCCTGGAGTGAGCACTCCGTTAGCGAACCCACTACACAAAACACGAGGTCGCATTCGTGAGAACTCTTGGCTTACCGATTTGAGCACGTTGATCTGCTGCACTGTTCGATTGAATACGGCGCGATATTGCTCGAGGTTCTTCTGCACCACGTCGTTGCGTGTTGAACGGCCCTCGCAGATGGCCTTCATCTGCACTTCCATCTGTTTCCACGTTAGCCTTTACTCCTCGCAAATCCTAGCAAACCAGCATGATACGTACTTCCTTCCGCAGGAACGGTTTACTGAGACTAGTCTCGAAGCCCACATTGTCATATCCCTCAATGAGTGCCACACCCAGCGTGGTCGGAATAAACTCTTGAATGCCGCCCGTGGCTCCTCCAGCCCCGTTTTGGGCAGCAGCAGCTCCACCTCGGCCTCCTCTACCACCTCTCCCACCACCCCCTCTTCCTCTTCCTCGGCCTCTACTTGCGCCACTGCCGCTACTCACAGCGCCGCCTCCTTTGAGTCGGGCAATCACATACTCGCGCTCTTTGATCTTCGCAATGTGTTCGGCCATAGTCGCGTCTGTGCCAATCCCGTTCACGTCCATCAGGGCAATGAGTTCAGGCTCTGTGAGGTAACTAGGTGCTGATGTCTCTCCGTCGAGTAGATTTGCTTCCGTAGGTTCCCAACTCTCGCCTACTGTATACATGGGGAGTGCTTGACTGCTCTCCCATTTGTCGTATGGGTAGACCTCGAGGTAGTTTCTCGCGATGACTGTGAGGCCATGTGCATGAAAGACTTCGCCCCCATAGTCAACTTCAACGTCAGTAGCCTCGCCAACAGCGTCCTCAGAACAGCATGCCAGGAAGCGGCGAACCACAAACTCGTATACGCGCCGTTCGTTGTCGTTGAGCGAAGTGGGCTTGACATAATTTACTGGATGAATAGGCGGATGCGCTTTATCGTTGTTACGGCCGTCGCGAGGTTGACTGAAGCCTCCGTTCATCAAATTCTGTGCAAACCCTCCCCAATGACCATCTTGTGTTTGTCTCGACACAAGCGCGCGGAGATCCATAACACGGTCAAACTGGTCCGTTTCGGTACGCGGATAGCTTATCCATCCCTTAGTGTACAGGTCTTCCGCAGCCTTCATCACATCCTGCGAAGTCATCCGAAGGAACCTACTACCATTTTTCTGTAATTCAACAGTGGTCAGTGGGAGGGGCTTCCACTTCCTAGTCGGCTTCTTGGCCATTTTGATGACCTTTGCTGTTTTGGCCATCAGACATCGCTCAAAGATAAGAATAACGGCCATGCGATCGAAGAGGTGACCCCGGCGCCAGTTAAACTTGACCTCAATATCATCTTTGTTGTGCATGATCTTGATGTACCAGAACGGTTCTGGGACGAAATTTCGCACGCGCAGGTATCGATCAACGACAAAACCTAGAGTGGGAAATTGGCAGGACCCATAGCTGATGAGTTTCGAGCGCTGTTCACCCTGCACAGGGATCATGTTTTGTAGAGCGAGAGTTTGCATGCGGGTGAAGGCGGCTCCCAAACGCAGGTCGAGTTCAATACGGGCTGAGACGGCCTGGGCTTGTGCTTCATCGAGGCGGATGGGGTTCTGTGAAGCTTGGACGACATGTCTGTTTTCCTTTAGTATATAGTGGAAGTTGGAAGGAGAAGATACTTACGCTCTTTCAATATTGCTGAACCTTGCCCTCCATACTTCCATGTTCGGATTTGACTTTAGTGCAATGTCACGGATTTCCGTCCCGATATGCTCGCCCTCACGGTCGCAGTCAGTCCATATAAAAAGAATGTCTGCATAACGTGACTGTGACTGAATGTTGGTTGCCACGGCTTTTTTATCCTGTTTCTGGGTCAGCTCATAAGCCACTTTGACGCGTTATGCGGGACATGAACTTACTTCAGCAATAGCACTTTGTATAGGTGCTTCGAACAAATCACCCGGCTGGCAAGAATGCCATTTTCGGAAACGCTCGTGGAAGTCTTGCGCCACTATATGGCCGGCAACACAAGTGAACGTAACAGAACATTGGCCCCATTTCTGAAACCGGAAATCGAACTTGTAGTTTTTGACCCATTGAACACCGTTGACATTCTCCTGCCTGGGTGTTAGTCATATATGTTGGTTTGCTGCCAAACAAATCTTCACGCAGACATACAGCTCTTGCCTGCCCTGCTAAGTGGTTTGCTACAGCTTTTGCAATAGAAGGCTTCTCCGCCACACAGAGTACTCTGGTCATTCCTCCTACGTCTTGTGGGGTCCATCGAGTGCGAGTTGAAGCTCTGAAGGGCGAAGAAGGGTTGAGATCATGTGAAAGCGCGTCGAGCTAGGGCAGGCGCGTTTGATGGGCTTGGCGATCGGCAAAGCGTATCCCGAGTGGCAGGAACGTGTCACAATCGAAACTCATGAGGTCATCGCTATTCATTACTTTCGTCCGGGCAAACGTCCCCTCATATTACAAAAAGCGTGTGCTCTTCGTTGCTTCTCTTCCAATCTTCATATTCCTCATTGGCAATACAGATTGAAGATGCTTGTCCCCCGCGCAGCCCTCGACCTGGCTCTGCCTCTTGTCAAGACGCTCCCCGAGAGCGCAGACTTCAGCAAGACTGTGCAGCCATACCTCCCACAACTGTACGACCTTCCTTACAAGGTTTTCGACAGCCTCAACAACTGGGAGGTGCTGCAACATGTTTACCTCAGCACAAACCCGTTGATGACAGCGCTCGCATTTGCGATCTTCCTTACACCGATCGTCTTCGTTGTAGCCGAGATCAATCGCAACTACTCGCAGGTCGACCGCTTGTGGAGTTTACTCCCTACCATTTACAACATACACTATGCTGCATGGGCCCACGGAAACGGACTGCCAACGTTGAGACTAGACCATATCATGGCCGTGAGCATCATCTGGAGCGCACGCTTGACATTCAACTACTGGCGTAAAGGCGGATATTCGGTGGGGAGCGAAGATTACAGATGGAACATCGTAAAGGACTACGTTGGACCCGTGGGCATGTTCATATTCGACATCACCTTCATCGCTTTTATCCAGAACGTAAGTCGTCTGACTATCGCTTTCCTCTAGAATAAGCAGCTGACATGTATCATAGATCCTTCTCTTTGCCATCACAACCCCAACATACGTCCTTCTTCTGAACTCGCGTATCACCGGGAACGAACTCTCGACATACGACACCATCTTGGGCCGTACCATGCTAGTCCTCGTCGTCATCGAGTTCTTCGCCGACCAACAGCAATGGAACTTCCACAAAGCCAAGGCTGCTTACCAAAAGTTTGCCAAAGTTCCCACCGACTACAAGCTTACGCGCGAACAACTTGATCGTGGCTTCAACACCTCGGGGCTGTGGGCGTGGTCGCGTCATCCCAACTTCGCTGCTGAGCAGGCAGTCTGGATGTGCTTGTACCAGTGGGGCTGCTTGGAGAGCCAGACGTACATGAACTGGACTTTCGCCGGCGCTTTCTCCTACTTGATCCTCTTCCAGGGCAGCACATGGCTCACGGAGTTGCTGAGTGCAGGCAAATACCCTGAGTACAAGGTGTACCAACAGCGTGTGGGCAAGTTCCTGCCCAGTGCCAACACGAAGAGCATGGAGGCGCCGAAGACTGAAAAGGAGAAGGAGAAGGTGGAATCAGCCAAGGCCGGCAAGGGTGCAAAGAAGCTTTGAGCTATGCAACTATCGTCACAATTGGGGCATGTGTATATCCGGCCGCAGGGGCGGCTGGATTTAACTCAGACGACGAACATCGATTTGCTGGGTGTTTTGCGTGAGAAGTTACTCGAAGGGTAGGACGTTGAATAAGCTCGAACCGAAGGCCCCCACTATAGCAGTCTTCGAAATCGTATCGCAGTTGGCGCATACCAAACATGTTGCAATCAGGTCACCTGCCGCTCAACAAATACTGAGACCGGCGAGTAGGATAACAATTTGTATCGACAAATAACATCACAACAATAAGAAAGACTTTATTGATAGAGATGTGCTTACTCATCTCTTTACCTATCCTCTAAACATCATGTCTTTTTCGACTATCCTACGCATCTTATCCTACCTGTTTAACTCTTAAATTCTGGTATTCCCTTGAGTTGTCTGTCTGGCGGGGCTAGTTACTTCAAAAACATATGATGATCAACACGGTAACGACGGCGACAACAACAACAGTCTTCCATTGGTGAAAACGTTGAGAATGCAGAAAGCCGCAGACAAAGACCTGCCTGCGCCCACCAAACGCAAAAACAACGGGGGAAATTATACCATTGGGCACTGATTAAGATGCCAGACTTTGCAGTTTTAGGTTCAAGCCAAAGCACGAAGAAATTTAAGTGTTCAACAGCAAGCAACTACGCCGGAAGTGCACCACTACAGGATCATCTTAAAGTAACTTATGTTCCAGTCATATACTGAATCACTGAGAGCGCATTCTACTCAAGTCATCAACGAGTACGTGATGGCCGAATCACACGCAGCGCCTGGCACTGTTATAGAGGCCAAAAGAGAAAAGCCAGCAACTGAAGACAAGAAAACTTCTACATCTCAAAGTGAGGCTTTCTCCACTACCCCAACCTCCCCGCTCGTAGAGACGCCCTCCCCTTCCATTAATCACGGGATCAACAACCAGCTCAGTCGTGAGATCGCAGAAGCTGAAGATGACGTAGCAAAAGTAGAGTTTGAGAACGAAACCCCAAAGCCTGAAGGTGACGGGGAGGAGTTAAACAGCGTCAAAACCACTAGGAAGGTAGATTGTTTTTTTGAGGAGACGCGTATCATGATTGAGTTGCTCTTACCCCGCTTCACCGGTCTTCGAAAGCATTTCCTAGTCACAGCCTCGTTGCCTCTCATTTCAATTTCACTCCCATTCCAACTTCACTCTCCAGCCAATCGCCAATGCCATGCATAACAACCAGCCAAATATGATGTAGCTTCCCTATTCGCGGGTCTAGACGCATTTTGATCTTCAAAGTCTGGTACCAGGCAGAAGCCAAGCTCAGCCTCACTACAGGTGACACCCGAATCCAATCATAATTGTAGATAGTTCCGTTGACTTGAAAGGCTGAAACGAGAAAGGCTGAGCCGTATTTGCACAACAGCCCCCAAACCTAATTCCGGAACGATTTCTGTGGCCACATGAGTGTGAAGAGTTTATTCGGTCGGAAGAAGAGCCAATCTTGCTTGTGTCCCAAGTCGGACACTGCTATAAGTGAATAAAAGCTCAAGAGACAGCACTGGGTTGCCTTGCTCGTCAGCCACCAATTTCAAGTAAGTAGGCCCCCAAAGACGATAATTTCCCTCTGTAGACAAATGAAATATGGAGAGAGCTCTATTTCGTGCTACCGCGTACCCGCGTAAGGAGGAGGATCAATCTGGGCGAGCATCTGATATGGTGTCCTATAACTATAAAAGAGAGTGGTAGTACCAGTCGACACTTTACCAACCTTTGTTGTCTCTACCATTCAGGCTACTCATTATCTGAACCACTTTCACTCCTCCAACAAGTCGATCAAGATCAGCCATAATAAGCAACTATCGATCAAGATGACGATCTTGGTATTCTTTCTCCTTATTGCCTCGAACTGCTTGTCCTCAATCGCGGCCGGCATTCCTCGTCTAGCTATCTCAGACGTGGAGCGACGATACGATCCACTCGAACACAAAGGAATATGCGAATGCCCCCTATCCGGTCCAAGTGGCACTTGCATCATCAAACCTCTTGCTGGCAGTGATCCGAACGACGCTTGGTCTTCCACGTGTGAAGGATTAGGGTTTTACTACACTTGTGGAGGATCATACAATTCTCCCAATTGCGTATGTCATTTGATAACACTTTATTGCATTCACTAGACCTGGAAATTGATCTAACTATTTATCGCGTAGAATATATGCGCCCAGGCCTATCCTGGAAACACTCGTCCGCATCCCGAGATAATCGATTGCCCCGGTATGAAGTGGTGCTCTGGAGACCAGGGCAAAACATTTCACCAGTGCCAGCTTCACGAAGAGCCTTATCACCCTGATATTCATGTTGGAGTGAGAGTTGGGGCCACAACCGTAAGTTCGGAGCCTTGCTATCACAACAACTTCGCAATGAGATCGCAAGCTTATCTAGCCTCTATTAGTTCGACATCGGCAACTATGACTTCGATCAGATCACCTCCGACATAGCCAAGTCTTGTCAAAAAGATGGCTGTGATGCGGGCACTACCGAAGAAATCGACTTCGAAAATTTGGACTCAAGTAGCAAGATCGTTCCGACCAAAGGCAGCCTTACGATTCAGGGCTTCGCTAATAGCGATCAAAAGATGGTGGACAACCTGATCGCAACTGTCGGAGCTGTGCTGCAGTCTTCAAAGCAATGTCAGACAGTAAGGGCGACGCAATGCAGTTTGAAGCGGGAGACGCCATCCATTGCCCACGGTTGCGGCCCAGTAGAATTCGAGAAATGCTCCATGGTTAACTACGTTCAAGCAACTGCTGTAAGTATTCCCCCATACTTTCGTTTGATTTAATAAAAATCTGGATATGAAGCGTTTTTATACTAATGGGTTCCCGTATTTGATCCAGTACGATATCGACAGTAATATCAAAGCCCAGATCACCTTCTCCGGCGAGTCAACCGATATTAAATTCCCTTGTGACACGTTCCTAGGGTTGATCTCCGCTGCTGCATCTGCTGCAGACGCTGACCCTGCTATTCAAGGTGGGATTGCTGTTGCCAGCATTGTTTGCACGTTGTTCACCGGTGGTGATGATTAGTGGTGGTTTGTACGAGTCGAGAAAATACTTGACATGGGCGTATGGATCATATCATCTTGTACGATATACACAGAGTTGTTGGATTTCCTGTGTTGCATGTAATTAGCTGAGTTCAGCGGTATTATAATACAAAGAACGCAAAGTAGTGTTTCCTTATGTCTGACATACACATACAAGCTCCTCATGTGCAATCGTCGTTTCAGTTGATGACTAGCCTCAAACACCTCTAGTGCGTATAGAAACTGTGGGCATTAGTTGTGGGACCTTCAGCCATTCCTGTAGGGCTTGCAAGTTTGGCGTCAATGGTTCAGTGGCATAGTTTTGCCACTACTTGTGTTGTTCATTCTAGGTTATGGTGACAAGAGACAGAGGGAAACAAGGGTGATCAATCCATGAATTTGTGTCAACTTTGATGTTGTTCGATAGCTGGTATAAGGATGCTTTGCATGTCGTCTGTATGTGTAAATACAAGGCATGCATTGAAGAGTCTTGCTTGTGTATTGGTGTTCTCTGGTGCATTGCTGTACCGCTTCGCAATCAGACACTTTTCCACATTGCGCATTGGATGCGTCTGGTGATGCAGAGAATATGTGCAGCAGCCTGTGAATTGGGCTAGGGCTCAAATGGAAGTACGTGAGATCAATAGTATGCCGAGTAGCAAGGCGGGGAACAAGAGAAATGATAAGGAGTAGAGATTGTATATGTGAATTGGTGGAAACCCCATTTGTAGTAACCTTATCATGACGAAGTGTCAAATGCTTGGGCCATATTTTGGCGTTGCGAATCAAATCTCTCATCATATCTATAGGTCATGCAACAAGTTCGACGTACTCGTGCTATCAATCGTCTCTCGATGATTTCGAGACGAGTGCGTATCTGGAGACTAAAGATACTACACGAGTGTAAATAACTTGGCAAGAAGGAGGTTGTACGCTATTCACAAAGCCGAAGCTTAATCAAACACTACTACAATACAGTATGCTCCTCACTTCTCTTCTCGGTTTCCCTTAGCCCATTGTCTAAGTACGTTCTTCTGAATTTTCCCTGTGCTCGTCTTCGGCAGCTCCGACACAACCTCGACCTCTCTTGGAACCATAAACCTCGAGATATTGCTATTCTCTTTGGCCCATTGGATAACTTCTTCACCAAATGTCGCACTGTTACTTCCGTCCTTGGTAGTGACGAAAGCCTTGGGTCTCTCCCCCCAGTGTGAATCAGCCACTGCAGCGACGCCAACTTCGAGGATATTTGGATGGGTAGAAAGCATATCTTCAAGAGCCACACTGGAAATGTTCTCGCCGCCTGCTACTGTATTAGTCACGTCAAATGAGAAGTAAATCTCCATGACTGAAGAGTTGCTCGAGAAGAACGTACCGGAAATGATGATGTCCTTCGCCCGATCTAAAATTTGAATCGCACCGTCTGCGTGCCAGACCGCTAGATCTCCACTATGAGAGACACCACCTGCCCACAACTTCCTTGTAGCCTCTGCATCCTTGTAATATCCCTTGGCGCAGATATTGCCCTCAAACACGATTTCTCCAATCTCCTTTCCGTTGCGCTCCACATCAATCAACACATCTGCATCCTGCTCCGTCTTGATGACCCGAATGGGCAAGGCGGCGATGAAGCCGTGTCCTTGTCGTGCCATTTTGGCGTACTTTTCTTTCTCGGGTATGGCGTCCCAGGAAGGCATATGGTATCCTTTTGTGACGGGACCGTATGTTTCCGTAAGACCGTAGACATGTACGGGTTGAAGGTTGAAGTTGGTCATTTGCTCGAAGAGCCAGGCAGTGGGTGGAGATGCAGCGACCGTGACGCGTACAGGTTGGGGTAGTCTCTCCGCTTCTTTGGCCGCGCAGAGTAATATATTCACTGTAGGCGCGGCATTCATGTGTGTAATGCCCTGCTCCTTGAGCAATCGCCAGATCTCTGGATAATCGATCCTACGAAGGCAGTAGTGTGTACCACGCACAGCGGTGACGGACCAAGGAAACGTCCAGCCAGTGGCATGGAACATGGGGAGTGTCCAAAGGTACTTTGCGCGGCCGGTGTGGTAGTTCAGTCCACTCTCGATGATGTTCGCCATAGCGGCGAGATAAACACCTCGATGCGTATATTCCACCCCCTTAGGTCTTGCAGTAGTCCCAGAGGTATACGCCAGCGCAATAACATCCTCCTCGTCTTTTGCCTGCGCCTGCAGATCTGTCCATCCCTTGTTTCCGTTTGTAATATCGTAATTCAGTCCCTCCAACACAGCCTCGTCAAATGGCCCGGACAGCTCACCTTCACTCGCGTCTGTATCTGTGTCCACCAAAATTGGCACATTGGGTCGTTCCTTTCGGAAACCGTCTAACAAGTCCACAAACTCAAAGTCTGCAATGATAAAATCCACATCGGAGTGCTGGAAAATGTAGGATATATCATCCGGCTTTAGCCGATAATTGATGGCAACATTGACTGCTCCGGCTGCCGCGATGCCAAATATGGATTCTAAAAATGCTGGTGTGTTTGTCGATAGTATGCCGACTCTCTTGTATCCGTGCTTCCTTAGGAAATAAGCGAAACCTCTCGCACGATCTGCAGCCTCAAGATAAGAGCGTTGCAAAATCTTGTTGTTCGCGGTTTTGTGGTAGATTGCTGTTGCTTCCGGTTCAATCTGCGCTGCTCTCCAGAGAAACGACGTCGGACTCAGCGTATGGAAGTTGTGTCGGTGATGATACTCATGGCTGTCGCCCGGTAGAATGGGAGGAGGACCAGGGACAGGGCTCGCGGATGTAAAGTGGGATGCGAGTTGCTTGAGACGTTCTTTGGCGTGCATGGTGTTACACAACTAGCTCTGGTGGTTGTCGATATCAATAAGAAGCAAGGATTAGGAGAAAGGCGCGTTGTCGCAATTATCCGCCACTGAGATCACTATACATGTACACTCGGCTTTGAGATTCGTAGATTGGGCAGTAGCAACAGGAGCGGGAGAGATCTGGGGTAGATACCTAGTAACGGGAACGTTACCGTAGGCCCGAGGTTCTCCGCTAACTGGCTCTCAAGCCACACACGTCGAATACAGTTTAACCTCGGATTAGACACGGACTTCCGTCCCTCTTGTCGAGCTTGACTAGGTTTGATGTGCGCATAGCAAGGATGCATGTACAGAGGACGCATGGTTGAAAGAACGAACTCGGGATATATTTGCAGCAAAACTCCGTCAACAGGCCGTGCCATGAACCGTAGGATTTTCATTTCGTATTCCCTCTAGCGAGAAGTGTACCTGAAGACACAGCCGACCGACCTGGAAGAACCCATAACCACGTAAGCATCCGGAAATCGATATGCTCTTTTTGCCTGGACACCCATTCGAACGGTCGAAGTATGATAAAGGTAGAAAAGATCTCATGAGCCCAATGCACTCCACGCCGAACCACACCACAGGCACCGACATTACTCATCGCAAGCCGATGTCTAGTAGCCGAGGGAGGTGAGGTGCTCCTGGACCTTGCCGTCAACAGTCGCTGTCTTCTTGGCCTCACCCAACTGCCTCCTGGCGGCCTTCTTGCGCTCGTAGTATGCGGCACCCTTAACCTTCCTGCGCTCTTCGAGACTGTGACGCTCGTTAGTTTTGTTCTCTCTACCGAAACCATGGCATCGTGTACGTACCGGGCAACAACATCCTGGTACTTCCAGCCAAACTCATGACCGAGACGGCCGACAGTGCAGTACTTGCGGCCGGGCTTCAGCCTCAACACCCTCAAAGCCTGGGGAACGACGACGCGCTTCTTCTTGTCGTATGGGGCGGGGACACCCTCGAAAGTCTTAAGACGCTCAAGAGCAGCCTTGCCACGGGCCGTCTTGTGGGGAATCATGCCGCGGACAGTTCGCCAGAACATCTTGGACGGGGCGCGGAAGTGGAAAGGACCTGTGATGATATGTGAGCTGGAGCGCGGACCTGTATCATCGGGCTGGCTTACCTCCGCGGGTGGGGTTGTAACGGGTCTGCTTGCGCATGAAAGCCGAGTACTTCACTGTATTGCGTCGCGTCAGCCAATGTCCTCACAGTCAAAATGTCCCCGTATTGCCAGACTCTCCATCACGCTTCATGCCACCTGATCTCCCAATCTCTCGCTCGTGTTCGATGGGGTAGACGTACGCTTGGCGCGGAAGAACTCGCCCGAGATGTTGAGGGCCTCGCAGCGGACAACAACGATCTTCTGGCCGTTGAGGAGCTGCTTGGCGACGGTGCTGGCGAGGCGACCGAGCAAGTGCCCCTTGCCGTCGATGACCTGGTAGCATTGTCAGCCAGAGGTCCTGCATTGGATGGCTGTAATGTGCTCTCGAAATCGCGAAATGCCATGGCCGTGGAACCAGCGCGCATCTGCTCCAGGGCAATTGGGGCCGTGGTGATCGGGGCGTACGTACAATGACCGGTTCGAAGGTGGACATGGTGGTCGAATCCGGGTGCTGTGCTGTAAGGTTAGTTGTCGTGATCCGGTTGCTCTGCTGTGAGGGCGATTTCAAAGTGTGCTTCGCTTAGCAGCCACGCACGGACCTTGCCTTAGTCATCGCCACCATCTGGTCGAGCACTGCTACACATGAACATTGCTCGCCGACGACGAATTTAATGCCCTAATTTTTCCTGAAGTTTTATGCTTGTTGGAGACACATAGAATCACGCACATACTAATCGATTTGACAAGTAGCGGTGCGACTCATGAGATGTAATATGTCCAGTTTGTCTGGCTTTGATGAAATCACCAATAACTTATTCCTCGCCGATTGCGCACAACTGGATGACACAAAATACAAACGCCGCCATCCTAAGGGTTTTGGCACAGGACCGTTACTCGAGATATAACATGAAGAACTCAGTGCCAGAAAGATCAGACAGGTCTGGAATCTACATGAAGAATTCCGGAAATGTCTCACTTGCGTCCAGTTGGCTTCACAACACTATCACACTGGTTATTTACCCCAGTCGCGAGTGCACCGCACAAAGAATACCTGTCTTAGTCAAGCCAAGCTTTCCCCATGCCCATGCGCCTCAACTCGTGATTTCATCTTCAGGTCCAGGACGGTGCTCAAGTCAGATCCTTCACCAACTAGCGTCTACGACCTCAATTTAAGCTGTTCCATTCGGTAGCTTGGACATTCTCTTGTCCCATTGCAGCTCGTCAAGAAAACGTGACTGAGTTGCAGCGAACTGGACTCAACTCTGAGGCGTTCATTATTTGGACCTTGGCATACTAACCCATTGTTCAATACTGTGTGATGGTAAGCACCACCTGCACCTTTGGCGATGTCGTAGATCCTCCCGGTGCTTCCGCGGCATAACTCATACCGGTCAGATTTCTATATCACAGCGATGACGTAAACCTGTCTGTCTATGTTTGGTGGCTTCAATGTTCTTTCGACGTTGTCCTAAAGTGTTCGAAGATATTAGGTAGAATACAGTGCGGTAACTGCTCTATTCTGGATATGTAGAGATGGTGCTCTCATAAACCGTGTATGTATGATCTGCTCACCGCCGATGTTAATAGCCATTACATAATATTCATTTGGTTGAACCATATGCATGCCAGTTCACAATCACAGCCAACTTTAGAATATGGTGACTTGGCTATCGCGCGCCAAACGCTGATCATGGAAGGGACGAAGAAGCATGTCCAGCATCTCCGTTGTTGGGAGCGGAAAGTTATGCCGTCCCCCAACAGACTACCGTAGGAAATGACGGAACGTTTTCAAGCCACACCTGATGCCACATTGCAACGTTAAATCTTGGCGGCAGGATCGTATGGCAACCATTGCCTACTCATCCCGTGCTTCCGAAACCAGCACACTGGGTCTGCCACCTATGCCAATTTACAACAACAACAACAGTCATCGACAAGCACAAGTTGCTGGTGGACGTTTTACCCAGACAGTAGGTCGAAAAGATTGGGTCACATGCAGACACTAAACTACAATGGCAGTGGGTTTATCCGAACGTTATTTACGGTATCTTACGCGAAGTGTAGAAGTCGAACGCACATCAAGAGTCACGGCGTATAGCGAAACCCATGTATTTCTGGAATAGTCCAAGAAGTCTGGCAGGGCTCTACGACACGACGAGGCAGGAATGACGAGGATTACCAACTGAACACCGGTGCACCCACGGTCCAATACCTTGGGCAATATTTTGCACTGTGCGCATGAATCAGGTCCGTAGGAAGGAAGCAGCCGCTATTGATTGAGGCATAGAGAGTTGTGCAGACCCACAGTGTAATGTTTGATTCTGGGAAGCTCGGCGACATCATCCACAGCACCCGAGCAACCAGATTATATAGCACGATGGCCACGATGGATGGCAGATGCCGGCCCCTTCGAGCGCAGTCTTGCCGTGGGCTCGCCGACTTCATCAGTTCCTACCCCATCCGCTGGGCTTTTATTCATCGACTACCTTGCAACGCTTCCCAGGCATGGCATCAGTGCGAAGAATCTGTGCGACGTCTGAACTGCACACTGGACCAATCACAGTAGAGAAGGTCCACCAGCCCCAGTAAGGTCAAGCCACGCCGCGTGACTCTTATCCGACACTAGCCTCTTGCAGTGCAGTCGGGAGCTCGCTCTTGAACGCTTCCCGAGCAGCTAATCTCTGGGAGCCTCTTGATCATATCATGCTCATGGCCGCCTATCTTCAGAATGCGGTCATCCATTGATCGCTGCAAGTTGCTCTAAGCAGAACCTTCAGGGTGCGAATGAGGATGTGACGAGGCGCTGGGACACCGAACCAGGCCGATCAGGCCACTCCTGTCCAAGCATGCGCCATGGGACGAAGCGTGCGCAAGGATGCCCCGCTCCCCGGTAAGGCTTTACTATTCAAAGGCTCAATTCTTGGAGTGGCGTAGGTGGCGCCCGCAAGTGTGGCAATGGGATTTGTTGGCAGCCCATGAAGAGGGGCCTGAGCCTGCCGATAAGCGAATGGCGGTGCAGTTTTACTTGGCGGGTGAGGTGGTGCAGCTTGCTCCCGCTGTCTTATCCGGATGCGTTCAAAAATATCATCATCCCATACTTGGTGGAGCAAAGCGGAAGAAATGACACGGGCGTTTCCACCGTGACGCGCCATCGTACACGTCACTCGTAAACATCTTGGCCTGAGGCTGGATGTCAGAAAGCACACTCGGCGGAAATAACACGACTCGCTCCCGGCGTCCAAGGGCGGGACGCCTGCCATGGAACAGCGCTACGACATTCTCTATCAGAGTCCTATTCCTTGGACCCACCTCCGCTGCTGACTGTACCTATCCTGGCAATGTCGCCATTTACTCTTAGGCGCAGCACCCCCCCAGCCACAGTCAAGTTCCCTAACTGTCGCCATGGCTTCCCCAGCACTTACCACGGCTGAAAGTCCCTACACAGCCTCCGGCCGGTCTGGGCAGTATGACGCTTCACCACACGGAGACAGTCCTGAATTTACCGAAGACACGTCGCCGATCAATAGTGTCGCCGACGATCAAGTGACAAAGCCTCAGCCTCTTCAGAAAAGACGGCGTGTTACACGCGCATGTGATGAATGTCGACGCAAGAAGATCAAGTGCGATGGGAAGCAGCCTTGCACCCACTGTACTGTTTACAGCTACGGTATGCCCCAGACTACCTTGAGCGTCACGGCGCTCGGAGATTGCACATACTAACACGTCGCAGACTGGTATTTACACTGCCACACGGTGGCTCAACAAGACGCGGGAACTGGCCGCTAACAGTTATTCAGCACGTACGACCAGCCGTCGAACCGTAGACGCAATGCAACTCCTCAGTACATCGAGTCTCTAGAGAACCAATTGAAGCGCGCGAAGGCCTTACTGCACGTCGTGCTCCCGACTGTAGACCTGAATGATTCCAGTATTGACGTTCACCTCCAAAATGGACTGCTCCCACAATTGCCAGTAGCCTCGCCGCGCCCGTCCGTGTTCCCAGCTAACCCGCACATGGCTCACCGCCCTCCGAATGTTGTGGAAGATGTACCCGATTCCCATCTAGAGGCCATGGTGAAAGCGACAGGTCAGTTGGATCTAGACGAGGAAGGCAACTGGGATTATCACGGTCATTCATCAGGTCTGAGCTTCATGAGAGGACTGCAGCAGTTTGGGGATATGTTTCACACTCCATCAAAGGCCTCATCATCTCTGCGGTTCCGAACATCGTCTCAAGACCCTCCATCTCCGAGATCTACTCAATCGTTCGCCGAATCTTCTACTGCTCTTCCGCCTGGCACAGACTTACCAGGTAAAGAGGAGGCACGGTCTCTTTGTAATACTGCCATCATCGATGCCAGCTCCATGCTCAGGGTGGTACATTTGCCTACTTTCTACAAACAACTGGACCGTATCTATGACACATCGCCAGACGATTACACCAATGCCGAAAATAGCTTCCTACCATTACTATACGCCGTACTAGCTCTCGGTAAACTTTTCTCAAAGAGTCAATCTGAGCTTGAACAGGCCGATTATGAGCCTCTTGTTGAGGAGGGGTAAGTCGAAGATTCGGTCGACAACCAAGCTTATCTAACGCACGCCAGCTTCACGTACTTTAGGGCGTCTCGTCAGCTCCTCGATATCACAGATTGTAGAGACTTGACATCCCTACAAGCTATCGTTTTCATGATACAGTTTTTACAATGCTCGGCCAAGCTAAGTACCTGTTACGCTTATATTGGAGTAGCTCTACGTTCCGCGTTGCGCATGGGGCTTCATCGCTCTTTCAATGCAAAGTTCAATCCAATTGAATCCGAGACTCGAAAGCGCCTGTTTTGGGTTATTCGACGCATGGATACCTACGTGGGAGCAATGCTTGGCTTGCCGCGATTCCTAGAAGACGAAGACGTCGATCAGGAATGGCCAGCTGAAGTGGACGATGAGTACATTACTGAGACGGAGATCTTGCCGATGCCGAGAGGACAGATATCCGTCATGGCTGCGTTCAATGCCCATACACGAATCGTTCAGGTACTGAGCAAGATATGTCGATATGTCTATCCCATCAAGGGGACGCAATCAGATGGCAAGAACTCGGTGACATATACAGTGAGCTACTCTAAGATCCGAGAAATTGAGCAAGAGCTTTCACTATGGCTGGACGAACTACCTACAGCATTGAAACCTGGAGGAGAAGCTCCACAAATTATTATTAGGTATGTTAGCTGTAATAGTAGTGAGATACATTTACTTACCATGATGCAGATCGCAGCAGCTCCTCCGAATGGCTTTTGGACACGCCCAGCTACTACTCTACCGTCCCTTCCTGCATTATGTCTCACAGTCTCACAGGGATCAGACCGTCGATCAAAGAGCGTTCGCATGCGCTTCTGCATGCGTCAGCGTGTCTCGTAACATTGTCCACATATCTACGGAGATGAGAAAGCGGGGTTTGCTGAACGGGGCGAATTGGTTCTCCATGTACACGACGTTCTTCTCCATTGTCTCCATCATTTATTTCGTATTGGAGAATCCTGGCAGCCCCACCAGCTTTGAGCTTCTACGTGACGCTCGGGAAGGCAAAGAGGTGCTAGCGTTCTTTGCCAAGCGGAGTATGGCAGCTGACCGGTGCAGCGCTGCGTTGAACGTAGGTGGACCACGCTAAGGCGTCCCAATGATAGCATGCAGGCTAACCATACATCGCAGAGCATGTTCGAGAGGCTGCCCGAGTCGGCCAAGCACGGTAGAGAGATTGCCGAGTCGAGGAAACGGCGCCAAGAAAGTTCGCCACAGCCCCAAGCATTCCGCCCGCATTTGCTGCAACAAGAAGATGGCTCCGGGGTCCCGCGGCGCGCTAATACCTACCCAGAAGGCATGCCTGACACGAAGCGCAGCGCTCTTGGCCACTCGCTACCAGTTTCCCAAATACATCTTTCAAGCCATCCAATGGACTCATTCAACCCACCTAATCCGTCGATACCAGACTTTTTCGAAGCATTGCCTAGACCTGCGCCTACCTCGTCCACAACTGGTCTGGCGTCCTTCAGTGTCATGCCAAGTCAAACGCAGCAACACCAACAATCCTTCCCGTCCACACCGTTGGTGAGTTCGCTCACAACCCCATCAGGCCTGAATGTGCCGATATCGGACATCTCGACTATGATGTTTCCCTCGGCCGATCCCTTGGCCTATCCAAATCAACCGATGACTACATTCGAAAACCAACACCCCCAGATGTTCGAGCGCAGGATCGACTCTCCGGCCGTTGGTGGACTCCCTCTGCACATGTCGGGTGTAGATATGAAGTTACAACCTACCTCATTCCACCCCCCAGGTTTCCCTCCCAGACACCCAACTGAGAATGAAGTGCAGCTCTACGGGTCGAGGCCCATGTATCTAATGCAAGGCGCACCTGCGCAACGTGGATTCCCAAGTCAACATGGGAGTCCGAGTGTGCAGATGATGGCCCCGAACATGCAGTTCGACGATTTGCTCAACCAAGAGGAGTGGGCACAGCCATTTCTCGACCCTAGTCTAGGGATGCATAGCGTAAGACCGCCATTTGCTGGGAATGTACAGTTTGGGTCGCATGATTCGGAGATGGGAGGCTGGCAATGAGGTGGTGTTTGGACAGTGAAGCAGAGATGCCACGAATTCGCTATCCGTGACGGTATGCTCGTGCTGACGAGAGCGGACGCACAGTGTAATGAACAATCTCCAAGACGGACGCACGACATTTATGGTGAAGAGTAATGGCGTCACGCATATCCAGATTTACGGATTCGGTTCGATTCAATTCAATTTAATCAAAAGCACGATACCCCCGTTGGACGACCGGCCAGCCGACATGGAGCTTGAAGGCATGATCTTTGCATTTGGTTTAGCAATTCTTGTTGTTTTGCATAATTGTTTTTCTTTTTGCACGCCTTCATCAACGTGTCTTTACGATACCAGCAGGACGAGACACATTTCCGGCGTTTGGGCTTGACTTGTAGGAGCTTGGACGCAATGACGTAACGACGTCTTCCGAAGCAACTTGGGTAGACTACAAAATTCAAGCCGAGTATTCAACCTTGTCGTCCTGAGATTCGTTGTGAGATGTCAACCCTTGATCGTACAGAAGAGGTGCAGAAAAAACAAGATGTCCGAGTTTGTGAATTGGATATATTACTCCGTCCACACACAGTCGCCATCTAGAAGCCCAGGGAAAGACGAGACGCCCAGCAATGCTGCTACAACTACATGCACAACGGCCAAACGAGATAGCAATCTAATGTATGGGTCCCGCAAAGGGCCGCGCTTCCCATGTCCCATGTCCCATGTAATCAACGCCATGCGTAAAGTATAAACATGAAGCGAGAAACGTGTGAGCCTGCCATCTGCCTACGCAGCAGGCTGGTAAAGACTTTGGAAGTTGACGGGTTTTGTGAAGGGGATGCTTTTTTTTCTTGTTCAAAAGGGAAAGTTACCCGGGTATCCCTGGCCTCTTTGCCTGCCTCCGCCGCCGGGCATGCCCCCTCCCATGCCCCCGAACGGACTACCCCCGCCCGTTTGGAAGTGGAAGCCGCCTCCGCCCCCGCGTCCACCGCCCATGCCGCCGCCAAACATGTTGAATAGCATCTCTGGGTCGATGCCGCCAGATGGGTGGCCGCCGCCGCCGCCGCCGAACATGTCGGAGGGATCAATGAGATCTGCGCCAGAGTCGTAGCGCTCACGCTTTCTGCAAGGATGTTAGTCACGGACAAAGGCATGTTTGATGGATTGGGTCACACGTACTCTGCGTCGCTCAGCGTCTCATGGGCCTCCTGGATCTCCTTGAATCTCTCAGCAGCCTCCTCGTCGCCGGGGTTCTTGTCGGGGTGGTGTATGATGGCCAGCTTTCGATATGCCTTTTTGATCTGCTGTTCTGTTGCGTCTTTTTCGATGCCGAGAATCTTGTAGTAGTCTTTGCGCTTGCTCTTCTTCATCTCGAGCTCGGCGTTGCGGATCTCCTTTGCGATGCCGGGCTCGGACGGGTTGGCCTCTTGGATGGCCTTGTACTCGCGCAGCGCCTCGTCCCAGTTGCCCGACTCGCCTAGCGCCTTTGCTCTTGTCTTGCGGGCCTTGGTGTAGGCGGGGTCGAGCTCGAGGGCCCTGTCGCAGTCGGCCACGGCCTCTGTCCACTTCTTCAGGCGGGACTGGCACAGGGCGCGGTTCTGCAGGATCTTGGAGTTTGTGTTCTTGTTGGCGGGGTCGACCTGCAGGGCGCCCGTGTATGTGTCGACGGCGTGCTGGATGCGGCCGGCCTTGAAGGCGGCGTTGCCCTCTTCCTTCATGCGCTCGAGCTTCTGCACCATGCGCAGGTACTTGACGGCGTCCTTGAAGTCCGGGTCGCAGCTCAGGGCCTGGCGGAAGTGCTGGATGGCCTTGTCGTTCTCGCCCTGTGCGTACAGGATGCGGCCGCGCAGGACGAGGGCGTCCGGGTCGTTGCTGTTGTTGCGCAGCAGCGACATGGCCACGTTCTGCGCCTCGCCCAGGGCGTTGACGTTGCCCATGCGCAGGTGCGACTCGCCGCGCAGCAGCTGCCACTTGCGCGGCTTGTCGACGCCGGCGCCCAGCCCCTTCTCGGCCTCGTTGAGGGCGTAGATGACCATGGAGCCGGCGCCGCCGTTGTGGAACGTCTGCTCGGCCATGCGCAGGTGCTTCTGCATGGTCAGGGCGGGCTGCGTGTCCTTGGCCGTGGCGTTGATGGAGCGGAAGACCTGCACGGCCTCGTCGGGGCGGCCCATGCTCGTGTAGACGCGCCCCAGGCGCAGCAGGATCTTCATGTTGTTCGGGTCGAGCTCGTCGGCGCGGCGGCAGTCCTCCATGGCCTCGGCGAAGCGGTTGGCCGACATGCAGGCGGCGGCGCGGTTCGAGTAGTAGGTGGCGTTCTTGGAGTCGGCGTCGATGGCCTTGGAGTACTCGCGGATGGCGGCGGGGTAGTCCCGGATCTTGAAGAACTTGTTGCCCGCCGCCTTGTAGTCCTCGGCGTCGATGGTCGGGGCCTCGGCCGGCAGCGGGGGCACCTCTGGGGCCGTGTAGGAGCCCGTCTGCTGGGCCGGGCTGGCCGTGTAGCGGTGCGGCGGGGGCGCTGGGCGGCCCTCCATCTCGCCGTTTGCTGGTGGCGGCTGCTGGGCGGCCGTGGGGCTCGCGGGCGGCGGCGACATGGAGGCCTCGCGGTCGACGTCCATCATGGGCTCGGGCGTGGGCGTGGGCGAGGGCAGGGGCTGGTCAGCCATGGCCGAGGACATGGCAAAGGACAGGCGCTGGCGCTCCTCGGGCGGCAGGTTCAGCGGGTGCGAGTCGCGCGTGTCGTGCTTGGACGAGCGGCGGCTGCTGGCGGTGCGCTCGCGGTCCCTCACGCGCGAGTGGGCGGGCGACGAGGGCGGAGCGGTGCCCGTGTTGCTGCGCGACAAGGGCTTCGGCGTCTGGCTGGGGCTGTCGGCGGGCTTGGACTTCTTTGCGGCTTTGTTGAAGAGGGAGGGAAGCACCATCGGAGGCGAGCGTGCGGAGGGCAGGGCAGCGTCGTCGAGGGCGAGGCGGGGGCTGCGGTCACTGTCCGGAACCACCAAAAAGTTTGGTCACGGTTGGATTTTGGTGCGAGACGAGGGTGCGAGAAGCTTCCACGCCCGACGCCTGTCCCGCTAACAAAACTGCCCCCAGGCCACCGCAGTTGCGCGCCGCAGCCTGCGTCGGCCTGCATTGGACGCCGCCCACAGCGCAATCGCCCGCCGACGCCAATCACCCTCCCCGTCCACGGCCACTGCTGCCTCTGCCTGTCCACCCGGGCCGCCCAGCGGACGTGAAGCCGCTGCCGTCTTGTCGTCGGGGCGAGTCGAGGCATGCTCCGTCGTGGGGCCCAGTCCGCATGCAGTGAGGTTGGGGATGGCACCGTCAACCAGCCTGCACGGCCAATGGCAGCACCAACCGCAACGTCATGGCAAACCGTAAACACACATTCACTCGATAAACATGCAACTGTCGTCTGCCATTCCACTGCCCGCCTGCCAATCACGCGCCGGCTGTGTTTGCACACGTCCGCCAAGTCTTGTCCCCTCGCTGCACATTGTCCCGCAGAGTCAGCCGCAGTCCCCAGCTCCGTGTCCCTACTCCATGTCCCAACTCCATGTTCCCTGCACGCAGACCAACTGCTCACTCTCGTACCCCGTCCGTGTGCGGCCATGATTCCCTCTAGATAGCGTGCTGGCGAGGAGAACCGTGTAGCCATAGGCTTGGTGATGCCAGCGTCCAGGCCTGCAACCGACCGTTCCACCGTCATCACGCCGACGCCTGACGCCTTGCAACCCCGACCAACATCCTCACGTCCCGTTCCCACTCTCACTCTCACATGTCCGTCTCTTGAGCCACCTGTCTAACCGCATGCTCTGTCTTCATTACTGTGCCCACCTCTGCCCGTGAAAGCCATCGTCTTCGCCCTCCAAACTAGTCCGCGGCGACTTCCTGCCTCATCAACACCTCGTCCATAGCCTCTCCCCGTCAGCATAGCCTCTCCACAAGCCCACACGTCTCGCACCACTGCACCACCTGCACCCGTCACCAGCCATGGGGCTCGCATACAACATCTACCTCAACTCCACGCGCATATACGGCTGCAAGAACTGCAAGACGCACCTCTCCAACCACGACGACATCCTCAGCAGAGTCGGTTTGCGTCCCCCACGCCCGGAATACGCCATACTGACAGGCTCCAGAACTTCCGCGGGCAACACGGCAAAGCATACCTTTTCGACAGCGTTGTCAACATTACAGAGTCGGAGCCCAACGAGCGCAACATGACGACCGGCCGTCACATAGTACGCGACATCCACTGTCGCCAGTGCAAGGAGACGGTGGGCTGGAAATATGACAAGGCTTATGAGGCCAGTGAAAAGTACAAGGAGGGCAAGTTCATCCTCGAAGCAGAGTTGCTGTGTACCGTCTCGTGAGACAGCACACGAATCGCTCCCTCTCCACCAGAGCGCACAGTCTTGACGAGCTACAAACCTTTCATAAACGCATCTTGGGTGTACTGAATATGGGTAGCTAACATGTATTGGGAGTATGGGCGTTTTGGGCGTTTGGGCACGACACAGGAATCCATTTACTCTGCCATGTCTTTCTGCAGTCATTCTTCGACATGGCATACACAAGACACGCCTCAGACATGTTTGCCATGGTGATTGTGACAATAGCAAACCGCTGCAACTTGCAACTTGCGCAACTACAGTTGCTCACTGCTGCGCGGCTTATTTACCCCGCAACCACGCCAACCTCGGCGAGTGGCTCCCTCTTTGCCTCTTATTTCATACCACATCTTTTCCATCCTTGGCAATCTACATCTCTTCATCATATAACCATGGGGAACGATACTATGAAATCAGTCGTGTTCAAAGCGCCTGGAAAAGTGGTAATCGAAAGCCGGCCAATACCCAAGATCAAGGAGCCAACCGATGTCATTGTCAAAGTTGACAAGGTACTCTCCTCCAACATGCTTCCCACGTCTTTTGCTAACCTCATGTAGACAGCACTATGCGGCAGGTATGGCTTACCCGGTTCCGGTTATACTTTGTACATCTGATCAATAAATCCCAGTGAACTGCACGTCTTTCGCGGCCATCAGCCATCTGGCACCGACTTTGTCATGGGACATGAATTTACTGGCCATGTTCACGAAGCAGGATCTTCAGTCAAAACTCTCAAAGCAGGCGACCACGTTGTTTGCCCATTCACAACGTCGTGCGGTGAATGCTTTTACTGCACACGCGGCTTCTCTTCCCGCTGCGTCAAAAGCCAGCTCTTCGGTAGCGTCGGCCTCGACGGCGCGCAAGCAGAGTATGTTCGTGTGCCGCTTGCCGATTCAACAGCCGTAAAAGCGCCGCCAGGCATCAAGGACGAGGCTCTGGTTCTCATGGCAGACATTTTCCCCACGGGCATGTTTGCAGCCAAGAACGCGTTCAAGCACTTCACACCCGAGGAGATCAAAGACGCAGTCGTGGTTCTGATTGGATGTGGTCCCGTCGCTCTTTGCGCGCTGTGCAATATCATCGACTTCAAGCCCAAGCACATCCTTGCTGTCGATTCAGTCCCCTCGCGTCTTGATCTTGCAAAGACTCTAGGCGCCGAGCCATGGAACTTTCAAACAGACCGCGAGGGCCTGAACAACCGCGTCAAAGAACTCTCCGATGGTCGGGGTGCGGATGCTGTGATTGAAGTCGTGGGCTTGTCCCCAGCACTGCGGATGGGCTTCGAGCTTTTGAGGCCGTGGGGAGTGCTTTCCAGTGTGGGTGTTCACAACGGAGAGATTCCATGGACGGGAAGCGAGGCTTACGGCAAGAATATGAGACTTCAGATGGGGAGATGTCCTGTGAGGAGCATTTTTGAGGAGGCGCTGAAGAGCTTGGAAAGGCATCAGGATAAGCTTGGGTAAGCGAAGTTGATACTATGATAAGGGTGTTGCTGACGGATGCAGGTTCATGGCCGACAAGATCATGCCTTTGAGCGAGGCTGTTGAGGGGTATGACGTGTTTGACAAGATGAAGGTGCAGAAGGTCATTTTTGAGGCTCAGAAGTAGGTTGCGGCAGACATTTGAGAGCGTGGGAGAGTTGCATTGGACGGGGTTGGTAGGGTATTGAAGCATACAACAGGCGTCTGGGTATGGTAGCTGGGTTATTTCCAAGTCGTCAAACATCAACGAGAGGCGCAGGCAGCACTTGGCGATGACCGTTTACATGGCCAGTGCGTCTACAAAGTATCGGTAGATGCGGGGCAGGTAAGCTGGATAACAGCTCACACCATTCCAGGGCTGCGACTGCGACGATGCATAGCAGTCGGTCGCTGCTTCGACAGTCACAGCTTGGGCAGTCACAGGTTGTGTGCAAAATGACCCAGTGTCTACTGCCTCACTCCCATTACTCCTGCCACAGATGTTAATCATCCAGGACTAGCCTCGCTAAGAGCTACCCAACCCAAGAATATATTCCTTTCCTGACTCCCTCACCTCACTTCTGCACGTTTCGACTGTTTACCGCCGCACCCGCCGACACACCCCCATCTTCCTCTCCCTCCGCCCCTTGCCCTCCTTCTCCGTCCATCTCTCGGTTCATTCCGCCGCCCGCACCGACCACCTCCCCCGCCACTTCTGTACGTAGCTCCCACTCGATCGCACCGCAACGAGCAGACACTGACGTGGTACTCTGCAAGCCTTCGCCTACTCCCCCTCCCCCTCCCCCTCGATCCTCTTCACGTCTCCGCGACCACTCCCGTAAGTAGCGCGACTCCACGCGCCACGTGCGAAGCTACGTCACTGACCGCAGCCGCAGCACGTCTTCGGCCATTTCTACAACATGTCTGCAGAGGAGCCACAACAAGCCGGCCAGGATGTCAGCCGCGTCGCCGACCAGCTCGACCGCCTGAATGTCGATGGCGAGGGCGACGCTGCCCCGCGCACAGAGCAGGAGTACGCCGAGTCGCAGCTCACGCTCCGTGCCATTGTCTCGTCCAAGGAGGCGGGTGTCATCATAGGCAAGGCTGGCAAGAATGTCGCTGACCTGCGCGACGAGACTGGTGTACGCGCCGGCGTCAGCAAGGTCGTCCAAGGCGTCCACGACCGCGTGCTCTCCGTCACTGGCAGTCTCTCTGGCATCTCGCAGGCATACGGCTTGGTCGCCAAGGGTCTGCTCGACGGTGCCCCCGCCATGGGCATGGGCGGTCTCGTTCGCAGCGACGGAACTCATCGTATGTACCTTGGTTGCGCACAATGCGCGAGCGATGGGTCCTTACTAACGTGTGCAGCCATTCGTCTCCTCATCTCGCACAACCAGATGGGCACCATCATCGGACGCCAGGGTTTGAAGATCAAGCAGATTCAAGATGCCTCTGGAGTTCGCATGGTCGCCCAGAAAGAAATGCTTCCCCAGTCCACTGAGCGTATCGTCGAAGTCCAGGGTTCCCCGGCAGGCATTGAGAAGGCCCTCTGGGAAATTGGCAAGTGCCTGATCGACGACTCCGAGCGCGGCTACGGCACGGTGCTATACAACCCCGCAGTTAGGGTTCAGCCTGGTGCTGGTCCTGGTCCATTGTCCAACGGCGCTCCTGCTGGTCCTAGTGGAGGTCGTTCGTACAACCGCACTGGTCATGGTGCTGATTTCAGTGATTCGCCTCCCACTCACTCTCGCCGATCTGGATCCGACGCTGCCACTCGACCCCCACCTCCCACGCACACCGAGGATGGAGAGGAGATGCAGACGCAGAACATCAGCATTCCCTCAGACATGGTCGGATGTATTATTGGCCGCGGTGGCAGCAAGATCAGCGAGATCCGCAAGACATCCGGCGCGCGCATCTCCATTGCCAAGGCACCTCACGATGACACCGGCGAACGCATGTTCACGATTACTGGAAGCGCCGCCGCTAACGAGAAGGCCCTGTACCTCCTGTATGAAAACTTGGAGGCGGAGAAGATGCGACGTAGCCAGGCCCAAGACTGAGTGTATACACACAGCCTTGTGGCCATGGTCCACTCCAATGCCACAAGCTTTTCATGGGTTCCGGGTGCTCACCAAGATCGACATCAAAAGCAAGGATTGCTTCATTTGTTTCTGATACGCGATAAATACCACGGATGTTCTGGTGATATTTCTTTTTTTACTCATGGGTATACTTAATATCGAACGATGCATGGTGCAAGGCTGGGCGCCTCATGAATGTCATGACTTATGGCTTTTGATATCCGACTGGCTCATCTGCCTACGACGATCTGTGTCGAGGCGGGTTTGTTCGTCTGTTTTCTGTTTGATTCGAGGGTCATTGGCAGAGGAAGCTGGAAGAAGGAGTGAGATTCATTCGCATCATCTCACATCTACTTTGAGCTCTCACGATCTGACCCTCAAACTCCCCCTGCTTCTACTCATCCTACCCCGATCCTGTACTCGGCCTTTATGGGCCCTCCTTCCCCCTCTATAGTCACGACCAAACAATCTAAAACTCTGATATCTATGTGATGGCAACTGGAGACAGGCAACATGATATATGAGAACGAAAGTGATGCTGTTCGCTTCTGACGCTCTCCACAAACAAATCTGGTATCAGAGTCATGTCCATATTCAGCCACTCGCGTCAGGATTTGTAGGAAGTGTAGTTCGCAAACTGATGCGGTGAGGTTCGGCAACGGCAGTGTCTCGCTTATCCTTCCAGATGACCGCCACACCGCCAGGGTAGACCCAGGATACGAGAACATTTCGTACGCCGACTGATTTCCGAGATGGAATCCTTTCCAGCTATGCCTGTTCGAGGCGACTGCTGCGTTTGGTTAAAATACGTTTGACCGCACTTTTCTTTTCCTGCTGCATGCTCCTCTTCCTCAATTTTCACGCTTTTACGACCTGACGACCTGACGCTACCTACGGATCACGAATCACGGACTGCTTTACAGAGCTGTGGTATAGCACTACAACGGAAGACTCATACGACAATCACACCAGCATGGCTCCTGTTCAGACGCAGACAATCACCCCCCACCAGTTCACAATCCCCATCTCAGGACGAGGTGTCATCTCGGGACGCATTTCAAGGCCTACACCACGCTCAACACGCATCGGCAAACCACTTCTGTCGTATACACCACAGGTCCCCACAGCACACCCAGATATCAACCTGACTCTTCTCCGCAACAAACTACTTCTCACCTGCCGCAATTATGTGCCCTCCGCACTTCTCCACGAAGCGCTAGCAGATGGCATCTGGGCTCGCGCGGAGCGCTGGATTACACCGAGCAGTAGCGCCGCGTCCCGCTTCGGTAAAAGAAAACGCTATTTTGTATTGCACACGGCGACGTGGACATTCCAGCAAATGGGGAGTGCTTGGGAAGCTCGAATTCTGAGCAACTCGCAGCCGATCGATGCAGGGAACGGTGTGGTGGTGTTTGTCAAAGAAAGACCTGAATGGGAATGCTTCATGCGGGGGTACAAACAGCAGGGGAGGCGGGGTGCAGGTCAGTTGCTGAAGGTTCAGCAGCAGAGTACGGAAAGAGGATGGAAGGAGGAGTGGAAGAGGAAGTGTGGGCTAGAAGATGGGGATGGGCGAGGTAACGCGAAGAAGGAGGTCAATGCTGGGCCGATGTGGGTGCTTGTGAAGAGTGCGGTTGCGAGGATTGTGAGGGGAGAGGCGTGAGCGACCTGTGTTGAGGGTTCGCCGCGGACGTTCTGCGCGGAGTTTTTGCATGGATTTGGCGTTTTGGGTCTGGTGAGCATTTCTTTTGGCGGGGTTCACGATATCACGACTGTTTGAGCATTTGAGCGCGTACTTGCTTTCGCGACGACTCTGACGAGTTCGAAATGATATTCAGACATAAATCGTCACCATTCCCACAAACTCGGGTAGCTGGGAGATGCTATCGAGGGTTCAGCATCCCACTACGTGAGTCTGCCGAGGGCTTGGCTCTGTAGGATTCCGAGCCAACGTTCCGAATTCCGAGATTTGAGTTTAAGGCTGATGTTGGCCCAAGCGAGGTTTTAGATTTAGCGTTCCCCGTAATAGCTTCGGGTTGATGCCACCTTTGACTTTGCATGCTACAGCCATAAGCTTCACACGCTTGTCACTCCTTTCCCTGGCTGTGCGTCTTTGCTGACAATCGCATTTGCGACTCTGCACTTTCTCTTGAACCTTCCCGCTTTTCCTATTCGCATTCTCATTCATCTCTGCTTCATCCTACGTGACAGTCATGGCGCGTTCCAAGTCGAAAACACCAGCTAAGCGCACCCCGTCTGAGGCGCGTAAGCAAGCCAATGGCATGGCCCACCAGCTAGACGACGCAGTTCATTCCATCGAAAAGCAGCTGGAGAAGCAGGCAGAACTTCATGCTAGGGATCCGCATGAGCAAAAGGAGGCAGGGTTGATGATGCTGGCCATCTGTGTTCTTGGGATATATGCCAACTTGTACGTTGGAGACGCTCGGGAAAAGGGTGTTTGAGCTGACAAGTGGTAGTCTGGGCTGGGGTTATCTTCAAGAACGTCTGACAACAACGACCCACGGTCCCATGCACGCGCGCTGGGTGTACCCCGTTGCCCTCAACACTGTCCAGTCCACCTTCGCAGCCATAACCGGCTACATCTACCTGTTTTCGTCCGCGCCTCGCCACCCCAAGACAGGCGCACGTAATGTCCCAGCCATATTTCCTTTCAAGCAGATCGTCTTCCAAGTCTTTCTCATCTCGGTGACGAGCAGTCTGGCCTCGCCATTCGGATACGCCAGTCTCAAGCACATCGACTATGTCACCTTCATTCTGGCCAAGAGTTGCAAACTGCTTCCGGTCATGTTCCTCCACATTACCATTTTCCAGAAGCGATATCCATTTTACAAGTACATGGTCGTTGGTTGCGTGACGTTGGGCGTCGCCGTCTTCACCCTTTACAACCCCTCGACAGCGAAGAAGGCAGCAAAGAAAGGACTCAATGTGGACGCTTCGAAGACGTTGGGCTTGTTCCTTCTCGGTGTTAATCTGCTCTTCGATGGCTTGACCAACACCATCCAAGACCAGATCTTTACTAAATTCAAAGGCTTCACCGGCCCGCAGATGATGTGCGCGCAGAACATCATGAGCACTGCATTAACAGTCACGTACCTCATTGTGTCTCCATACATTGCGGGCACACCCCTCGGCGAATGGGTTGGCCTCTCTTCGTCTGGGAACGGCGAGCTTAATGATGCCATCACTTTCGTCACCACATACCCGAGCGTGGGCTGGGATGTCCTCGGCTTCGCGGCGTGTGGTGCGGTTGGGCAGGTTTTCATTTTCCACACGCTGGCCCACTTCAGCTCTCTTCTTCTCGTAACGGTGACAGTTACGAGGAAGATGCTGACCATGCTGACGAGTGTGGTGTTGTTTGGTCACACGGTCACGTCGAAACAGTGGGGGGGTGTTGCGCTCGTGTTTGGTGGCGTCGGGGCGGAGGCGTTCTTCAACAGGTTGGAGAAGAAGAAGAAGATGCAAGCGAAGAAGGCTGCGGCTGCGGGGAAGAAGCAATAAAGGAGTCGGGTTGAGGTTCAGAGGACTGAATGACCGCAACGTGCGTTAAGATTTAGAACTAGACACCTTGGATTTAGAAATATGGAATGACACGGGCGGATACAGGACGCGTTGAAATAAACTCGGGATAACTCCTGCTTTAGTTCAATCGTCCTCAGACCGTTTTTCGTTGACGTCTTAAATGCAGATTTTGGAGGTTAGTGCTGACAGTATCTCTCATCACATTCGACCACCAACAAGCCATATGTTCATCAGGGAACATCAAATCCATTCAATACCTTGATTCAAACCTCTTACGCAGTCATATATTCTCCAAGTCCACCCTCCCTTCAACCTTCAGAAGTCTCCTGCGCCTCCTCCCCCGTCTCCTCCATCCAGATTTCTCGAATCTCTGCTCTGCGACTGATCCACGTCGCTCTCAGCGTAGCCTCCGTTCGTCCCGGAAACTGCGGCGCCATGTGTGCAAAGCCTTTTTTCTTGAGCACTTTCCACTTGTACAACTTCAAAAAATCATCGCGCGTCCAACCAGAAACGTCTGGGGCAGAGGATGATGTTGATGCCGCCGCTGGTGGGGCGGTTGAGGAAGACACTGCAGGGGCTGGGGTAGATGGGGGATATGTCGGGGCTATGTATGCGGTAGCAGCAGCTTGGGAAGGGCGATTTGAGGGACCAAGACCAGTGTTGGAGTTCGCAGGTTCTTCTAGAAACGCTGGTTCTGAGAGATGTTGGGTTAGCTAGGAGGTCGTCAACACAAGTTCACGCATCGACTTACCCGTCGCAGTACCTCGAGGTGTTCCAGAAGGTTGCATACCCCACGCTTCCTCTGATCCCGGACGAGGACGTGGAGCATACACGAATGATTCGCCCGTATAAACTCTGTTGCCATGGTATCGCCAGTCATCGGAGTTGGTAGAAGGAGGAGGGGGAGAAGCTAGTATGTCATGAGTGAGTGATTCACGGACTACAACAAGCAGGAATGAGATGGGAAGGGGGTACGCACGAGAACGATTCAGGATATCTCTCTCCTCTCCCAAAGTCCTCACAGCAAAATCTGACTTGAAATCGTTATTTCCTCCGGGAAACATGGACTCATCTAGTTGGTGGAAGCGATGGTATCCATGCTGCTCGTCGAAGCTCGCGTGGTCGGATGAGTTATCCATGGTTGAGGCGTGATCGGGGTTGTAGTTGAGGGGAGTTGGTTTGGTGGGCACAAAGTGGAGTGCAAGAAAGTCTTTGCTCATAATATACCTTCGTTTCAGGGTGTGAAAAGTGAAAATGGTTTCTGAAAAGTGAATATACAAAAGCCCTCTTGTCGATACAAGCCAAAGTGAAAGAGTTCTATACTTGTTGTTCAGGGAAAGTCTCAATTTTTGATTTCAATGTCCTCAAAGCGATCTCGATCATAGCTTTTTATGCGGTGGAAGAGAAAGTTTGCGGATTGGGACGAGGCTTGTGACATCGTCACTGAACAGGCAGGTCACGATTCGTAACTCTTTGGGATTGACAGCATGATCAACAGCGGAAAGTCAGGGACCCGAATTAGTTACTACTTAGTGTTCTGCTTGTAAGTTTCTATCCGGCGTTACGACTTTTTGGAACTCAGCCTCCCTATCGTGTGCTGTTCTCTCCAACCTTGGTCAATGTGCCCACCAGTTCCAGTATCCATTTGCGTGCTTTCAAGTGACCAGTAGTTTTCATTGGTTTTGTTGATTACTTTTTTAGATTCCAAAGATCCATCTCCGTTCCATTTCTAAGCCCTGAGACAGTTGGTGAAGGAATGAAGAATATCTTGGAAAACACGGTGTCTTGGAATGCCAAACGAACTATTAAGGATCCCCCTCTAAGCTCAACCATTGATACTTTAGATGGGAATAGGCATCTCCATTCATACTCGTAGAGTTACAAAAACACAGCTTTACCCGCATTGTGGCGTGCTTGTAGTAGAAGCATGGCACTGGGACGGTTGGTTCATAGTTCTCTTTAAGCGAAGTTGATCGAGATTGGTGATGGGAGGATGGGACTGGGGTGTGATTGATCTTGAGATGATTTGAGTGTCGACAGATGTGTCGAACCTCATGAGATAGTAATCATGGGGATCTTAGAATGTGCGCGGATAACCTCACTCAAGACCATGAAGTCACTGCTGAATGTACATACACATTGCTCGTATGTCATGGTTCTTCGAGATGAACCACTAAATAACGTCATGACTTTCTGACAGTGGGTGACTACATTATCATGTATTTAGGATGTTTGAGTGGGCATGTCGGTGATGCCGATTGTCGAAGTTGTCTAGCCACCGAGCACAGCTATGGGAATACACGACACAAGTTCACCCCATAGATCGGGGACTCAACCTAGGCTTAGGACAACCATGGTCTAATGATGGGAATTCACGAAGCGTACCTTCAAGTCACCATCGAAAAGTATTATAAGCATTCCAATCTCACCTCCAACCAAGCATGTAGTCCCCTCCACATTGTCGATCCCATTTCTTGATTCTCCAATTTCTTACAGAACTCAGCAAGGGTCTTGCATCTTTCCATAATCCATGTCTTCTTTTCCAGCTCCGTCTCATTTTTCCATTCTCTGGCAATAGCGTGTCCAACCTTTGCCTCACAAACTGGACACAAATACGGTGGTTGTCTCAAATCTTCTTTCATCCCCATTGTACTCTGCATATTGCACGCGTAATACACACAATGGTCCATGCCAAAGCAGTGCCCAAGCTCATGGGAGACGGTACGGGCGAGGCGAGAGAACCAAAGTGCTTGAATCTCTTGTGTTGATTCTGAAGTGATTGTAAGTGTCATGGACGCAGCATCGACAGCTGCCCTCATCGGCCCATCTCTCGAAAGTTTGATCTGTTGTGCTGTGGGCGGCTGTGGTTCCACGTCTTCAACTTTACACAAAGCATCAATGAAACTCTTACAATGACTCGCAGGCCATATGTGTGCCCGATCAACATTCTCCTTGACATCAAGACACGGTTGATAACGCGCGGTTTGGACAACAGCGATTCTACTCCCTCCATATGCTCTTCCACAACAAAAGTCGTCATCTTCGCTTTCATAGATGTCGTGATCGACTAACAAAAGAAGTGCGTATGCATCGTCCGGAAGCATCTCGGTAGCGGCATCGAGTATGTCTTCGAGATTCATTTGCGCAGGAAACAGGCCATCAGGCGGAGAGCGAACACGGATTCGAGTTTTGCGGTCGTTGTACCTGAGGGCCAGGTGTTTTGGAATGCTGTTTTGTTTCCCGGACGCATGGCGTTTGGTATTGTTGGACCAGGCTGTCCATTGCAAGCGAAAAGGTAACTCGGCGACGTCCATGTCATGGTAGAAAGCCTTCAAGTAATCTACGAAGAATTCTATAGCTGGACTGTGTGATGTGGTGACCTGAGAGTTCTCAGGGCTCATTTCCAAACTCGACTTTGTCCAATCTCTTATAAATTCAACATCTTTTCCAATCTGCGGCACTCGCGCCACATACAAAGTCCCCCTTCTCTCCCCTGACAGTATCTTGTTCCTCTCTTCCTCGTGAAGCCAACTTTTGAAGCTCTGAGGTGAGCAGTCTGGATCGTAATTGAGATCATCATGGGGCAGCACGAGGGGTGCCGGAAAAGTCTTCAAAGGTGTTTGCACTATCCTGTTCTTCTGCACCCTGCCGGTAGCCATCACCGCAGCTGCGCGCTTTTCTTGACTTGGTTGGTCGTAGCCGGCCAGCGCAGCGAATGGCGAGGGATCATGTTGCAATATCTCATGCTGACAATTCTGAAGTTGCAAAGGCATTGTTCTTCAAAGTGAGTGTCGATATTTGGATTTAGAGAGAAAAATCGCGTGTTGATAAATACGTCTGAACGAAGGTGGCGCCAAGTGTCTTCAGGCAGACGTGTCGAGCTCTGTGACGCGTTATCACGCGTAGAGCGCGTGTCTGGCTTCCTCACCAAAATCAATGAATTGCAGCGTGATATTAGTATGCTCAGACTACTGTGGATGAGCTGCAAGAAACAGTGCTAAATTGGCTGATGAAGGATGATGTCGAACCATATCTACTGGTGCCGAGTTCGACGTTCCTTACGACAGGTCTACGCTCTCCCGCAATGAGTTCTTCTTTAAGGTCAAGACTGAGGAGTGCCATCGTCTATAAGACAACCTCGAGATGGTACATGAGAATCATAGCTTCCGTTTCTTTGTGCGATTACAGTTGCCCTGTGCAACCTGTATAGTGTTACAAAGGCAGTCACCCGATGTGCAGGAGGCTAAGTATTTCCAGTAGCACTTGAATCTAACGATGTTCATATACGTAAGACGCTGGGCATACTCAAATCACTCCTGGATCTTTGAAGCTGTTATCGGAGTGAGGCGACCGTTGACCGTTCTTTCCTGCTCCTTTGGCGCACCATTTCTCATTCACCACTCAACACAAGACCAAGCTACTTTTCACGACCTCACGCACAACTCCGCCGAGCTTTCACTTTCACTTCGCGGCATCCGGTAGTTTGACAATATTGGGCTCTTGTCCTTGTAAAAAGCCCCCGCTTCTCTTTCTTCCTGCCCGCACCCTCATCCACACCACAGCAGCGATTCTCAACACTCCACCTGGTCACAGTATCACGACGGGCTCTAACTCACCTTGTCATCTGGTTTATCGATTGTCAGTCTGCACTGTGCAGCTTTCTGTCTCGTCACTTACTTCTACTCCTCTCTACCTCTGATTCACTGCTGCGAGTATGAGCGGGGCTACTTTCTGGGCCCAGGGCAGCCAGACTGTCAAGATCGCGACGACGCCTACATCAGTCATTGCTGAAGCTCCATCCAAGCCGCCCCAGGTGGTAACCGAGCCCAAGAAGAGCATGTTGTTGAAGCGTAAGCACAACCTGGATGCTCTCGATGTCTCAGCTGACATTCCAGGCACTACCAACGGGGTCGCGAAGCACACCATGCCTAATTTCTCGACGAAGACGGCGAATTGGGCGGATAGCGATGACGACGACGAGTTCATTACCTCGTTCATGAACACCGCTAAGCACCCCCAGATGCAGGACCCCGAGTACACTGCTCTCGCCAAAGACAGCCGCATCGACGAATTAGTTTCGACCATTGCGGCTAAAGTCATTCGCATTAATGAACTAGAGGGCCTGCTCAATGAGAAGAACCACCGCATTGCCGACCTGGAGACGAATGTCGAGGTGAAGGCGGCTCGTGTTGGGGAGATGCAGGCAGAAAACCATAAGCAGTATCTGCAGGTGCAAGGATTCGTTGCAGAGATCGATGAGAAAGACCGCCAGATCGAGAAGCTTGAGCAACAGCTAGATGAGCGTGCTGCCACCATTCGCGAGCTGGAGATGGATTCAGGGTCGCAGACGCAGGTGTCGACTGACGATACTGACGTTTCAGTGGAGAAACAGGTCAAGCATATCGCCCTCGCGAAAGCTGGGCCGGAAGGCCTTCGTAATGCGAGAGTGGCGGAGGTCGCACCCACCGATGCACTGTCTGGAGGCTGTGGAGAAATCGAGAAGCTGAAGGACCAAGCTACTTCTGCGATCGCTTCGCGTGCTATCGATGTGACTGCTGCATCCCTCGAGACTGCACCTGAGGTGCCAGCCACGACTTCTCCGGCGAAGAAAATACCGGGACCTGTCGCCAACCTTTCCGAGCATCCTCACTACGTTCTCCCTGGGATGATTAAGTCCCTACCTCCGCCTCCGCCAGCACCAAAGTTGAAAATGGGCATCGACATGTCCAAGTTCGGCAAGAAGCACGCTTTCAAGCCCGCTGTTAAGCCGACTGAGCCCAAGAAGACCAGCGATATCCCGGTCTCATCCTATGGCCTCTCCAGTAAGCAGCGTGTCAAGACTGATGCAGTCCCGAAGATCAACCCGACATTCGACATCCGCACCATGACGCATGCAGAGCGTGTTCTGTTTGCTAATGGTCCAGAGGTTGCGGTGATGATGGGTGACACGAAACTTGCCATGCTGGCTAAGTACGTCTTGATGCAGTGTTCGGCAAAGGCATATAGGCACTTCACCGAGAATCCGAATGCCACAACCATGACGTTCAAGGCGGACTCGATGGACATGGACGCGGCAAAAGCCCATCTCCAGTGGATGGATGAGATGACTTTCCAGGGTCGGGTGTATTCTCTCACGCTGCACGGCGACGAGAAGAACGATGTCAAGAACCTCAACATCTGCCGTGCGGCTCGCGTCCTTGGTATGAACAACATCTATGTTGGACACTTCACCAGGACCTTTTGCGATCGAATACGTTCACAAAAGGCGTCTCCAGCCTTTATCAGTCTCGTTGCCGACCTTGCGTATCCCGAGAACGATCCCATCTTCGAGTGCCTGGCTAACAACCTCGTGAATATGCGCGTCCGAAGCGCCATGCCAAAGGGATTGGAAGCTCTGCTAGAAAAGCATGCCCATCTGAGAGGCAAGATGGAGAAGATTGAAAAGCGAATGATGGACAAGCGTAGGGCTGAGCCGAAGAAAGTGGAGGGGGTCAGGAAGCCCATCGTTACGAACTAAGTCGTATCTCGCGGATGCGCGGCCGAGGGGTTGGACGTATGGAGCAAGGCGATCATGGTTCATGGAGGATGGATGCGTATTTCTGTACTGCGAACTCAAGCGTTCCGACGTTGAAGGGCCAAGTGTATACAGGGTTGACGACGAGGCGATTAATCTGGGGCATGTCCTTAGGCTAGCATTGTGTTCGACATGTACAGCCAGATGTAACATGAGCAAGAACCTTAATATTCATGTTACATTGTTCCAGTACGTAGAGTACGAGAGGTGACGCCCACAATCTCTACGCAATATCTGCATTCTATGATTCAGTGTTTCTTGCAAATGATAGTGTTCGACATCTGCTGTGAGTTTGAACCATGAGCTTTGTTTGTATTTTGTACACATGACGGATTCTAGCTCTCACCATATTGTCCAATGGTCGATGCGTTACTACGTTTTTGTGATGGATGGTCTTGTTCCCTGTATTGGAAGCGGTGCATATTCTGCCGTCATCAGCGACTTTTGCGTATCTACAGCTCGCGCATCGACACATCGGCTTGTCCCTATTGCCCACCAAAATGCTGTTCAACGTGGTGTGCCACGGCAACCTCATCGCCCTCAAAAATGCCGCACACGGGACATGTCACCACTTTGCTGTCGATTGCTGGTCCTGTGCCCTTTCGTGCTGCGTCCCGCTTATCCGCCTCTTCCAATGCAGCAAAGTAGCCTCGATCGGCAGCTGGAGCGCGGTTCTCATACAAATACTCATCGTCTTCGCGAATGTCTCGCTCTATTCTGCCTCCTCTTCGACGTCCTGTGCTACCCAGACCGTTGCTCTCGCCATTCCGCCCCAAGCCCGCTGCTGCTCCACCAACAAGCGCCTCCCCCCTCTCCCCTTCGGTCTCGGAAACCAGCCCTTGCACACGGCCCACCCTTCCGTCACGTAACCGTACTTTGACACCTCGAGGATGGTCTCCCCGCGTCAACAGGTCGGATACTATGCCTTTGACTTGGTGACCTGTGGGCTGATCTTCCTTGAGGACTATGGAGACGCCGTTGCCCGGCTGTATGGAAGCATAGGGAGGGACGGAGGAGTATTCCTGCCGTGAACGAGGGGTGCGGGAGGTGTTCTGGCCGCCCCTTCCTCCGCGGCTTGGCCGGGCCCGGCCTTGTTGCTGCATTGCTTTTGGAGAAAGTACGAGGCGCTGGTGATGTGGTGCACTCGACTTCCAAGATTCTTCGATCGACGTTCTGGGCGCGGGCGGTGTGTTGATCGGATGACGTCATGCTTTCCCACTTTGGCAGGGCACAAAGAAGGTGCACACACGGGCGTCTTTGTCTGTGTGCGACAGGTTGCATCGCTTGACCTCCCCCCCTCCCCCCTACACATTACACCGCCGACGACGACGCAATGGCAACCCGACGCAAGCCTCTGTTTGAGAGCAACGGCTTCGAGCCCCTCACCAGCACCATGCCCGGCAGCACCATCCGCCCACCCACGTCGTCGTCGCGACGCTCGCCCTTTCTGCCCACGCGCCTCGAGCTGCAGCTCGTCGCCATCTACCCGACAACGCTGCTTCTCGGCAGCATCTTCAGCACCCTCTCGCCCGCCAGCCGCAGCGCCCCCTACTCGGCTGTCCTGCAATCGCACCCGCCTGAAGTGGCACCGAGCTACTTCGCCCAGAAGAAGAACGTCTTCAACGTCTACTTTGTCAAGGTGGGCTGGTTCTGGGCAACGCTGGCCTTTGCTGTCTTTGTGCTGTTCCATCCTGGATTCGGCAAGGGCGTGTCGGCGAGGCGGGTCCAAGCCGTGTTGCGCTACGTCACGGTGACGACGTGGTGGGTGTTTGTCACGCAGTGGTTCTTCGGCCCGCCGCTGGTCGATCGCGGCTTCCGCTTCACAGGTGGACAATGCGAGCTGCTCAGGGACCCCGGCGCGCGTCAGGACATGAGCGACACGCGAGAGTTCATCACGGGCGCGACGTGTAAGGCTGTGGGCGGTGTATGGAAGGGCGGTCACGACATCTCAGGGCATGTCTTCCTTCTCATCATGGGAAGCTCGCTGTTGTGGCTGGAGTTCTTGCCCGCTCTCACACGTGTCGAGGGTCTCCGCGATGGCCGCCTGATCACGCTGGCGGATGGCAAGGTCGCGAGTGTGACTGTTGAAAAGGAGCTTGTGAAGACGGAGGACGAGGCGACAGCGCAGGGTGTCAAGTTCGCACTCGGTGTTGCCGCCCTCATGTGGTGGATGCTGCTCATGACGGCTGCCTACTTCCACACATGGTTCGAGAAATTCACAGGGCTGCTGGTAGCCTTCGCAGGGCTCTGGACCGTGTACTTTCTGCCGAGGGGTGTGCCGCAGGTCAGGGCTTGGTTGGGCATGCCTGGCGTATGATGCAGGGAGCCTCGGGCATGTTTACGTGCGAAACGAAAAGGACAAGCAAAAGCGTCGGAATTGAGAAGATGGCCATGTGCGAGTTTGAAGCAGAGCACCGTACATCAGAAGACGTCGTCGTCTGGAATTACACTTTGTACAATCAATATATTTTCAACGTTGTTGATTGTCGCCCTCGCGCAAGCCTTTGCCTTTAGGCCGTGGGATGATCATTGTCTGGGCAGTGTGAACAGATGGCTAATCGGTCCGCCAGACCGTCACACCGCGTAGTCGTGCAGCAGCAAGACGCTTGAACGCTGCGGACGTTCCAGCATCATACATACAGTTCTTCGCATGTCCCGTGCCTCATGCGCGGCAGCCAATGACCAAATTTTCCGAACTCGCACCAAGGAACTACCCCAACAAACGGCTCCAGAGTCCCCACATCATTCCCCTCATTATCGGCTGAATGGTATGACCGCAGATCAAGTTGGGAGAGAGGGCCTCGGTACAAGAGGACCCAACCGCCCTGCAAGATGAATTGCACTGCAAAACTCCACGATGAAGTCTTTTCCTCTTGGAACAGTGCTTTTAACAGGGTTGGCCGCGGCCCAACAATCTGCGATCACAGCATCTGGGGAAAACTTCACGCTGACTGGCGATGGCATGTCCTACCTCTTCCACGTCAACCCATCGAACGGTGATCTTGTGAGCGATCACTTTGGGGCCAGTGTCACCGACTTCATACCTCCAGCAACTATCCTGCCTTGGGGTTGGAACGACAATCTCGCCAACTTTCGCCGCGAGTTTCCCGATGTGGGACGAAGTGACTTTCGACTTCCAGCTATTCATATTGAGCATGCAGACGGCGACGCGGTATCCGCTTTTCGGTATCAATCACATCAAATCATCCAGGGAAAACCACCGCTACCAGGGCTTCCTGCTACATATGGGGAAGCAGGCGATGTGACGACGTTAATTGTGCAACTGTTCGACAACGTTTCCGATGTCTCGGCCGCGTTGTCGTATTCGATTTTCCCAAAGTACAACGCCATTGCGAGGAGCTTCAGCATCACCAACAATGGCACGGACGCGATTGTCATCGAGAGAGCGGCGAGCTTCAGCACAGATTTTCCGAATCTGGATCTTGACATGATTGAGCCACATGGTGATTGGTCAAATGAGTTTCATACAGTGAAGAGAAAGGTCGATTATGGGGAGACAACGTGAGTTGGCGTTTCTTTTGGACGTCTTTACACATCACTTGCTGATCTGAACAGATTTCGAAGCACAACGGGCTATGCTTCTCACCTTCACAATCCTTTCTTTGCTCTAGTATCACCATCTACCACCGAAAGCTCCGGTGCTGCATGGGGGTTCAACTTGGTATGGACGGGGAGCTTCGAAGCAACCGCTGAGCGCTTTTCAAACGGCTACGTGCGCGTGCTCCTTGGCCTCAACTCACTGCACACCAGTGTAAAGGTGCAGCCGGGTGAGATGTTCCAGTCTCCTGAAGCGGTCGCTGTATACTCGACTGAAGGCGTTGGTGGCATGTGCGTGTTACTCTTTCCCAATCTATCTACCGTACGGTCTAATGTGTCTCCAGGTCTCGTTCTTTTCATGACCTGTATCGCAACCACCTGTCAAGATCCAAGTTCACCAAGGAGACGCGGCCGATCCTGCTAAATTCGTGGGAAGGTCTCGGTTTTAACATCAACGATACATCGTTAGTAAGCCTAGCAGGTGAGGCAGAAGAACTTGGCATTGAGCTCTTCGTGAACGATGATGGCTGGTTTGGAGTTGAATACCCGCGGAACAATGACTCCTTAGGACTTGGTGACTGGACACCGAATCCCGCCAAATTTCCCAATGGACTTGGTCCCTACGTCGGCCAGGTAAACAACTTCTCCGTTCTGAATTCCGCCACACCACTACAATTTGGAATATGGGTCGAGCCAGAGTGAGTGTTCGACAAATTATCGAGCAAAACACGTGATAATAACAGAACATACAGAATGGTAAACCCTAATTCAACACTGTACAAAGAACACCCCGAATGGGTTTTGCACGCAGGGAAATATTCTCGATCCTTGACGAGAAACCAGCTCGTCCTCAACGTGGGTTTGCCGGAGGTTCAGGAATTCATTATCAGTTTCGTGTCCCGCATTCTCGACTCTGCCAACATCCAATACGTAAAGTGGGACAACAATCGAGGTATGCATGAGCTTTCCCGACCATCGGACGACTACAACTATATCCTTGGTCTCTATCGTGTCATTGACAATCTGACAACCAAGTACCCCAATGTGCTTTGGGAAGGTTGTGCGTCCGGCGGTGGTCGATTTGATGCCGGCCTCCTGCACTACTGGCCACAGCACTGGACATCAGACAATACCGACGCTGCCAATCGCCTGACAATCCAGCTCGGTACTTCTCTCGTGTATCCTCCAAGTGCCATGGGTTGTCACATCTCAGCCGTTCCCAACGGCCTCACGAACCGCAACATTAGCATTGAATACCGAGGCCATGTCGCAATGATGTGTGGGTCCTTTGGTCTCGAGCTCAACCCTTCTGAACTTGCCCCCGAAGAAGCCGCGCTGATCCCGGGCATCATGGCAGAGGCGAAGCGAGTCAATCCTATGGTCATAAACGGCGATTTCTATCGTCTAGCACATCCAGACTCCAGCAATTGGCCTGGTGCTCAATTTGTATCCGAGGATGGAAAGGAAAGTGCGGTATTTGCATTCCAGCAACTGTACATGGTTAAACCAGCGGCACCTCCCTTGGCTCTGCGGGGATTGGATCCACAAGCGAGATACTTCAACACTCTTGATAACGGAACGTATACTGGAGCTACGTATATGAACGCTGGGCTCAACGTTGCGTGGGAAAGAGGGGATTATAAGAGTGAACTCATTTGGTTAGAGAAGCAATGAATACACCGGCAGAATCGAAGGAACGTGCTCGAAGTAGAGAATAACAATCGACTCAGATCGAAATAGCACTTGTAACCAACGAATGCTAGAGACGAATAGGCTGCAAGCAAAGTGTAGCGAGAATAATACATTAAACAAAAGCTTTTACGAAATAAAGATACAGGTTTGCACTAATGTACATTAGACTAGATAGTTAAACTATAAGACTTGGAAATTTGTCTACATAAGAGCTAATAGTCCAGTTATTAGGAATAGACAATAAAGGATATAGTAACCTAAACTAGTAGAAAGAGTACAAGATTTTATAAAAGAGAGGTAATAAAAAAATTAAAGATAAGGTAGCTTATAAAATCTATTATAAGTACTCTATAATCTAGTATATAGAACATATAGATTTTAGTTTAACTATAGGCTTAGTAGAGTGTAGCTTAGCGTTAGTAAGTTAGTATATAGCAGAGATTAGAAACTTAAAACTTAAAAACTATTAATAAACTTTATACTAACTTTATTTATATATAATATCTTTATATAAAAACCTGTACTTTAAAAAGAAAGCCGCTACTTTATAACTTAAAAACTTCTAGCTACCTATACTTAGTTTCTTACTATAGTAGGAAGTATTATAATAAATTTTATTTAGTTTTTAAAATTATATTATATAAGTACTTAAGTTATAAAATTATTTTATAAAACTAATAAAAATACTTATTTATAATATTTGCTATAGCCTACTCTAAAGAATATCTACTTATAATATAAAGTAATACTATAAAAACTCTTAGCTGTCTAGTTTTATTAGTTTATATAAGTATTTACTATAAAGTATAAATAAGAAACTATAAATTAACTAATATAATTTAGAGTAGTTTAGGAGAATTTATATTAGATATTAACTCCTTATATTTAAAGTAAAGTAATAATTACTTCTATATTACTATACTCTATAATATTAGTTATAACTTATTTATATCTAGTCTTTTATAAGGTAAAAAGCTTTTTAAGTCTATATCTAAAATCTAGAAAATAGATTAGAGCTTTAAGTAGTTTTAAGAATAAATAAGAGTAAAATATAACTTATAAGTATACAAAAAAGAAAACTACTATTAATTATTTATTTATTATAACTAATTATAAAATATAGTTTAAAAGAAATTTAAATTATAACCTAGACTAGCTCTTCTATATTTATAGTTTTAATAAAATTATATAGTTTGTAATTATAACCTATATTATATAAGAGTTAGCTTTTCTACTTTACTTTAATCTTTGTTACTATACTAGTAATACTAATACTAAGCTAACTTACTTTAGTTAATATATAATCCTTATTAATAACTTATATAATTTAGTACTCTTATATAAAAGGTAATAATATATAGGTATTATAGTAGTAAATTCTTTATTAATAGAGAAAACTGTATTTTAAATAAGTATACAAGACCTTTTTTTTCTAAATATCTTTACAAATTCTAGTAATTTTCCATCCCTATAGGACAGGGATTAATATATAGTCTTAATTTCTTATTTTTTTAAACACGTTTTAATTATTTATTAGCATTTATTCTAAAGTTTAACCTAATTATAAACCTTTGCATTTTATTACTATTCCTATAACTATTACTATTACTACTACTTCTAACTTTATTTTAGTCTCTATTTATTATATAGCCTTATAGTAAAGTATTCTACTTTCTAGATTACTATTATAATTAGTTTAATCTAAGTAGTATACCTAGAAGTTATAAAAGCCTACTTAAAGTAGATTTTATATTTAAGTAAAGCAGTATTATTATACTACTTAAAAGTAAGCTTATAAATTTAAAAAAGTTAAGTATTAAAGAAAGCCTTATTAGTTTTCTTAACTTATATAAGAAAACGCTAAAATAAGACTTAATATAGTTATACTAAAAGTTTTTTATTTATTCTAAAGTACTAGAAAATATCTTTATTTTTTAAGTAAAAGAAATTATATTATACTAAGTATTACCTTTTGTTTTTATTACTACTTAACTAGGTTCTTAAAGATCTAACTAAAGAAATATAAAGTACTCTACTAGTACTAGTATATACTTATATTAGTTCCTTAATTATTTGTTTTATATAAGATATAGTATAAAAACTTTTAAACTCTACTAATAGAATTATATTATTAATTAGGTATATTCTTAATAGTAAAGAAAAATAATATAGAAAAGATAAATAAGTAAATAAAGATCTTAACCTTTAAGGTATTTAGGATACTTATATACTAGCTAACTTAAATAAACTTTAATTATATATACTTTCTTTAAAGTAACTTTAATTATATATTTAAAATTACTAGTTAGTTAAATAGTTAATAATTAAGATATTATTTATAATATAATTATAGGTTTATAGCTTAACTAAACTTTTACTAATAGCTATATAGTCTTTTAAATATATATCTATACTAGTATATTAAGTAGTTAAATATTTAAAATTAGTATACTAATTAGCTTTTACTTACTATTACTATATACCCCTTCTAATTTTTACTATATAAATCGGAGCTAGGTATTAGATTTTATACTAAGTTACTATATTAGAAACTTACTATATTATTCTCTCTGCTTATACTTTAAGCATTAATACGCTATAAGCCTAGAATAATAAAATATTACTATATAAGGGCACTATAAACAGGTAATTAAGATATAGGATAAATAGGTATTTATTAAGAGATTAGATAAATCCTTAGGGTGTAAGCCTTAGGGATTTATAAGTACTATATATTAGAGCTCTAAGGGCCTTACGCTCTTAGCCTAGAGGTCTACTAAAGGTAGGCTAACAGGAGCTTAGATAGAAATACCTATAATAGAGCCTCCTTTCTTCTTATAGTTTATCCTAAACTGCTAGAATTTTTAAAGTAAATAAATAGGTATTTAATTTATATAGTTACTTTAATTAAACTTTATAAAAACCTTCTATAAAGAGAAAATAGTTTAGAAGAAATTTAGTACTAAATTATTTAAGTTTTCTCTAGACTAGTTCTTAGATCTAGCCTAGAGGCCTACTATACTAGGCTTATATTCTTATTACTAAGTCTTTATAACTTTAGTAAGTATAGCCTAGTTTATTATAGGTAACTGCTAGGCCTCTATAGAGAGTCCTATTTACTATTATCTCTAGATTATAATTCTTAGGAGTATAGTTATACTTACTACGTATTATCCTTAGTAACTTTATATTTATAAGTTTTACCTTATTAGGTGCCTATTAACTATATAGATAGTTTATTAGGCTCTATTACTTCTCTAGACCTATTCTAGAGACTTTATAATATATAATTATATAAAGTAAGGGCTTAATATAGAGTTTACTTTTAATAATTTATTATTTACTTACTCTATTATTATAGTTAGTATTTACGCTAACTTATATAATTATTTATAGGCTAGTATTATTCTTATAAGGTATATTATTAGTAGCCTCCTTAGAGGTTTATTTTATATAGGTAGTACTTACTTTAATATTAGTACCTATTACACTCTCTATAAAGTTTATAACTATAGTTTTCTTATAAAAGTCTATTAGCTCTTTATAAGTAGTTTACTAGGTATAGTCCTAGTATTTTAAGTAGTATTTATTATTTATTTATATTATAATAACTTTTTATAGTTATTAGTGTATGTAAAGTAAGGTAAAGTAGTATAGTATTATAGTAGTTCTAGAAGGCCTACGCATATATACTAAATAGGTATAAAATACCTATATATTACCTTATAACTCTAATATTACTATAATAACCTTCTTTTTATTAACTTACTATACTTCTGCCTTTTTATATTAGTAATATGCCTCTACCTAAGCAAATCTACTAGCTCTCTACTAGTATAGCCCCTTAGCCTACCCTTACTTACTTCTAGTATATAGGCTGTATTAACTTTCTTACTACTACCTCCTAAAAGTACCTTCTTAATAGTACTATTATATTATTTTTTAAGCTATAGTAAGGTAATAAGCTGTACTATAAATATAAGGCTAGTTAAAGTATCTATAGTAGTTATTCTAATACTAAGACTAGAAGTTATACTAAGGTAAGTTTTCTATTTTATTTTATCTATACCTTATTTATTACTAACCTTAATAGATTCTACCTAAGTTCTATTATACTGTTAATATTCTTAACTACTACCTTAAGTATACCTTATATAAGACTTAGGAGTTTACTAGCTTTATATCTACTACTAACTTTAATATACTCTTTATAAATAACTAGGTATAGGCTAACTAGGTAAATACTTATACCTATACTAAGGCTTATTATAAGAGTTTTCTTAAGTATAATTATACTAAGTATTATACTATTACTAATAGTAGTTTCTTTACTATAGCTTTTAGTTAGGCTTATTAAGTTTCTACTTAGTATAACTTAAAGTAATATAAGGTTAGTTTACTATTATTCTAGTATCTTTCTATTACTAATCTATTCTAGTTAGGTCTTAGTACTACTAGCCTATATTATTTTAATAATATTATTATTTACACTTCTATAAAGGCTTACTTTTTATATAATAGTACTTCTAAGAATATTAACTAGTACTTTTACTACTATAGTACTAATATTTCTAATACTAAAAAGAAAAAGATTTTATTCTTACTATTACTTTAAAAGTATCTTTATTTAGTAACTTTTTATACTCTTAGTTAGAAGGTAGCTAGTAGTACTTTTAGAAAGGCTTTTACTACTAGCTTCTTTAGTTCTTTAATAGCTAAGTATAACTCTAGTAGTATTAGTTCTAACTCTATAGTATTCTAATAGGTAACTATAAAGGTTTTTTTAGTAAATATATATTTTAGTTTTTTTAGATAATATAAGAAATAATAATTATAAGTTTCTATTTTTACTAAGGCCTATATTATTTTATACTAGTTTATAATTTTAGTTTTAGAAGTAATTACTATATTATAGCTCTAGCTTTTTTCCCTTTCTTTCTTTTAGATATTCTTTCTAGGACGTCCTTATTTCTACCTTAGTA